ATACAATATTCGCTGTGTGCGAGACATGGCTGGACGCCTGTCTTTGGTGGGCAATTAATGGGGAATTGATCAATCTCGCACAATTCTCTCTATTCCAGCAAAACTGTCCCTCCTTGGGGCGAAGGAGTCCGTCCTCGCCATGCCATAACACCTGCCCTGCCAACGTCTCGACCACCTCACCCCTTCGGGTCTAGAAGCCATCTTTGTCGAGGTATTTTGCAAACATGGAAAGCTTCTTCTGGTGTCTACCTACGGCCCACCCTCCCTCCGTGAACAATCGTATGCCCTCCTCCAAAAGAGCCTACAGCGCGTCGACGACAAGTTCTCTGCACTGTTCATCTGATCCACTTGATGACATGCTGTAAGACGTATTGGAAACTGCTGGCCTCACCCAACTTCATGACGCCTCATTCTACATTTCTCAAAACAGCAACGCTACATTCCTCGACCTCGTCTGCACCAATAATCCCACCTTATCCTACCGCTGCACAGTGAAATCCAGCCTACCAGGCAGTGATCGCAGTGCTCTCCTCACTAATATCCATTGCCCTAAGCGAGGTCATCAAGCCAAGAAGTTCCAGTAGTTCTAAAAAACCGATTTCCCTCATCTCAATCAGCTCATCCACCTCGCTCCCTGGTTCATCATGTTTGATCACCCATCGGCTGACGAGGCCGACGACCTCTCACTCAACATATCAGCAATTCAGCACAAATGTGTTCACCCTAAGGATCAATAGGAGGCACGGCAGCCTTCCATAGATGACAAAGGAGATTGCAGTCTTAATCAGACGTAAACACTGACTATTCAAAAAAGTGCCTCTAAATTCCACTCATCTTTACCAAGCCCACCAGGCATGTACCGAAGTCAAGCATCTCATTCATATCTCCCATAACGATTACCTACCAACTAAGAGCAAAAGCAACCTGCCAGCCCAAACTCTTGGGCATGTTTTCACTATAAAAAAAAAAAATGTTCCACGCGCCGGTCTTCACACATCACGGCAGGCCCTATTCTAATCTTGACGACATAGCACAGCTCTTCTCTTACCAGATTTCTCGGGCTGTAGCATTACTTGACCCTACCGCACCTAACCCTTGTCCCACTCAACCCACAACTCAGCCAATCAAGGCCACACCAGCAATCACACTCTCTTCCATAGTCATTCTTCAAAGTGAAACCTACCAAGCCCTCGCCTGTGACAACTCCTCTCAACGCCCTAGATCAGACAGCCTCCACCCTGCATTGCTTAAATCCTGTGCTGGCTGTATCTCCCCCGTCCTCACTCGCCTCTTCAACGATTTTCTCTAGCCGCCTCGGTGGCTCCGAGGCGAGAGCGCTGGCCTACGGATCCCCATGTGGCGGGTTCGAATCCCGGCCGAGGTGCCCGCAATCTGACGGAGGCTTATTGCGGAGAAGGCGCCGTGTAACCGAGCTTTCGGTTGCACGTCAAAAGATCCCCAGGTGGTCCAAATTAATCCTCAGTCCTCCGCTGGGGCGTGCCAGATGCCCATTGTTGGTTTGGCACGTAAAACTCCCAAATTTGACTTTTTGAACGATTTTCTCTCCCACAGCTCTGTTCCTAAATCCTGGAAAGTTGAGTCAGTAACGCCTCTCAAAAAGGGACACGGTGCCCCCTCAAGTCTAAAATCCACTTGTGATGGAGTGTATTACCGACTCATTCGGTGCTGTGCGTGCGGGTACGTGTGTGTGTGTGTGTCCCACCGTGGCGTTCGCGCCAGATTACAAAGAATCCTCGCCTCGCGGCCAGGGGAAGAAAAGAGGACAAAGAAGAGAGACAGCAAAAAAAGGGCGGTTTAGCCATCGCAAGCCTTCGGACGGAGAACGTTATAGCAGTTGTCTGTGTTGCGAACTAGTCCTGGGTACTGTCTCTCCTCAATGTCGGGGCCCGACGTTGAGGAGAGACAGTACCCAGGACTACTTCCGGCACATATAACTTTATCTAAACTCGGCTTGAGTTCGCGACACAGACAACTGCTACGACGTTCTCCGTCCGAAGGTTTGCGATGGCTAAACCAAACAATGGAGCCCCCGCCAATATGGTTTCCGCCCGGCAGGAGCTGCGAATCGGCCCTTGCAGCTTTCACTTATGCACTCAGCACCAGCCTCGACAACCGAACTCCGTGCGAGATCGTCCAGTTAGACTTCAGAAAGGCTTTTAACAGCGCAGACCACATCTTGTTTCTATCCAAACTCCAACAGATGGAAATCTCCGGCATGAGGAATTAAAAATTTACTTTTTCACACTACCTTATTCTTCAAGGGCTCTTTTCGTGATTTAGCACAAACTGGAAACACTACTAACAGGTAGGGTGTCGACTGAGCTAGGTCATGTGTGCCATTGCGTGTCAAAGGGGCTTTGAGAAAACTAATTGAAGAACACTTTGTCCAAGCTCGAGAGAAAAAATCTTGTTCTTGACCACTGGCTAACACAACATGATGGGAGCAACCGGTTATTGTTTTCTTCCGGTGACTTCAGAACGAGGTCTACTGGCACGACAACCAGCTCTGGTTGTCGTGCTGATCCCTAAGACAGATCGTGATGAGGAAGAGCTAGAGATAAAATTTAAAAGCGCTAACAAAGACGAGGACAAAAAGGAAGGCGAACAGGACGAGCGCTTGCTCCCAACTGAACATTTAGCGCTTTTAAATTTTATATCATGAACCAACTCGCCCGCTTCGCCACTTTAGTAAGAGCTAGAGCCCTCCTAGCCACTGTTTTTTCCCAGATATGCAGAACTACCTTTACTGCACTTACCCAACCATTTACACAGTTTGTTATATGACAAGTTGCAGATTATTGTCAAGTGACCACTTGTGGCTGCGACATTCATAACATTCCTCATGAGGAATGTTATGCCGCAATGTCAATTTCGGTGGCCCTATTACAGCTATAATCTGTTTCAGCCTATTTTACAAAGAAAAGCACTGCCGCCCTTTGGAGCTAATCAGAGCAACGAAGCAAGTTTTGTGAGAGCTCTCCGTAGGAGGTGTATACTCCCACAATATGTTGTCCCGTCCCTCAGCCAAATGTTCCAATTGTCTCGTTGGTGCCGTAGCTTTGGTAATGCCCTGTAAGCTGCAGAAGGATGAGTCAACCTAGTTCCAGTAACAGTTCACCTCACGTACGAATATGACCAGAAAATGCTGATGCTACCCAAGGATGAGGGTCGACAAATTTCCCAGCGTACGGTCTCCGATTTTCTTCTCGTGGCCCAGATGATGAGCTGCCTCTTGAGTTTCCTCACTTCATCCCCCTGGTTACTGATGGTCCTTGTCTCTGGTGTCCGGCCCTTGCAGCTTGCCTCCACACGTTTGTCGCCCTCGTGGTATTCTCTGTGATTCTCCAAGGAACCATCGTACTGGAACAAGAAAGTAACAGTATACAGTGAATGGACAAAGCGAGACACACCTTATACTCAGGGGCAGATCCAGAACTCCGTTTGGGGAGGGGGGGGGGGGGCAGAAAGTTTGTAAGGATGCTATTCTCCCCTTCTTTCGTGTGCACCGGGGGGTCCAGCCATGTCAAATTGCCCTCCGAGATGGGGGGAGGGGGGGGTCGACTTTGTTTGTGGGGGGGGGGGGGGGTGCCCCCGTTGCCCCCTTTTGGATCTCCCCCTTGGATCTGTCCCTGCTTATACTTCTAAATTAGATAAGTACTGTGGGTCTTACTGCATGGCGTGCCAAGCGGAGATAAATAATGTCTGGAGCTTGACGGGGGGAGCAGGGGTCTCGACGCATGCTGGACGACAGGTGCCAGATGCTGCCATACCCACAGGGTATCCTGACGAGAGAGAGAAGACAGGTGTGAGTCCAGGAAATTAGCATGTTTGAGCAACACTTTTTAGAGTTGCCTTCCCGTTAATTCCCTTCAAAGGACATCCATCTGACTAGTTAATTCAGAATTATGTTCAATGTACCCAGTCAACTTGCTTAGCCAAATGCAATTATATAACAAGTGGTAAATTCACTTTTTATAACGTTGCGTGTTTTTTTGTTTTGTTTTTTACATCTTATGCTATGATGCCAACTTCTCTTTTATGATCTTACAGATTAGCAAATCCAAGGTTCGGTCCTGATCCGCGTCATTTGCTACTATATTTATATTTTTCCAGTAAAGTGGTGTGAAAGTTTCGATACGTGGAGGTTGCGCGTGAACAAGCAATTCATTACGTTCGACCGTTTTACAAGTCACGTCCGACGTACATACGACTAAGAAATTAACCGAGTCACATACACTGCGTTGGAGAAAAGACGATCGTGCCATGGCCTGACGCGAAGGACAGCACGAGCACTTTAAAATGTTTGCACTCACCAGCAACGAACTTGAAGCGGAATCCCGGAATCTCGAACGGCGAAGTGAGTCCCCGGCTTTTTGGCTTCTTGCCTGAGCAGGCCCATTTAGAACACATTCATAGCGCGATTCGCTAACTCACGTGACATTAAAACGCCAAGCGAGGATCCAACCGAAAGGGAAATGTACTAGGAAAGAGAAATTCGCAGAACAGCAACACCGACAACGCCGACAACGCGAACGGCGACATGGCTTCGGTTAGGGCAATGAACTTTTTGAAGCTAACGGTAACTGCTCGATTTTTTCTTTCCATGTTGGTTTATTATTATTACCTAACTTATTATGTTTTCTAAAAATAATAACATTAACGCACTCAATTTAGTCAATTGCGATTCTTTTTTACCCTGTTTTTTTGTTCGTTTTTGTTTGACAACTTCAGTTGTCGCCATCCGGCTTGAGGAGCGCTGTGTATGCGCGATTACCGGAAGTGGCCTTGAGTGGGACCACTGGTTATGATTCCACTGTGGTGCGCGCCGTGCTTCTTCACAACCGCCGGGTACTGATTGTACGCTGTTCTGTGCTTCGGTTGCTGGAAAGATGTCTGGTCGGGATGGTAAGCGTGATTTAAAGCTGCGACGTAAATCACACTGCGTTTTTGACTATCCGTTTTCTTTTACTTACTTACAGGAGGAAAAAAGAAGCCCCTCAAAACCGCAAAAAAGGAAAAGAAGGAGTTGGACGAGGTCTGTATCAACCACTAGCAACCACTGCAAAACACGTTGTATGTAGCTCAGAGCTTCTCGATCGCTGTGTCTCTCGTCGCGTGAACGTTGCTGAGCTGGATTTTCTTCGTTCACCGATTCTATTGCCTCTAAATTGGAGATTAAACCGACCATAGCACGTTTGTATGCAAATGACGGGTTATGAACAGGTTCTTTTTGACTCGTGCATGCTTAGAGTTCACATGGCCAAATCGGCGTTGTCTCAGCGGCTTCTATGCCAATTGCAGAGCGACCTAGACTTCAAACAGCGACAGAAAGAGGAACAGAAGGCCCTCAAAGAGGCTGCCGCCAAAGCTGCCGGGAAAGGCCCACTCGGTAAGTTTGTAATCTCTTTGACCGCATAACCACTTCCCTCGTCTGTCATAACGTTACACACACATGAAAGCCTCCAGTTTACGTGTTTTCCTGTTATATGTTTACACTAGTTCGAGTATTTAAAACTAATAGCATTGTAATAGTAAGCATTCAGTATTCAAAGCAATGGTAGGAGACCTATGTCGGTTGGTCATGGTGCACGCTGATACGAAGGATTTTAACAGGCAGCTCCCTACCAAAGGACTATTTCACTCTTCTGACATGGAGTAAGTACTAAAAGCAGCAGTTCAAGCAAAATTTAAATTCATTTCTTTTAAGGCCGTTGGGGGGGGGGGGGGGGGGGGGGACGATTTTTATTAAGCTTGTATCATTTTAGTACAGCATCAACATCATCAAGGTATAGCCTAGGCAGGAGATGGTGTGGGTGATTGTTATGGCTAACTGGCCACATGCCTTTATCAAGGAAACACTCTAGGGAGCTACCAACATGCAACTTGTTCCCGTGCAGTGCTGCTCCTAGTCTCTCGAGACTATCGCAGGAAATTTATGCATGCACCTCGCTTGTGACTTGCCCTATGTTGCATATAGTGTACAAGCTTCTTGTGCATTACAAGCGATGGTCAACATTCACCTATTTTATAGATACAGTTGGAGTGAAGGCTTCCAAGTAGTTGGTGCATTTTATGGTGTGCACCTTAGGCAGTCATTAATGCTTACAAATTGTAGGGATCAGTGCGTACTGCTCACCCGCAAGGAGGACAAACGAGGCAGGTACCAAAAAACCACACCTTTATCGTACCGCAGCCGGCCAACGACTGCCCGAGCGTGACTCGTGTGAATCTCTTGTGCGCTGGGCACCGGACGCGAGGCGAGGCCTTTGGTGCAGTTATCGGCCGGAAAGGCCAGAAAATGTATTTTTTCCTGCTTTACAAAATCTAATAATTACACACCAATTGTTTCATTCTTGAGAGCCCATTATCAGTGAAACATCTCACACCTCAAACCTCAAGTGTGTCTTCACAAACCTGTGGAGGTTTCGTAAAGGATGTGGCTAAATCACTACAGCACACTAAAACAATAAAAAATACCCCCGGGGAAAAGAAAAAAAAAGTTGTTGATTATTGAAGTAACGTAGAGAGTAGCTAGCTCTTGTGCTTGTGCACTGTTTTTGGTATGTCTGTTGATTATTTTTTAGTGTGCCAGGCCGATGACCTCTGCTGTAGACACATTCGCGTGCAGTTCCAATATCGCAGTGGAAGGGTGCAAGTTTGTTGTTCTGTAACCTGCCTACACTTGCCCTTGAACCATCTTCCACTTCTCTTGCACAACATATAGGTCCTTACAAGCAACTCTACTGAAAATGGTAACAGAACAAACACAACAGGGAAACTGGATCCGGCTGCCAAAGATGGGCCTGGCTTGCCTGGCTACATGTACATCAATAGCAACTTTTAGAAGACCACGAGTGTCCTATGCTTTGTTTTTACCTTTCAGTGGTACTTTTAGAGCGCTACCCCTTTCCTTCAGGACGTGCCTTGGCTACCCGAGCGATAGCTTACGAGGGGCGGAATATCTTTAGGATGCCCCGATATACGATTCGTGAAACAGTTTCTAGGTTTTCCTCTGGACGAACTTTACCTTTATAAGCCACCCCAAATTTCTACCGAAAGACTAGTATGCAGATTTAAAAAAACTGATTACAAATAGACAAACATTTTAAGCATCTTGCAATTGCTTACGACCACTGCGCAGACGGTCTAAGTTGCAAGTTGCAAAACTTCATCAAACTTATTTTTTTTTTCTTAATTAACCTAACTTCCCCAACTACAATTACAAGCCTTGCCATGTTCAACTAGTGCACACGTGTTCGCCCATACTTCTTCCACATTCCAATAACCGGTTTTGATATCGGATTGGTAAAAAAGAAAGTTGAATTTCCCAAAATGGATGCTTGCTGCAAACAATTTTTTTTTTTTTCATCAAACTTGCAAGGAATTGACAGAAACTTACCTTCGATTGAAAAACGGCCCAACAGCTTCCATTGCGTTTCATTACAGTGAGCGGTGGAATCAAGAAGTCCGGGAAGAAGTGACCTACCAGCAACCAGCACATCTTTTTACATCACATGCAAATAAAAACTTTCTAAGTGTTTCTTTACTATTCTGTGTAAATGCAAACTATAAAATACCATGGGGACTTTTATAACAGGTGCCCAACCTAAGCCTAGGTTGGGCACCTGTTAGGTCCAAGAGCACAAATGCAGGAGCGACACAATGTAGGGTGGGCTTTGCTGTTTCGCTTTGGCACACATGTCAAGTTTCACCGCTGTGCACCTGCATGCTCAGAGAAGCGCATGAGCGTCTTGGCTTGGAAGTCTGGGATGGGCGCTCGATATGTCCTTCGAGTGTCAGAATAAGCGGGTAGGCATTTATTGCAGCATGCTTGGTATTTTACAGTCACGGAAAAACATGCAGAAATAATTCTGTAGAGTATGAGTTCACAAGCTCTTTGATCTTAGCAAATGACTAGCCACCTGGAGTAACAGCTTGGGAACCCTGTAAACATTTTTCCAATATCCCAACTCTGGAGCTTACGAACCTTACTCAAAATAACAGACTATGCTCCACATCACTGTAATATTGCAAAGAATGCTGCCCCCCCTCCCCCATGAGAGTGAAGGAGTAAACCATGCGACAGCCCTCCCTAGGTTGCCCCTTTGTGTTGGTGGTGGGCTGTGTGTGGGCTATATAAGGAGGACTAAATAAACCTGGTAGCCAATTTTGAGACGTCGTCCTGTCCCTTTCTGTTTCTTCGACTTTTATGTTTTTTCTACCCCAGTCTCGGGTACATTCAACATGGTTAACATCCACCAGCTCGCCTGCACCCTTACGATTTTATCTCTACCCTCCAACGTTTACATACCTTGCTCCAATGACGCGATATGCCTTGGAGGACAGTAGCATTTGCCATTTTCCAAGTTATGATGAAATCGGGTTTAAGGGCAGGGATGCTGGATACCTGCCAGTTTCAATATGGTCAAATATTGTGCGGTCGTGTAATCGCAACTGTGTGTGTGGACCCCAGGTTAGGAGTTGTACTACACTGGCCAATTTCCCCTGAACAGCAGATTCCCCCCCAAAGGACTGTCCACAGACACACTTGCTACCATTCATGCACACGCACACTTTTTTGGCAGACGGAACCAACGTTATGGAGGGCCAACAGAGGGAGGTGCGACAACCACTTTGTCCGAGCCATAGTAGTCCTGTGACTCGGGCTACGGAGTGGAGCAGTGCAAGACTACACCAGCACAACTGCATGCCGTGATCACGTTCTACCCTCCCGCTGTTAGATATACAGGATGCCGCTGCCATAGACTTGCGGACAACACTCCGCTATGGCAGCCTAGAAGGGAACACCTGTGGCGATCTGTTGCTTTTCTCGGGCTAAAAGTGGTGCCACACATCATACCTCAGTGTGGCTACTATCTCAAAGCTCGCAGCAGTGCCACAGCTGCACCCTGTGCAGTATTCATATTTACAAGCTACTTTTGTGCGCTCGGCAAAGGGAGCTTCTGCACCGCAACACCTCTTCTAGCCCTAGGGGTGCAAGATGGAACTCCTGCCCCCCCCATTCTGCAGGTCCAATCGTGGGACCGCTCACCTTTCACTAACATCCGGCCACTATAGAACGGTTGTGTTACAAGCCATCTCATTGGGGCAGCACAATTTTTCCCAGGATCTTTATGAAAAGCATTTGGAAATGACCGGATGCAGTTCAAGGTCTCTTTCTGCCTGCCAAATGTGTGCACACACAAAAGCGGTGGCCTGCCCATCTCTGGGTAGCCCATAGACCTATGATGCTGGGGAGAGAAGTGGAAGGATTTGGCTTATTGCCATTGTGTTTAATCCTGGTTCGGACAATTAAAGCAACTGCTTGAGGATGCGCTGGCTCCCTCGAGACCACATTCAGAAAGAGATTGGGGTTCTGTGCATCCCGCGCTTCAGTGACTATGCAATTATGGACAGCACCCTGGAGCGAATCGTCAACAGGCATCTTCTCAACCACTTGGAGCGCCTCCAGCTCCTTCCACCATCCCAGCATGGGTTCCGACGTTCTCTCTTGCGAGACCGCCCTAGCAACTGTGCGTCACTACGTTAGTGACAATATGGACGGCCTCCTTCCCACCGACGTGGTCCAGCTGGACTACAGCAGCGCTTTTGACACGCTGGACCACGACTGCCTTAGTAAAAAGTTGTCAAATTGCGGGGTAGGAGGCAGCTTGTTGCATTGGATTGATGCCTTCCTCGCTGATCGCAGTTTTCGTGTAAGGCACAAGGGTGCTGAATCGCATACTCTTTCAGCTTCCTCGGGTGTCCCTCAAGAGTCCGTCCTTGGCCCAACTCTTCAATGTGAATGTTCGTGACATTCCGCAGTCCGACAGGCTCCTCACCATCCAATACGCCGACGACACTACTTTGGCGATGTGCATACGCTCCCCCGATGATCTTGCCGCCATGCTAGCTCACCTGGACAATCTGGTTGTCTGGTTTGCCACTAACCATCTCTGTGTCAGCCACGACAAGTGTGCCGTGATGCAATTCAGTTCGGCCAGGTAGGTCCAGACGCCACACTACACGCTTGGAGGGCTCCTTCTCCCACCTGTACAGGAGCTCAACATCTTGGGTGTATCATTCACAGCCTCACTCGATTTCAGCTGCCATGTGGCTAAGGTGGTGAGCAGGTCTCGCAGGGTACTGGGATTAGAGTCTCGATTTTCACGGCGTTTTGGACGGGAGACCCTGAAAACACTGTACATGGCTCTGGTACTTCCTCGACTGGAGTACTGTTCTTCAATATGGAGCCCTCATCAGATAAACCTCACTGAGCGCCTAGAAAGTGTGCAGCGCCGCGCGACTCAAACCTTGGCCTGCCACGACCATTCCTCCGACTACAATGAACGCCCGCGGTCTCTTGGCTGGCGCCGCCTGAGCCACCGCCGAACAGTGGCACATGTCCGACTTAGGGTGCCTTCATGTGCGCTTTGCTTGGGGTGATGACATCTGGCCATTTTGTTTCGAATGCTTATTTTTATTTTTTGTTCTCAAGCGCGTGAAAGAGCGTGTCTCTGCACGCGCTCATGGCGCTGACTGTGCCACGGCGACATTTTGTTTCCTGCGATTTCTTTGTATTTTCCCTGTGAGCGCGTGCTGTCGGCATCGGGTACTACAAACGGTGGCATCACCCTAAACAGAAGGACATTGAGGCACTCTAGTCCGACTCGTTGCTGTTGCCGCTGGCCGGCTCCTACCTGGCATCAGTTTCCTTGTACCTCTAGCCGGACAGGCTGTCCTATCCCTCTCCGCGCCCGCACCCACCGACACGAAGCTTCATTGTTCCCTGCCGCGGCGAGCTCAAACCCGTCCTTACCCCGAGCGCACGCGCCCGCCCCTAACGGGGACTGGGAACGAATTCTGCGACTTCAGCAGGACTGTGTCGAGTGCCCTCCGAGCCCAATAACTTTGTGCACCTACCATTTCTTCCTCCCTTTTATTTGTATATTCATCATCATTTCACCTGTTAACACACAGCCGAGGAGGCAGCCATCACTTGGTTGTACGGGCTTCTGCCTTTTGGCTGCCTCAGGCACTCGGCTGTGTGGAAATTGTGCCATTAAACACCTTGAACCTTGTCATTTTAAACCGCCGACTGGGGAATGAGGCAGCAGAACGATTTCAGCAAGAAGCCACTCTGCGAGGGCATGAAAGATCTACCACCACGAGGGCCAATATATGTCTGCAAACATATTGCCATCTTCCTGTCCAACTAGGCAACTCTAAAAGAAGGCAAAATGACCTGCAAGAGTATCCCATTGAAACATTCTGAAAACTATCGGGCTACACACTCATTCACCATGCTGCAGAATGTTCGGATGAGTGCCTGCTACAGGCACTAATTATGCTTGCTGCAAGCTATTAACTTACCAAACCTGCCCAAATGCACGCCTGAAAGTAAATGAATAGTAACTTTATATCTAGCTCAAACTACCTACGAGGTACTGTGTATCCTGTCAGCTACAGAACAGAAGTCTCTGGACTCCTGCTCTTCAAAGTGGCAGAAACTGACACGACAAAAATCGTCAGTCAGAAAAATTTTTTATCATCGCTCTTGAACACCATGAGTTATTTTTTCACAAGGGCACAATCCAGATGGATATGTAAACAACATATTGTACAAGAAGTTTCGCTGCTACATCAACACATTCACTTTCCCCCGGCAGACCTCCGACACGCACGACTAGCCAGCACACCCGAGCAGTCACGTCGGCTTTTGGAAGAAACGCAAGACGGGGAAAGGATTGCCTCGAGGTAAACCATACGACGAACCTGCGGAGGAAGAATGAAGTGGGTGGGGTAGAGTGAACGGAGAAGCCGGAGAATGAAAGGGGTGGCGGCGGCGGCACATTGTGTGCCCTTTCTGTCTCGCACCGGGCGTCGCCTGGCGTGTAAAAATAAATAAACGAGTGCCGTACGTGCGGAGCAAAAAAACCTGACGGCTCTCTACCCAGTCCCCTACGTCCGGAGAATCCCTAGAACACGGCCAAACACACGGACGCGCCTACGCCCGAGAAGCAAGTGCGTGAAGCGAAGTCGCCGGAAGCCGGCTTTGTTCCGCGTCGAGCGTGCGCCCGCCCATCTCAGAAGGGCGGTGGAGACCACTCTATTATGTCTTCCGAACGTTCGCGTCCTAAGATGGAATCTAAAAGACAATGCACCGCCTAAACGAGAGAAAAAAAAAAGGGGAAAAAAAAGCAATGGCCGCTTCCTGCTCTTTTCCGGCAACGTACCCTCCGCTAAGAAAAATGTGACGATGAAAACATGAAGAAACGAGCGGAAAGCGTGCTGCGACGACCTTTTTAAAAACTAGAAGCACCGCGCTCGGCCAAAAGTGGAACAAACCACCCTACCGCAAAGAATCAGGATCTTCAAAACATGCCTTTCAACAAAAAAAAAATAAGAAAAAAAAGAGGGGGTAGCAGGGGGAGAGGAAAACGTGAAACAACACTAGTCCTGAACACGCTACACAAGAAAACGGGTGCCCTCGCTACGACCTATGCTCCGAAACTCATCCGACGAAAATCGAGGTCGGCAACCTTGCCTCCCGTCCGCCTCGCGCCGGCGATGCGAGTGGAAACGGCGGACACTGCGGAAGAGAGGCCTTCGACGCCCTGTTGCCGCAGCGCGCTTCCCCGGCCCGGGAACGGACCGACGGCGGCAGCGAGTCGGCGCCCGGCCGGAGCCCCGCTGGAACCCGGGCTTGACTCGGCGGGAGCTCGTGGGCCAGACTAGGGAGGAGAAGCCGGGCCACGGGGAGGGGGTGTACAAAACGGAACCAAGCAGCCAAAGAAGCCAGCGCCGTGAGGCAGGGAGGGAGGGGGGCCCCCCCCTTCACTGCAGGGTGCACTGCCGGTGCCCGTTGCGCAGCCTCAGCCGCGACTTGGGACGGTACTTCTCCAGGTAGGAGAGCTGCTTGGCATTGATGGCTCCACGTCGCTTCCTAAAAAAGACGCGAGGCCAGACAGTTGGTGCCTACGACAGCAACTTCGAATTTCGAGCAAGAGATGCCATTGCGACTGTGCATGCATTCTCGAAGAAAAGGTGCCAATAAATGAAGAAACGACAGTACTACTATTCTTGTGCGTAACATGAACATCTCTCGCCGAAAATCAGGTGATTGAATTGATGCGTAACCACATCTCCTTACTGACAGCCTACCATCATGTCAGCTTGCTTTTACTCACTCTCCACAATTACGCATACTATGTCGGAGACTAATTTTGCCTAGAGCAAGGGCTGGCTTGCTAGAAGCAGCACCTTAGATTGTCTGAAAGAAAGCACTGGCAACGCTGGGGTACGCAAGTACGTCGAGACACAATGAAAGTGCCACTCAGCTTGTGCACTAGCTTTAGCGGTGGTTGCTTTCAGCAGTGATGTGATTGGCGTAAGCCGTTTTGGAGCACCTTTTGGAGCAGCCAAAACGGTGCTTTGGAGCAGAAAAAGTGGTTTTTGGAGCAGGCAAAACAGTGTTTTGGAGCAGCAAAAGTTGCTTTTGGAGCAGCCAAAACAATGTTTAGGAGCAGTAAAAGTGGCTTTTGGAGCAGATATTCTTAGAAAAATAAACATATTTGTTTTAAGTGCTGAACGAACGAAGGCCACTTCGCTCGCCGCAATAAACAGATTATGGTCAAGTTCGACCACCTGGGAGTCTTTCAACATGTTACTGAAAAGACAATGACATGACAAATTTTGCAATGTTTCAGTTAAGTTATACATATATATGTACGGTTATAGATAAATAATAACCAAACTGCACATATTAAAATTTATTTGAAAATGACCAGCTTACTAGTAAATATCACAGCATTAGGTTGACCGACTCAGTTATATAAAATAATAAATGGAAGCTGTCTCCGACTGATGAAACAGGTAACTACTGCAGTGCAATGCGAAATTGTATACAAGACAAAGGTGCATTAAGACTACCGGGTGCTTTTCTTTTTGCTTTTCGAAACTTTCTACAAGGCTCCTGCAAGACTTGCTTTGCCTTTGGCTAGTAATGAATTCCCACTTTCAATGTCTCCAAAGAGACATTGAGACGTCCCACAAATGAACAGTGCTGTGGGCGTTGCCGAGCAATTCCGAAAAACCGCTTGTCACCGTTTTACTGGTTCCCGACGCGCCAGATTTTCGTCAAAAGTAAGCAAACTTAAAACAATGGCTTGCAAGCGTCCCGGCTGGTGCCTCTGTCGTGCAGTCATGTCCGCGCGCACATGAGGGCAACTTTGGCAGGCTTTCATTTGCATGTGCTTCGTCGCGCGAGCGGAGATGGCTGTTCGATCGAAACAGACACCATGCCACTCCGCTCCGTCGCCAACTGTTTCCAAAATTGTATGCAAAATACAACAAAAAACAGTCCAGCGGCACGTGCTTTCCTGGCCGGCAGGCGAGGTACAAGCTAAACACACAGAAAAAAGAACCTGAGCGAGTCAGGTCAAGACATCGCAAGTCAGAGTCAAAAAGCACTTGGAGCGCTTTGTACAACGACTGAAGCACTGAAGCGTCAGTCAACACATGCGCCCGTCTACCGTTGAATTTTTTTTTTTTTTTTAAGACGCGAGACGAGACACATGAACGACGCGAGCGTGAAACGAGAGGTGGCGGGAAAAACTATGTAAAACCAGATGGACGATTGATACAGGGTACTTTTTGTTGGGCGGCCGTTTGCGCCGCCTAGCTCATGCATGCTCAGTTACAGTACTTAGTTTAGTTTCGGTTTTGAAAGACGACCAAAATCAGTCTTTTGGCGCAGGCTTGGCGCAGATTACCCATATTTCGGCAAAATGTAGCAGGATGTAGCAGGGTTAGCCCCTTGGCGCAGTTTGGCGCAATTGGCGCAGCAATCACATCACTGTTTCAGAGAGTATTAGCTAAGATGAAAGTCTCATACCCCAGTCACCCTTAAGCTTAGACTAGAAGCTCCACCTTGAGCGCGAGCTTTCTGCCCTTGCTAACGCAAGTGCGAACGTGCAGGCACGCGCAACCAAAGCACTGCAAAAGCCAGCAAGCTCGCGCTGAAGGCGGAGCTTCTAGCCTCAGCTTAAAGGTGAAGAAAGTATAGCAAGCTGGCCGGATGTAGTCACTTTACATCAACGTTCCAACCAAAAGGAGACACACCTGCAGAGAGGACTAGAAACAAAAATCAGACAGCTACATACACTTTGAACTCTATCGCTCAACACAATTTAAGCAATTTGGTTTTAAAAGCTGCACACCAGTTCAGTATGGAAAAGTAAAGAGTATATTATATTAGAATTTCAGAGTATTCTTTGACAAGGATGGAACACTGAATGTATTTAGAACAAATTTCTGGAGCAGAAAAGGTAACGGCCAAGTTTAGGGGCAGCTTGTGCCATGAGGACACTCAAACAAAACAATATAGGGTCATTCTATACCCAATCACTTAGTTTTTACATCTACCATAACAGATTCAGTCAAAACTTTTGCAGCTGTTTTAGCGATGTATGAACGAGTTTACTAATATATGTTCAGCATATGGAGACAGCCTAATTAGAGGCCCACTGCACAGTATACAAGGAAAAGGAAGGAAACCACTTACTGCCTTATCAGTTCCACAGCATCTTCGTAAGTCATTCCTAATTCAATAAGTGCTAATGCGACCAAAACAGGTGCCCTGAAAGAAAATGCAAAGACATGAGCAACATGGGGTCACCTTTGAGTCTCTCCCTCGTGGGTATGTTCCTATCAATATCAGCTCTTACTCAACCCATTGGAACCAAAACAGCAGACAACATGTTGCAACATCCCCCCCACCCCAAGGACCAAAAATACCCCCACTCACCTCAGCCTTTTTCAAAAGGGGTCAGGATGTTTGTTAAGATTGTTTGAGGGCGACAAAATGAATGATCATTTTCAGTGCAATTATAATGGATAGGCACGTGCGTGACGCCGCCAAAACTTTAGTTCGCGGGATGCAGATGGCAGTGCACAAGGACTCGTGCCGTCTCGTGCTCTACACGCGCAGTGCTCCAGCGAGGTTGTCCCACAGGCAGAAAGATTAAAACTCCCTCGATGCATTGCGGCAGCGGTGGTGTAGTCAAATTTGTGGGTGAAATCGGTCTATTATTGGCTGCACCTCTAGCTTTCTCCTCATCCACATTACCCTATACTGAATTATTTTTGTGGTGCAGTCATTTTTTAACCAAGCAAGCTGGACTAATTCTAGTCAGACACACCAACACAGGGTGACTCAGGCAAACTCAGCTGAAGTAAAAAGAGCAAGCAAGTCCACTAAATTGGCATTCTCCAAAGACCCCTGTCAAGACCAACTGTACTGCTCAAACCTGAGCCCCCTACGAAACTCTGTTTCCCCTTGCAACATACCGCAACAGATGCTCAAATCACCAGAGCCAGCGCATAGCTTACAGCAGTGGTTCTCAATCACTGATGCTTTGGGGACCCCTTATGGATCAGCAATGAGCATCACGATTATGATGACAAAAGGGGTAAATAAAGAAAACTAAAGGAATGCAAGCCAACTTTAAAGCTTTGAAACATAGACTAATCAACACTGCTCACTCAATGCACATGTAAAACAGTCAACATCAAGAAAAAACAGACGAAGGCATTTGGGACCCGCAAACTCCCATTTGAGAACCACTGGCTTAGTGCATGCAACAAGACATTCCGGTTAATCGAGTGACAAGCGGAGTGGCTAAAAATGGCTCGTAATGTCCACTGCGGTACACGATAAGACGAAAGGGAGTATGGGGCGAGTCTGGGCAAGCTAACCCACGAAGTTAATGTAATCATCTAGAGGGAAACGTAGTACTGTGCATTTTGGCTGCTTTGGGACGGCAGGGCATAGATGCGGACACCAGTGGTCCCGACGGGACCGTATTGCTGGCGCCGCTTTGATACGACACAAAGAAGCAGGAAAACATCACATGCAAGGCCTATATCTAGTGTTTCTCTGGCTACATTTTTCTCAAAAACACCGGCGTTGTGCCTTGTTTAAAAAAAATTGACGAGCACACGAACAACTTCAACTCACCGCAGGAAAACAAACGCACCTAACGTGTCTACCATCTGCTTTCTTTCTCTACCTTCATTTTGCTCTCTTTCTCTCGGGACCATCAAGACAAGTGCCGACGATTTGCCACACTCTGCTTCTGTGTTTACCCCCTTCCCATGAAAATGGCTCATAATGTTCATTGCGGTACATTGTAAAAGGAAGTACAGGGTGAGGGCGAGCAAGCTTAGCAGAAGAGGAACAGGGAGCATGTCGCGAGAGGAAAGGGGGCCGCACCTTCCGAGGCCAGCGACGCAGTGCACAGCGATGCAACAGTCCGGGTCCTCCTTGAACCGAGTCCTGAGCAACTGAAACCACTCGTCCACCACGCGAGCCGGCGGGGGAGACCCGTCGTCAAACTGCCAGTCCTGAGAGCGAAAGAATTGCAGGCCTTGTTACAAAAGTCATTTGAAAAAAGTCAATATTCCGCAGCCTTACAGACCTCTCGAACATGTACTACACAAAAACGTGGCCTCACAGAAGTACAGGAAAGGGGGAAAACAAAAAAGAGTGCATTATTGCTCCATCCCCTACTGCATAAGGTGCGACAAGGGACAGGTCGCGCTGGAGTAGGCGGGGCCATCTGTGTGGGAGAGAGCACCCTAGCTTTCTGCTATACCCTGTTGCAGATTTAGAAAAGCTGGACAAGCTTCTCCAGTGAAGCCTGCAACCCATTCCTCCTAGCAGAGCGAACACCAGAGAGGAGGCATGTCCATCCTTGTCTTCTCTTGACTTTTTTAACCTGCCACAGGTTATAGTACCACATTTTCTGGACTATACGCATTTAGAAGTTAATATTTTCCGTAGAGAAGACTATCTTCAGGTGCAGACTTTCCTATTCTAAAACTCTAAATCATTTCTACACTAAAAAAAAAAAGGAAGAATATAGATATTATACCGTTTTCCCTTTTAGTTTCTTGCTCAAGCCATTTGGGATTGGAATGTACTGCCACTACTGTTGCCGATGGCGCTCGTCCTTACAATACATTACAGATACACTGTAGCGAGACATCCTTTTTACTTGTTATGTGCATGTATTTATGTTTCCACTCATGTGCCCCCTGCGTAATGCAGGGGGCACATGAGTGCAGGGTGAGGTATAGAAACATGTACAGATGAAATTTAAAAAAAAATTAAAAATAAATGTATGACAAGGATCTATTATTTTCAATAGCATAATGGCATACATTATTGACAATGGAATACAAAAAAATTTATGCATTATTGCGCTATTTCCAGCTGGCAAACCTTACCAACATTACGCTAGAAATATTTTATCGCTGGTTACATACCACACTAGCGGAGTGAAAGTTGACCAACCACAGCTAACAACTATATCCAACTTTGTTTTTTTTTATTCAGTGACCTCACCTCATTTTCCTGAACATACTCAAAATAAAAAACACGAAAGAAAACCAATCACCCAGTCAGCAGTTCTTTCAAAATAAAAAAACTACTTGTCAAATCACAGCAACACCCCCAACATCACCATTGTTGACACTTGTTTTATTTTGCTACGATCTGGTATGATGACACTCAAGGGTCAACATGCGCACCTGGCGAAGAATTGATTGAAAAAAGAGCAAACAACTCAACATATTTCTTAAGACCTACGAAAAATCACATTAAATTATTATGTCCATTAGCCTATCGAACTGTCTAAATATATATGACAGGCAAAAGCACGAGGTTCAGAAGCACAAGGCAATCAAATTGTACCAAAGGGTAAAAGCTTTATCGCTGAAATGAAAGGAGAAACTCCACTGTCGAGGAAAGCCACCGACGTGGATGCATCAACCTTGGGGAACCTGCGTCACGCTATTGTGCACGACAGCCCAAGAACAAAGGGCTGGCAGAAACACTCCTTCTCTGACATAATGCAATCTTTCAGGGGTTACGTAATAGCTGCTTATGCACGTGGCCTCAAAGGGTGCACAAAGCAACGTGTTTTGAGCAAGACCCTGTCCACCAGAGAATATGCCACGCAAATTGACTAGAGCCAAAACCACTAGTAGTAGTGGTCCATACGGATGGAAATTTAAGTTTTATAGCTAACCACCGTATGTAAAAGATACAGGACTACGATTCTCTCCCCTGACACAACCCAAAGTCAGTTACAATTCAAATGCACGCACGAAACGTGCGAAGCCAACTTCATTTAGTTTTTGGAGATTCTTGCTACACATTGCCTCAGTCTTATTTTTTGCTCCAATTTTTAATATTCTCAAAGTGCTCTTTTATACAGGATCATTGCACTGTTTCTCGCAGCACATTCTACCAAACATACTTCCTATTAAAACAACATTGCTCCAAGAAGTCTCCATCTTGCTGACACTTCCGAGTTGGCGATTCAAGACCTGCTAAAGCGACACCCCTATTAGCCCTACAAGTGCCACGCCCAAGTATACTCGGCCGTACTCTCATAAAGGTTTCAGTTTTGATTTGCTCACTGCCTCTCTCAACTGGACTGCACTTTTTTATCTGTAGAGCAATGTCTTGTCTTGTATTCACAACTGTTGACGGCACGTGGAAAGTTTTCTTTAGGGAACTTCTGTTTCGGTTTGCCCCCTTGTTGTGAATCTATGTCATTCAACTTTGCGCTTTTTAGCGAACAGCAAGATCTAGAAATTAGTAATAAACTAAATAAGAAAGTTCCAATTCTGAATAAAGGAAATGTTCGTACGGATCCCTCTTGTGGAGTGGCCCAAGCCCACATTTCATTATTCGGAGCGAGGCCAGGGTACCACATACTACTGTGTCTCGAAAAGTATTATTTGTGAAAACCAAAATTAGGTTGGAGGCATGAAGACCTAGATTAACTTTGAGCCCCTGGATCAGTGCCTCTTCGATAAATAAATATACTTCATAAAGCATGCTACAGGTTTTCTGCGTGGGACTGAAGTTTGTGTCCGACATGCAGGGAAACAACCCAACACCCGAAAGGTTAAAGAGTACTTGGTCAGGTATTGTGCTCAACTATGCACCATTAAGGAATTCGCTTACCCAGACTTTAATGCCTTCCTTCTCAAGAACGTCCTTCTGGTATGTGGCCTCACACACCCTGACAACATCCTTCACATTGCGCTTCTTGAACTCCTGAAAACATGAAAAAGAGAGACAGACGCGACATGGCTCGAACCACAGCCAAGCCCTGGGCAATTGCATTAGATTTTTTTTATCGAGTATTGAGTCTGATAGCAGATGCTGGGTTCAAAAAAGGGTCCACTGTCCACTTAGAAGCAAATTTGAGCGATCTGTAATAGTTGTGTTTCATTAGTATGCACCTCACTAACACAAACACCTGTTATGGATCAAACTTTTGGGGATCGATCTTCCAACATACAGATCTCCGTCGTTAATGTAGAAAACCTGTGGTCCAGACCCATAGTTGCAAGGAGGGGGGGGGGGGGGGGGGGGGGTCCGCAAAGGCATGCTAGGCGTCCGCAAAGCCCAGCCTCATCAGTCAAGATCGGCAATAAAAGTAGTCTTTTTTTTTCAAAAGGAGAAGAAACACTTCAATTTTCGGGTGAATTTTCGTGTATGTCAATGAGAGAAGTCTACTTCACGCCAGCCTTTAGCTACAATTTTATCCATACATTTTCCTTCCCCTCACCACAAACGGGGTCCTGCATCATATCCGCCAATTCACAAGGGGCCCAAGAAACATCAATGGTTGAGAACCACTGGCCCAGACTATGAAGAGCTAGTTCAGGAACAGACTGAACAAACAGGTGCATTTTTGTCTTATGAACATATGTTTTCTAAAGAAATTCCGCAAATACCAGCACTAGTTTCCCTATTGTTTGTTGTCCTTTGCTCTTCTAGAGGAAGAGATAAGACCTGAGCACTGAACAATGGTTTGGTTTTTCCAGCATTTCAGGTCAACTGCGTCACTTGTCCCCCCCCTTCCTGCTGTCTACAGTCCGAGATGACGAACAAAAATATTCATTGGTCATGAGCAGCCCTTATACATAACAAGTGAAGCAGGACTATTCCGCAGTTATTTAAGGTGCACTAAACTTTACGTCACGTGGAAGCAGACAGAATATGCTTTACAAGCAGGACACATTGTACTTTTTGAACAAGAAATTAGGCTCCATAGTACAGTGCAGAACCAAAACTCATCATCCTTTGGCTAGATAAAAGGACTTTTGTAATCATTCTTGTTGTCTACTAAGTTTCTTTACCTTACTTCACTAAGATGAATGACTCACAATGAGGAATATATATTTCTTTTTGTGAAACGGAGGTATTCGCATCATTGACATGATGACTGAAGATGGCCTCTCACAAATGGAAGGTGTACTCTTTCAACTTGCAAACACATTTCTTTTAGTACTCCGCTTTGAATACTTAACTAGCAATTTTATTTTTTTAACAGTTATCACATACCCCACTTTCCACTCCACAAGTCCAAAGCAGCCAGCCAACAGAACTCCATGACCAAGACTGTTTCCCTCCCAGAGTAAAACCCACGCGGCAAGCAGATCGCCCAACCTTGTAACTGGGTGCAGCCAGGGCCACTGAATAGCATACGCCTTAAGGCCCGTTCACACTCTTGCGACCTCTTAAACCTGGGTTCCTTAAAACTTGTTAAACCAGAAAACACACTGGCGCCATCTATTGGGAAGCAGTGTAAACTCGGCGGTCCGGCATATTTTTTTTTTATTTCTCGACCATTATCCTTTCTTTCTTGGCTCGAAAAACTTTTGACAATGTTATAAACGAGCCTTTCTATGGGTATTACGCATATTTGACCTCGAAAATCCCGCAAAACCTTCGCTTTTCTGAAATGCAGTTCCAGGGTCACCGCATAGATGGCGCCACAATGTCAGTGTGTTCCCTCATTCTAAAAACATTTAAGAAGTTGTAAGAGATCTCGTCTCTCTCAGTCGTACTCGGTCGCAAGAGTGTGAACGGGCCTTTAGAGTAAGGACAGTTTGGCAATCTTTCTGCTTAAAATCATTCTTGCCAGTTACCTGAAACCGACTTTGCTGTCCAACAGAAACGTTAAGACAGTCTGCGACAGAGCAAAACTATAATGCTTGAGCTTCCCAATGCTATAGCTGAAGCTTAGGACGTCGCATAAACTATCGTCAATCGCACCACACTACGCACCAAAAAGCCGGCGCCCACAGAGGGGAACAGAGTCGAATACACTAAGCGAAGCCTATTTAGTTTCTCCAAATACAGCAGTATATTAAGGCGACGCGGCACACTCATGAGTCTCAATTAGGCCAATTTGGGACGACGTCCCAAATTGCGTCACCAGGGATCAAAGGTGGACCGGCAACGCCACCCACCTCGAGGAAAGCCGGCACGGTGGCGTCGGTGGGCCGGTCGGTGATGAGGAAGCGCATGTTCTTGAAGCCCACCTCCGAGGGCCCCGGTCGCATGGCTGCTGCCGCCTTCTGCCTCATCCCGGAGGACATTGCACAGCGCACCACTACACAGTCAGCCAGGCCGTTTACCCCATAGGGCACACACATAGACGCGGGCGCTCCCTGCACTGCCGCCACTGCTGCCGGAGGGGGGAGACGCTCTCGCTCCTGCCGCTGCTGCTCACGCGGGGCCTAGCCGGGTGCCCCCTTATTTGTGCTGGGCCAGGCAGTATTCGCCGCTCGATCCCAGGACTACCTCCATCCAAGAATGGCTCCCCTTGGCGGTTGTCACCTGCGGGCACCGGAAAAACCTCACCAGATGCCTCCCTAGCCACTCTGTGCCAATCGACTCGCTTGTCCATAACAAGAATATTTGAGGCAGCTATTATGAGCGGTTCCTTTCAGCATTTATGCCTTGGGCCACCAAAAGTAGTTCACTTCGATATTGGATCCAGAGAGGATGTGCCTTACTCACATTTTTTCACAGCTTGTTTTTTAAGTAGAAAACATCACACTTCAAAGAGGCTAGTTTATGCGGCTACTGAAATTGTAAGGCTATCTCTGTTGCATTGACTGTTAAATTTCAATTGATCTCCAACTAAAAAAAACAGTTTTCAGTGATTGGAAGATGATTCAAAGACAAAGAGGTAAGCCAGGACAAATTGTGACAACACAACTAAGCAACCGTCTCAGGGTTATTACAAAAGAAAAGCAGCATTTGTCAAGGTATCTTAAGTCTGGGAAAGCAGGAAATTGTTAGGGAACTCTACAGAAAAGCAGTCAAGAGACATGGAAATTTGGGAGAAAATAAATTGATACCCTGCTGTCTTTTTATTTGTACACAGAAAAATATTAAGGCATGCTTCCAGATGTTACTGGGTTTCTGTCGGTGCCTACAAAAAGAATGCAATACTAAACCTCAGTTAGCTATCATGGTCATTGTTCACAGTTCTAGGCCCTCTAGTTTTATGAATAAAGATGGGAACTTTGGAAGAAAGTTCTAAGTATCCTGACACTGACCCATGTCACTTTGACCGATTTTGTTTGTTCTATGTGCAAGGAAACTGTGCTAATGTCCGTCAGATTTCTATTCTGTTTGTTGACTGACAGTCTTCCCACAAGGTATATTTTGGTATTGTTCGTCACCGAGATTCACATCAGCAGGGGAAGCTCTTTCCTTCAATGAAAAGAGGTCAGTGGAAGACTGCTGCCCTCTCAACTATTGGCTTGCCCTCAGTTTATTCAGAGGCAAGATGTACAATGTATAACTATGATCAACAAGATCAACAAGGAGTTGGAAAAGGAGCCGATTTTAACCATAAACAAAGCAGGGTATCAACTCGTTTTCCTCGAACTTCCATAAACCTTGACTTGTTTTCTTCTTTTTTTGTGTGTTTTTAAACAATTTTGTGCTTTTCCAGACTAAAAGTACTTTAAGAAATGCTGGTCTACCTTTCTAATGAACCCTGAGACAGTTGCTTAGCTGTGTTGTCACAATTTGACCTGGCTTATCTCCCCATCTTTCAATCATATTAAAATCTCTGAAGGCTGGCTTTTAGTTGGAAATCAATTCAAATTAAAAAGTCAATGCAACAGGTACAGCCCTACAATTTTAGTAGCAGCATAAACTGTCAAAGAATGCAAGTGAGGCACATCCATCCAGGTCCAATACCAAATTGAACTACCTTTATGCTAAAAAATGAACTGCTTTAAAATTTTACATTTGGTGGCCCAAGGAATTAATGCTAAAAGGAACTGCTCTTCATATAGCTTTTTGTTGTAAGTTTAACACTGAAATTATTGCCTATCCTAAATCTTACTTGATTGTCGGAGAACACGCATAATATGTCGAACACTATGTATGACAAGATTTTACAAAACATTTTTTTCTATCAATTTTACTTGGTGTTTTTTTATTTTCATATGCAAGCTATTTTAACGAATAGCTGCCACAAATATTCTTGCTCTGAACACTTTTATAAGAACAACTCCAACCTAACAAGTGTGCAACTTTCTCAATAGCAAGTAGAGAGGCACGTATCAACTGCTGCAAATATTCTTGCTCTGAACACCATTTCAAGAACAACTCCAACCTAACACTCAATATCAAGTAAAGAGGCACATATCAATTGCTGACTAAGCAGCAACGGCGCCTAAATGTCTTTGACACAAGAGGTAGCTCAGCAATATTCAAAAAGGAGCTTGCCATAAAAAAAAATAAAAAAAGATCTCAAGAGCCTGCTTACACATCGCTAAAGGCCTTGCAAAGAAAAGGTTCCCAACCCCTATCGCAGCAGCAACACGGATCTCAGCCCTTCACAACACACTCAAGAAGATAACGTGGGAATGTGTAGCCACAAAGGAACAAGAACAGACTGCCTTCAAACCCTCTTGCACAAGCACCAGTGTTGCGCAACTCCCAACAAGAAACTACCAAGTTGGATCCTCAATCTCCATTTAATACTAACTGGCTAGCTATGAAAGTACCTCATTCGTCCCTTGTCAATTATAAACTCCCAAACAAAAACCGGCTGCACTCACCGGTAATTTACGTTATCACGTCTCCGACCCAGCAAGCCCAACACAGGACAGCTGAGAGTCATTCGAAAACTTTGCGGTCGAGTTTCTCCAGTAGATTACCGACTCATGTGCAGCATTCTAACGGCACTGCGAGTATTTTTGAGAAGCAGCTCGCACCGCTTCGCACCGGCCCATCAAGAGTCACGCGGCTGGCTTGGGCCACTGAATTAAGGGGAGTTGGGGAGGGCCTTGGCAGTGAAACAAGAAGGTTAAGGGGCAAAATGCCACAGCTGTCATCCTATGCCGCAGTGTGCCAACAGTTGCGAAATCCAGAACAATTATTAGAACACCCACGTGTTGCCACCGCACAAGTTAATCCGGAGCACCCGTTTGTAAACAAGCCGGCCGTCTGTGTGACATACCTGCGTCGTGTAAGCGTGCGTCAAAACACATAAAAAAATATCTAAAACTTAAGTACAGTTAGCAACTTCATGGATTAACCTGTAGATGTGAACAGTATTCTCTATCTCAACATGCCAGACAGAAAAGGTTGCAAAAATGAGAACTCTATAAACATATGAGCATGTTAATATTTTTGTTTTCCTTTAAGCACAGAAAAACCCATTTCATAAACCTAAAAAACAATAGGTATGGTGCTTGCATATTTTCCTTTAAACTCTGCACAAATACAAAACAAAGTTAAAGCCCTTCATGCATAGAAGGAATTTGTTGGTAAGATCTCACATCAAGACACACAGACTTACCTATACTCTAGCTACTCAAACATAATGAATTGAAAACTGTACTAAGCAACCACTTACCCAGCCATCCTCACATTAAACTACTGCCAGTCTTTAGACAGTGGCGTCACACCGTGCCCAGAGAATGCCAGGCAACTGACAGGCTGACAGGCGCTTTCCAAAGCCCACAAGCTGGGTGCCTCCTTTCAAATCTGACCCGCACAGCTTCCCATGTTTTATCTTTTTGTTTCTCTTCCAGTCGGCGGCCTCTGTAACATTACCCTGGGAACTTTCTCCCTCTCCCCAGCCGCTGACGTGCACTCTGGTGACGTCTGTGACGGGGCTTTTCTCCCCAGCCATGCTATCAGCCTGTTTCATGTCCTGACCAGACCCAAAGAGAAGGAAAAGCGCATCTACCGTGGTCTGCCGATAGGACAGAGACAACTGCTGCTTTGATAACATATGTGGCATTCCCCCCGAAACACTGAACTTGGAGCTGCCCCTACAAAAAACCCCAACCTCCATGCAATGACCTTTAGTCATTGCATGGAGCTTCTGTGCAATTCATTCCCTAACACCTCTCCAGCAATGATTATTAATAAAATTCACTTTAGATTTTCAAACCTCCACTTTTTCTTTCATTATAATTTTTTATAGGTTCAAAAGATATAGCAATACTAAAGGAACTAGCCACCCAATTCATCGCGAGCTGGTATGAAAGACATGAAAATGCCCTCGCATTCCCAAGAAAGCCAAACAAAAATGTGCAAGTCATAGTTAAAACTAGGAAACTCCAGCCCATACCTCAAGATTTTAAAGTCCCCATATGCAGCCAGAAAATAAACGGATTGGCTATTCCTTTAAATGTCCTACCGCACTGATAGGCATATTTTCAACTTTGTTCTTAGATGTCCAGAAGTCATTGATAGGTTCTACAGACAGTGAGCTTCAGGCGCGTTGCCGCGAAGTTAGTAAACGTCACTGAAAGCTGTTTTTCAACAGCACCTGCGCTCTGGTTCGGAGTATGAACGAACCGGAAGGCCCGCGACAATTATGTTAAAAAAATTCTTTATTACGAGCTAGCCACCTGAAACGCACTTCTCAGACATTCGAACGTTATCTCAGAGGCGCGTAAACGGCATTCTTTCGGTATTTAGAAAAAAAAAAAGAAAGCACGACGTTAAACCGAACTTATTAAAAATGGCTGACAGACAAGACAGGACTTGTTCACCGCTGTTGAGGGCAGCACTTTTCTTGCGTGAACAGGGCGTTTTAAATGGACGAAGCACGTCTTGCGACCCATTTATACAGCAGCATTAAAACTATATTTTTTTTTTTTATACACCGAAGACTTGATTTGATGGCCAGATACGGTATAGAAACGAGCTATATTCTTTTAAGAAAAAAAAAAAAAAAAAGAGATACAGTTAAGTTGAAAAGTTAGGAAGGGGAGTGACCGGATTTTCGTGCGAGAAGGCGGCAAGCCACTTTTGAAGGTCGTACAAAAGGGGGCCCAAAATGAATGGGACACAGCACGTTTTCTACGCCCGAAGGTCCGCGACAGAAAAGGCGGCTACACCGACGAATTTACCAGAAAACAATGTCAAACTTCCCTGTGTGCGATTCATTTCCATAGAGGCACCTCCACCGAGGCGGTCGCACATTTTACAACGCAATGCGGCACCGAAAAGTTCGTGATAAACAGGCTAGCACGCAGAAAGTTCGCCGCCTTAAATCATTGCGCATGAAACCGTACAATCGTCATCTGTTTCTCCAACAAGTGCCAAAAATACACATCCCTTCAGTCGTACCCAAGCTAGGCCTAGCCCTCAATGACGAAAGTGAGACAAGCGTCCCTCAAGTCCATCCCGTCCCTTATTATGACTGCAATTTTAGTTCTCCGATGGCTAAGTGAAAAGACCCGAATAATTTGAGGTGGATATACTCACTGCTGCCTCGCTTTTCATTGAAGCCAGGAGGTGTCGGATATTTCCAGCACACGCTACACATCAAAATATCAAGAAGTGCCCATGGTTGCCGGATAGCTTCGAGGAAACTTGCCAAATGAGGACCCGTGTACGAAATTGTTTCGGGCTTCTTTAGAAGAACGAGAGTATTTGCAGTAATTACTGAGCTTAAACGCAAATATGGTTTAAGAGCACATCCGCTATTCATATATGATAAATACCTACTTTCTTTACATTCTTTTTGGAAAAATTGTGCCATACTCCTTTTAAATCGCGAATATCACCATGCGAAAGAAGAACCGAAAATTGCGTGATATTCGGTCGAACCACGAATGACAAATGTTATTTAAATGAAATCATATTTCCAATTTACGTGCAATAATCACTTTTATGTGAGGCGATTTTTGTTTGTTCCAAATGTCGTGCGATGTTTGGTTGGTTTTTAAAGGATAAAAAAGGAAAAATATGCTCGGCCACGTTTTTCGAAGTGCAAAATACCCTGTGATGCCAAAAATGATACAAAATTGTAAATTCAAATTCAATGTTAAAAAGAAAGTCATTGCGTTAATTGGCTGACTGGCCAACAAATATTAACAGCTTTTTGACGTCACCACAACCCCTGCAAAAGAAGCAGACGAACTTGCACTCCGCATGGCTCCAACGGTCGGCCATTTCTGTGGAAAAGAAGTGCGCGACTGAACACGGCCGACGAGACATGTCACTTCACAATTCTCATTCTCTCTACTCTTTGCTTCGTCCCCTCGAGCTGGTGAACCGAATAAGCGAGAAGCAATGCCACTTTCCCTCATTCTCAACTGTACCAGGAGGGTCGTGACGTCATAGTCCTCGTTTGATCGTACCTATCTTTTCCAAAAATACGGCCATCCGTTTGAGATATAGATATACCAGTGATGTTTTGGAGTTTGTAGCGTCCCAATCAACGCTTCTGCGGCCTTATTTCGTGAAATCCGAATTTCGGTTCAGGCTTGATTCGGGCCCATGCTCTAAAGTAAAAGCAGTATAAAAAAAAAGCCCCCCCCCCCCCCTTCTTTCACTTTCAACTGTTAGTACCCAGTATTAACAGGCTGCACGTGCTGTGGTGTTCGCAGTGTGCCCCCACAACCAGCCATTGCTCAGACTAGTATCACCAAATTAAGTATTTAGTGACTAGCTCACACCCAGGATATTGAAGACGGTCGAGAAACTCGGTAGCCATAATTTACAGCTTCCCAGAATGTCAGCTTTCATTATCAACTAAAATATAATGCAATAGGCGCTGATCTGGCAATTTCTCAGCCCTCCCTCCCTCCCTCCCCTCATGACTTTGAATATATTTGGTACACATAGTTTGAATGCCACGCAACCATGGAAACGAGAGTGAGTGTGACTCAAACTGGCCAATTCTCGACCGGCGATTTTCGGGCGGAAAGAAAACAAATTTTGGGTTGCAAATTGTGTTCGGGGTGGTTGGGCTCTTACAGGTCATGTTCAAATAAAAACCTTGGCGAGCATAAATACCCTGACAGTGTCCCTTTAAAAACTATTTTTTGTTGTTAAACATGTCGATCAATGGAATTGCCTAACCACAAAGGCTGTAAATAGTTCAAATGTGTGTGGCTTTATTGATAACCAGCCTTGGCCTTACGGCTGGCATAATGTCAAAGATAAAAGATCTTGTGACCTTGACGGTCACAAAGCTTTGAAAGGTGTGGAAACCAGATTCCAAAGACGGTCGGCAACTTCGCATGGGCTGAGGCCAGTCGTTGGTTGCAGCAGAGGCACACCTGCAGTGCTGCCCTTGTACACGACTGCAATTGGAGAAAGACAAAGAAAAGCAAAAGCATAGTTGGTAGTAACAATCCATATTAATAAAATTAAGTTTCAATTTCAACTCAAGATCCCTCTTTATTTAGCATTGGCTGAAACACTTTTGATTTTGCCACCGAAATTCTTTTCAAGTTCTGGGCCGAAGTCACTGAAAGACATAAGACACACATTCTTCTGGATATGCTACCACACTTTCTTGCAAATATGCTGCACCAATTTACAAAGAAGCCCACATGCCTACTCTTCCAAGGAGCATGCAAAAGGCAATCATCACAATGCACCAAAGAAAAGCAGCCAATAAAGAGGCACGAGCAACATTTGGTCTCCGAACAGAAAGCCGAGCAGGGTAACCGAGCACGACGTGAACAAAACAATTTAAGGACATTGAATATGAAACAGAAAGCTCTTCTTTCGCGTAAACAAAAAAGAACAAGCAACAAAGCATAACATATAGATCTCTTCATTCGGACCTTGCCAGTTTAGCTTCATTCTTTTCAGCATTTACCGAAGACTGTGAAATGCTCTTTTTTTTTATTTCGTCCATACACAATTTGACATTGGAATGAATTACCAGGGGATCTTAACTTTTTCACATTTGTTCAACCTTTAATACTCAATATGTATTTCATATTCCATACATTTCTGGTTTAGCGTAGAGTGGTATTTTTGTCTCTCGTCGTGCTGGTTTGGCTAGATTTGTTTCGCTTTATTTTATGTGCTGTAGCGTTATTCATCTGTTTGCCTTTCTCCCACTATAATGTCTGCTGAAGCACCATTGAGTACTTGAAATAAATAAAAAAATCACATATATAGAGTGCAATCCACTTATAACCATGTACCACTCATAATGATCAGTTTCTTTGGGACCATGCATTTTTGCGTGATGTATTCAGCCCAGATACAACAATAATCAGTTATAACGATTGCAGTTTAGAGTTTTCTCGTTACCGTTAAGTGCACTGTGCTGTACAGTTTATTTATTTATTTATTGCACACTGCGGATTAAATGAATTGACTGCAAAAAGGATTTTCTCTTCATGCCTAAATAACCAAACTTTCCATGCGACTCTCATTTGCTCTTTGCGTTACTGAAGATGTCCCCCGGAGGCGAAACGTTTCAATTGTTATTTTTGTTGTGTCAAGTCGTTTTTTTTTATTATAGTTATCAGCTTTACAAAAATGAAAGAATAATAAAAACGCGGCTTTCCTCTTCATTTACCAGCAAAATGAGCGGTCACATACGGTAGCTTGTGCCCCAGAAGCATTTATGCGCCCTTGCCAGAGTAAACTATCAGGTGTTCTTTCGCTCGCTCGTGCTGATTTTGACAGATTGTTCAACACGAAAGAAGCATCGATAAACAACCTTGTTCACTGCTGAGCATTTACTTCCATTTTATTGCCACTACCTGTATATATATGTATAACCGGAAAGCCTCAAATAGCTAGCCAACCGGAGGGATACATTCCCCTTCATTTATGCACCGCTGTTTATTTATCCAATGCTAAAAACTACAACAACCAAGCGAAAAATGTGCTGGACTTGTGTCCAACAAGAACAGATAGCACCAATAAATATTGATGTACCACACAAAATTGTATACCACATAAATGTGAAACTTGCAAACCATATCTATGAATAAATCTTCTGCAAGTAGGCAGTAGAATAAATCTACTGCAAGTAGGCATTGCTCCTTAGTACTGAACTGCCGATGAGGCTCTTCTATGCTGGGAACCCCTCATTTCCTTCTTATAGACCAGGGGTGGCCAGGCTGACCCAGCTTGAGAGCCGCAAACGAAACCAAGAAACCTCCAAGAGCCGCGGGGGCGGAGGGCAATCTAGAGCAATAAACGAAACTCGAAATACTTTCAATCTATCCGAGTCAAAAACAGTCCAACTGCACGTAAGGTAGCAGCAGCACAAGAGTACCAAACCGCTACCTGTCTTTCGATTTAAAACGCGTTTGATTTCTCTTTTGGGGGAAGTGCTCGTGTGACCGGGAGGGCGGCGGGGTTGGGGGGGGGGGGGGGTAGGGGGGGATCCGCGAGCCCCACTTTGACACGCGAAGAGTCGCATGCGGCTCGCGAGCCGCAGCTTGGCCACGCCTGTTGTAGACCATTCCACTAAGGGCTCTCTGGGCAGCGTCATTTTGTTTGACTGCAGCGCCATCGACACACGTTCAACACTTCGACGGAATCGTCTGGGTAAAAAAAAAAAAGAAAAGGCATGCGCACGGTTCCGGTAGCAGATGACAAACCGGCCGTTCTCCACGGGCATTTGAACCGATTGGGCAAGGTAGAAGAGGGAAAGGATTTGAGCCATTCTCGTCATTTGGGCAGCTCCGGTAGACTGTACAGCCAGAACTGCCCAAACATGGACGCTCATTTCCCTCTCTCCTCTCACCCTAGTAGAAAAGTCTATAGGTGCTGGGGCATTCTCCTAGAAAAGTCTATAGGTGCTGGGACATTCTCCAAGTATACATTCCCTGGGGTTGAGGAATCCCAAGGCCATGTTTTCTTCAATATGACCACCAATAAACCTTTGTCTGACACCAAAACACACAAAATATGTAGGAAAAAAAATCCAGAAAAAAAAAAAAAAGAACACTTTTGAATTAATTCCAGAAACAATTGAAAACATGGAAACCTACTTACAAAATGTTTGCTTGTCTTGTAACAAAAGTAAAAAAAAGCACGATTTAAAAAAAAAAGTCATGCAAACTCGATTTATTTGATTTAAATCAGTATTATTTGATTTAAATCAAATGAATATGATTTAAACCACTATAGCTAGGAAATAGTGATTCCTTTCCAGTAGATGTATTTCAAGCATGGCAGATTGATTGATGAATCTGTTTGATTGCTCTAAAAAGCACAGAAGAATGAGTGTACAACTTACAGTTGAATTAACAACTTGTTATTGTGGCAAACCCTACCATACTAGAACAACAGAAGCTTCAATTTTTAGTTAATGAGAAAAGCTGTCTGTATTATTATTTCAGTTGTCAGTCAATGTTATCAACACACTCTTCAGTTCTTGAGAAAAGCTGTATTTGCTTTTTCTTTTGCATTCTGATTTGTTTGCAGCATGAGATTACTTTTCTCGTTTTAATATCTTTTACCTTGCGTTCTGATTTGCTCACAATAGGTGTCTATTACGTATCTGAGGAGCAAAGTGGAAGGTAGAAGGAAAGTTCAATGCTCTGATTTTGCACTGCTGCTTGCCTGTGGATATGAAATTTTCTTGATTATATTTTTAAATATTTCTATGGAAACCAAATGCACATATAAAGCATCATATCATACATAAACAGTAAACAAATTAATTTTCTTAATTATTTCTGACTGGAAATGTTTGCTTTAAACCGTCACAGCAAAATTGGTGTGATTTAAATCACAATTTAAATCATCTTGATTGTTATTTTCCAGCCTGCTTCCAGTATTCATAAGGGTGTTGCCAGTGTTTGTATGCAATGACCACCACAGTCGGCTGGCCAACCATAACTGCATTTCTAGGCTTCCCAAGTTTGCCAGGATTTTTCTGATTGACCAAGATTCCTGTAGCAGTCAATGCGTCCAGCGTCGCCACCAACAAAGAGGACGATGCCACTCGTTTGCACGAACCTGAAGGCATGTGGATTACACAGAACGCTTTCACCTAAGCTTGGTGTCGGTCGCACCATCTCTTTCGTCCTTAACATTGAACGCGCAACAATTCGCACACTAATTTGGAGGCTTATAAAAGGTATAAGCTGAGGACTTCCATGACCAAAAAATATTGGTAAAATGGGGACTTTTCTTGTCCCAATTTCGCCAATATTTTTTGGTATCGCACATATCTTGACACACCTTTTTTTGTGTGCTGCAATGTATGCATCGGTTTCTAAAGCAAAATTATTTCCGTCTTGTCAAAACTATGATGTTACGTGGAAACTCTATAGTTTTGCAAATACACGCTCTCGTGATGTTTTGTTAATATTGTATTTTTTAAAACCATGTTTTTGCGCTAAAGACAAAAACAAATCCGCGAGTGTTAATCCTGGGCTTCAAAACTAGATCACCTCTTGCTTGGCTTTGCCTGATTGGGCTCGAGCTTACGGCAAGCCTCATTGAAATTGCCAAGGGTTCGGCAAGCTAAATTAAACTCAGGAGCCAGCGAGGCAGTGTGCATGGATAAAAGCTGTCCGTGAAACAACACGAGCATTTTTTCATGAAAGGTCGTTAGATGAACTGATTGCCAATGGCCAAAGTTGCACTGGCTTTGCTCTTATACAACTCCAGTTGATGGGAGGTTAAGAGAAAATAAAGTAAAAGTGTCATAGATTTACCTCCTTTCAAATATTGTGTTTCATGGCACCTTTGCATCTTAATATCCGTGGCTCGAAAGAGTAGTTTCTCTGTGTTCCTGGAAAACATAAAAGGAGCTCATTACTTAAGATTAGACTAGAAAACAATTAAAAAATGACAACTCTTAAAAAAAAAAAAGCAAAAACGCAAAAGTAAAACAAAAATTATAAAAAAAAAAAAAAGCAGTTCAGATGGGGGTTGAGTGCCTGTACCTCGCCAATTCCTCGTCAAACCCGTCGCTATGAAGCACCTTAACTCTCTCCACCATTATTCGATCCTGGACCTTGAGCTCTTCCAATTTTCGCACTAGGCCCTCGGTGTCCTTAAGAAAAGCGTCCTGTTCTGCGGCCGCAACTCTCGACTTGTCTTTCAGCTGATCGAGTTGCCTTTTCAGGTCGCCGTGCTCCTGACACAACTTCGCGTACTCCTCTTCCTCGCATCTCCGCGCTTCTCCGACATCTGATGGGGAGAGTACGAAGCATTTAGGCAATTAGGCGTTCCCTCCGACTGCTTCTGAATGTAGGCAAGAAAGCTCACCCTCCAATGCTCTAGCGACTTCGCAGTTGCGATGGGAGTATTCTTCGAAAAGCGTTAAGGCGTGACAATCTGTTTTAGACTCATTGCCGTTGCCATCACTACCATTAATTGGATCCATGCTTCTCGGAGTGAGACACTAAAGTTTCTAAATTTGCGTCGCGTGTAACTTTTCGACTTGTTAATTTCGAAAAGCTCGAATGGCTTTTTTTTTAGAAGGAAGCGCGATGCGCGTGTAGAGAGCCTGTATTGCAGAGGTCCCAACGGTCCCAACGGTCCCAACCGCTCGATAGAGGTCACGTGGTTTATAAGCCGCGTTTGCAACACGAGCTGTGAGGAGGTTGACAAGTCTTTACCTTTCAGCCTGCTTTTCTCCTCGCCTAGCGACAATGCAACGCATGCGCACTTGAGGAAAAGCTGTCCACCATTAAATTGCAAATGCTCCCCATGGTATGAAAAAGAACTTTCTCTACAATCTAGGCTCTCTATGCGCATGTTGATAGTGATGGCGATCGAAAGTTGAAGGCATACACAGAGATCAGTGGTAGCTGTACGATCTCTATGGTGGTAGCCGTGGTAGCGGTGTAGCCAGAAATTGTTTTCGGGGGAGGGGCTGAGGCGGCTGCAGATCTAGGAACGGCACAATGAAACGGCTTAACTGGGCACACTGATCACTGGGGTGACTGGGCATAACCAGTAGTATGTATGATCTCTATGTAACCGATGTAACCAGTGGCATACAGTAGGAAGTTAGCCTGCAGACTTTGGACTGACCAAAAAATGTCTGATAGTGATATCTTAACACACACACACACACACATTAGGCAGAAATTTGTTGAGGACGAACGGTAAATTCACGCCGACACGAGTTCAATGAGGCAGACATGGTGCCATAGTTTCACGGTTTCACACACTGCAGAGCATGGTCGCATGGTGTACATCCTGCTGCAGAGGCGAAATGGAGCAAAAGTAGCCAAAAAAAAAAAAAAATGGAACTAAAGAGGAATGGGATTTGATCCACCATGAGGAAGGCAACACAGATAAGAGGAGGAACAAATGACTTCGCAGTACTTTCTGCTTCATTCACTCGATATCGTAGATGCCGCGACGTTGCTCAAAGCGGGATGCTGGATCCACTCAGAGGATCCACTGGATCGCTCCAGAGTATCGCTCGATCAAGAGCGCAAAGACTCCGAGGAGGAGAAAACGCCAGCGAGAGAAAGCGCTTACTACCCGTGTCTACCTGAATTTTCGAGAACGTTCGGAGTGAGTCACATCTATTATCTGAGGCAACACTAGGAAATAACTGGTTCTCCGCCTCCTTTCGCCCTTTATCTGGTACATTCTGCGCGATGCGTCATACTACATTTGACGTCACTTTATACTCTCGATGGCAAAGTTTATACCTCTCGTCCAATCAGCGCGAACGAATTTGTCACGTGACGGAAAGCGACCAATGTTTGTAAACAGTATGGTGGACACTTACGTTGCGTGACATTCCGTTTTGAACGGGGCCGTAGCAGTCATCTGAACCGAGTGCAATATTGCGAGTCATTTTTTACGTCGGTATATATACCCGCTACACAGCGTGTAATCGTCAGTCTTCTTCCGACCAAAGCTTACGTTGCCAGGTAAGTAGTTTGTGATACGCTTTAGGCTTGTATGAGAAGACGTGTTATCGTACATACGGACTTTGGAAATATTCAGGATCTCTAGGTTCCTTTATAGTTAGAGAGTATCACTAACCTGTCAGTTTATGTTCAAGATACCAAAAAAACATTTTGTAGAACATCCTTAACCTGTTCGTTTCTACCGTTGGTTGCTACGCAGTAGGATCTCCTGCGTGACCTCGTTTTAGTTGAGAACTACTGCGACGCAGATATCCGTGAACTGTGGTTCTGGTTCGGACAGATGGATGTTTAGCTGTTTCACTGTCTGCAGGTGCAAGATTACGAGATCAACCATGACGACGGTTAAAGTGTACCTCGATGGCTCGGAGATCCGTCGCTTCGTGATGGGCGACGTGAAAGATTTCAAGGCGTTCAAGGCAACGATCGGTCAACTCTTTCCATCGCTGGCTGGCAAAGACTTCACGCTGTCATGGCGAGGTAAGTTTTCGGCACTGTACCTATACGCTTATCTCGCAGTAAAATACGAACGTTCTGTTGGTTTAAGCTTGCACACATTCTACCTTTTAAAAAAAAGTATTTTCTCGTTTTTTTTTTTTGTTATTTCTCAATTTGTCAAATAATTTGAAGTATGGGACCTCTACATCGCATTCCATTCCTCGAACCGCAGCTCCCAAAAGTATGCAGGCACGACAAAGAAGCACGAAAAAATATTTCAGCTCATATTGTCCGCCATAGTGCGGTGACATAACCTCAATAGCGTTACCTCAGAAAGTTGTATTACAAGTTAAAGGGATACTTCAATGAAATTTAAAATATATCCGTCGTGTTCAAAAATAGGTTGAATATGATCCACAATATCCATAAATGACAATCGCACGTTTGTATTTTGAGCCTGGTGGCAATATTTTTTGTTATAAACGGCCCACTCCAGCAAGCGCTCGGAGAAGGCCCAGCTTAGAGCATGTGGCATCCTACGCAATCGTGACGGAGGTCGTCTCGGGACAAGCAAAGCTACGGTGAGGCTGACGTCGAGGGAATGGCCTAGTCATTCCAGCCACCGAAGCAGCTGCTTTTGTAAGAATTTTGAGTGACGGGTTAATCTTTTATAATCTTGTAGGGGGACAATAGCTACTTCTGGAACACACAAAAGGGATTCTCGGGAAGACGGGAGTTCCTCCTTCCCCTCTTTTCTCGTTGTGGCCGGAGGCGAGACACTCACCGTCACTAACTGTCGAGGTTCCTAGACAGGCATTACAAACGAGGCGTTAGCGACATCCACCAGGTGCTCTGTGCTAATCGTTTAATTCTTTTTAAAATTCCTTTTTGTGACTTTTCTAACAAGATATTGGTGTGTTCGATGTGATACTGCTCCTTTGAACACATATAGACCATAAAATAAGCGCCGAAATTTCGTTGTAGTATCCCTTTAAGAAGTAAGACAGGACTTTTCCTTCTCGAAGGAATTTCGTAGTGCTCGTTTCTAAGCGTAAAAGTAAATCAATGAAACATTTGGAGCGGTCTTTGCCTATGGTAAACATCACTTCAGCAAAAAAAAAAAAAAAAAAATGGACATCTAACCGCATTGCTGAGGTAATGGAGAGTTGTTCAAAGCCAAATTTGCTGCCCCATATGTTCTGTATTTTTCATTTTGTAAAACTTGCCAAATTGGAGGCATGTCAGATAGATGTTGACCATTGAGGCTGCAGGTTCACACATTTGCAACTGCTTGCAACTGCCTGCCTTAAAACCTCTTAAAATCTCTTACGTCGAGAGAAGACACCGGCGCCATCTATTGGGAAGGAACGCTTGGCATTCCTGTATATTTCCCGTTTTTTTTGTGCATTATTCTTTCTTTCTCGACTTGAAAAACTTTTGACACAATAGTGTGAGCAACCCTTTCTCATGTATCTCGTAGCCACTTTTGACGATATTGTGAACGACCATCTCTCAAGGGATTACGAGAGCTTGGTCGTAAGCAAACACAAGTGTGATTTGGGCCTTTATACTGCGCTGTAATATCCGCTCGTTTCCGCTTCTTCCCTTTGTAGATGTGGACGGTGACCCGATCGTCATGTCCAGCGACGTGGAACTTTCACAAGCCACCCTGAACATGGAAGATGGCCTGCTCAGGGTCTACGCCACAATCGTCCAGCCGGGCGCTCCTGGGGCTTCCGGGGCTTCCGGTGCTCCCGGGGCTTCCGGTGCTCAAGCGCCCGCCGACAAGATTCACGCCGGCGTACTGTGCGACGTGTGCGACACTGAGATCCACGGCGTGCGTTACAAGTGCCTGCAGTGCGAGGATTATGACATGTGCGACCCGTGTCACCTCAAGAGGACACACGAAGAGCACGACATGCTGAAGCTTGTGAATCCCGGAGTGGTGAGTGTTGCCTCCTTCCTCTGCGGTTGCCGCTCTGTCTGTGGCTCAAAGTCCACAAAAAAGCAACTTGGAAAAAAAAAATGGGGGGCTTAGATTTATTGAACGGAAGATTAACGCAGCTGGGAGTTCACCTGCCTCAAAACGCCACGCCATCTCATGTTACAGCCATAGAGGGGCGCCAGTGTGACTAATCAAGAGCTTTTATAGCGTAGTATACAGTAATTCGCAGCAGTGTGACTGAAGAAAAGAACTTGGTTATGTTGTACAGATGACCATACAGTGGGAAGTTGGCCTGCTCTGAAATGGCATATTCTGTTTCCGTTGTTGAGGGGCATTATGGCCACGATGATTGCTAGTTTGAAGCTTTTAAAGTGCAGCGTGCATTAATCAATACTCTAATGTGTGTATTACTGTAGTCGCTGTACAACATCCATTCATATTAAAACTGGCAGAAGTATACATTAATGTTAGGTTACCACATTTTTGCAAAAACTCGACTTTGCGTCAGTGAGGACAGTCTTGTAGGGGAAACTGGGATTTGGTTGGAAGTTGTAGTTCCAAAGTTAACGTTGTGCCTATTTAAGTTAATACAGGTTCTTTTTGTTCATCTCTGGAACACATTCTCAGAATTGTAGTCACCAGCTGGAACTCATTACAATTAGGGTTGGACATTTTAATGTGGGGCTTAAGAGTAATTTTTTTATTTATGAAAGAATACTTATCTTGTTATGCACTAATATAACACATCTTGCACCTATTCCAAATGTGCAATCAGATATTGAAAATCTTTACTAAAACCCGAGTTATGGGAGATCGGTCTAATTTGATTAGGTCATTTGTTACGGGTCGTTAAAGAAAAATTATTCGTAAATTATAAAAAAATTTAATGCAACTGCATTCACAAAGGTGTGTTTGTGTATTTGTGCATTCACAAAGGTGTATTTAGATCTCCCCTGAGAGGGTTATGTTACTAAAGAACGATTGTAATTATGGTGTAAAAGACATGCTTTTTCATTATTTAAGAACATAATTAATTAAATAAAGATAGTGTCACTGCACAGCTCCCTTCTCGATTAAAATGGCACCCAACATGTTAATATTGTCCTGGAGAAAATTCAGAAAACGCCTGTAAGGCATTGGTACCTGTCGAAGAAGTGTGAAGAGAGAAAATAAGCACTTGAAGTATGTGTATTCCTATTAAATGTTCGTAAACAATTACGGCTTCACTTTTTTTTTTTTTTTCATATTTTAAAATAGGATAGAGCAATAATATTTTGTACAGAGCTGGGTGGGTATGTCTAACTTTTAGAAAAGCCATTTTCTAGGAAATGACTTTTCCCCAGCTTTTTAGCATTTAAAGACCAGCATCCCCTTTTAGGCAAACCCTTCACCCTGCTTATGAAAAGGGAAATTGTTGCAGAAGCGGTAGGAGATGCAAACGTTTAGGTTGAGGGAGTGCTTGGTTTGCTCGTACTATTCCTTCAACTAATTTCTCTTAACTGCGATGCTTCGTTAAAAAACGCCGTTGTTGTCCCGACCTATCGCAGCGCTATGGTCACCGACGGGATCAGAACGGCGGAGTGTCTCTGTCAGATACCCGTTCTTCAGCATGCAGTCGCTGCCCTCTGCGAAACTTTAACTGCGCATGCACACTCGAGGTTCACTTTGGCGCCGAAGCGTTAGCGAAATGACGCTCATGTTGGAGGCAACTGAGAGACCTCCCTGCCCTTTGCCTCCTGCCGGCGATTCTAGACTATCCCATTAACGGTTCCCTGGGTGGCGCCATTCTGTTGGACTGCAGCGCCATCTATGTGCATTCGGGCACTTCGACGGAATCGTCGGGGTAAGAAGGGGGAAAAGGCACATGCCTGATCCTGTTAGCAGAAAACAAACCGGCCGTCCTCCGCGGGCATTTCAACCGACTCGGCGATGTAGAAGAGGGAAAGGGCACGCATCATTATCGTCGTTTGGGCAGTTCCGGTGGGCTGTGCTGCCGGAACTGCCCAAACAACGCTCATTTCCCTTCTCTACCCTATAGTCAGTGACAGGACAAGTGAACGCCGGAGAGGAGGTCGCCTCCTCTCCAGCGTTCTTTCTTCTAAAGTGGAGAGGTGGGAGGAGCTTCCCCCAAACTCTTATCCTGTTGCCAAGTGTAGTAGAATGGTCGATGGATGTGTGATTGCTCAGTCTCCACATAGGTAGCAGTTTACTCTTGCGGAATGCTGACTTTGGATTGCTTTGCTTCGCTTTTCAGCGACCCATCTGGGGTTTCCCCGGCTGGAAACGGCTGTGGCGCCACTGCGCCAAGTCCACGATGGGCGGCGGCCGTGGCCACCACGGCTGGGGCCACCGCAGGGGAGGTCCCCCTGGGCCCCACAGGGGGTGCCCCGCATTCAGAGGCTGCCCGGCGACCCAGGCAGCGGGACCGTCCGCGGAGGGCGGGGCCACCGCACAAGACCCTACGCACGCTGCACGGGTGCAGTACCACGAGCTTCTGAACGGCATCGGGGACACCATCGCCAACCTGCTCGACCCGCTCGGTGAGTTGGCACAGTGCAACCAATAGCTTGTAATGTGCGTATCCTTTAAAGAAGTCACTAAACCACTTTCTGTGATAGTCTGTTTATGGTCATAATTTAATCTATGTGAGGCCATGCATGATTAAAGTGGTTGAACATGATGAAATATAACCTCGGTAAACTCGGATGACGAAGAGGGAACCAATACACGTGAAATACAGATTGGTAAACGTGTCCGTGTTTACTGAGGCTGTATTTCATCATGTTCAACTGCTACCAACTGACCCAATTTACAACCCTGCTTCATGAATGTAATATTTAGTTTTTCAGGGTGCTTGGTGCGCATAGATTGAGGTATGACCATAAATGGACTATCGCAGAAACTGGTTTAGTGCCTCCTTGACCCTGCAACCTCAAGAAAAGCTCTTTCTGCAGGGCGTCCTTCCCACTGAGTAAAAATAAAAGGAAGGGGGCAACATGGCTTGGGATAAAGAAAAGAAGCGGAAGCAAAGCAATACGCATAACAGCTAGTAGAAGGAAAGGATGATTTATTAAAATAGTTGGTAGTCCAGTGGTCGGTTGTCTTTTCTGTTTCTCCTTCCTTCCTTGTTCAGCTGGTTCCACCCGTGATGCCTAGTATTCAACTTGCTCAGCTCGTCCCTGTAGTGAAAAAATGGAGCCGGTTGTCGTATTTCCCAAACATTTAAAGCCTAGATTGTGCAAAAGTGGGAGCACTTGCAATTCATTTTGTTTGAATAAGCGGTGAAAATGTGCAAGGAAGAGAAAAAAGAGAAAACTCGAGAGCAGCCTGGTTTTAAAAAGTAAATGCAACTGAATGCATTCGTTGCGGAGTTACACAAATGTGTGCGTGCTGGGTTGTAGATACGAAAATGTTGGAAGTGTGCGCAGGCATTCCATTTTCCAATTCTCAACAGGCTGTTCACAGTCATTCTAAGTTTCTTGGATCGTTTCTTTTTTGGTAGGCATCAATGTGGCCTACCACGTGGAGAGGGCCTCTGAAACAGCCCCGACCCCAGATGACCACAGCAAGAAGGACTCCGCGACGGAACCGATGGACACCACCCAAGACGGCGCTGGTGGCAGGCCCAAGACCTCCGAGGCAGCTGCACAGAGCACCGAGGCGGCCAAGACTCCCGATGCACCGCGGAGCTCCGAGCCACAGGCTGCGGCAACGGGGGGCGTGTTCTGCCCCTTTGGGTCGATCCCGCAGAACCTGGGGTCCGTTCCCAAGCCCACTCCAGCCCCCGAGTCGGAGCCGATGACGGTGAGGCTCACTTCTGGACGCGGTTTGCGTTTTCTGACAACTGCATGCAAGCTACTCTTAAGACTGGCTCACACATTTGTATTTGGGTGGGATAGAGCGCTTGCCCGTTACGTCGAGAGACCACACCGGCGCCATCTTTCAGGCAGCCCTGGAAGCGGTTCCGACCTGCCCTCAATAAATTTTTATACATCATTCTTTCTCCCCAGGGTCGAAATAATTCTGACACTGTTATAAGTGACCATATCTCGTAGATAGTGCATAGGTTTGATCTTTCGGATACTGCAAAACCTTATGCGCGGATCGGAGCTGTTTCCTGGCTGCTTGAGAGATGGTGGCAAGTGCATTCTTTCATAAGCGGTTACGAGTGAGCACGGCTCACTCGGTCGCACTCAGAAGCGCGTGTGTGGACCAGCTTTAAAATGCAGTGGGGAAAGCTATGGAATGCACATTTGAAGCGTCTGTGGACATGGAATCTTAGCAAGAGCGGTGCTCTTTTACTCGACTGGTTACTACGACCGTCCCTGCTCTCAAGTAAAGTGTCTTACCAGTTTAAGCAGAAGTTTAGCAGATTTGTGCCAGCCGCTGGTGCACAGCTGCGAGCCAGAGCACTTCCTGTTGTCCTCCACTGTTTGTAAAACAACTTGACTGCATCAGTGCTGATGCAGTCAAAAGAGTTAGAGAACCCCTGGTCTAGGGTTTTGTTTCACGCGAGGCATTCGTTAATAGAAAGAGGACAAGTCATTCTTTGCATTATCGTTGCTGATACCGGGTTGGTTATGTTTCAGGAGCCTGACGTGTCCCACGGGTGGACCTTGCTGAATGCGCTCCGCGAGTCCATCATGGTGGACGACTCTAACGCAGCAGCATCTGCACCGGCGGCTTCACCGGCGCAACAGCAGTGCAATGGTGGGTGCTTCCTTACGCAAAACACAAGGCTACTTTTGGCTTCTAACCAGGAGTGCATCTTGGTCGCGAGACCACAACTTAACACACCCCTATGTATCTGCTCGAGACTTCCACAATGCTACGTTTGAGAAAACCACCTGCAAACGAATCTGTAAATGTAAATGATATTGCGAAGCAAAACGTTTACCTTGACATAGCTAAGCAGCAGATTGGTAAAAATTTGCAGTTTTATTTCGTGTATCGATCAAACCATTGTATGCAGAAACGCGTTTTATGAGGAGTGCAGCAAACACTAACTCCAGTCGGAGCCATCCAGACACGCGACACCGTGTCAGCGCTGCCATGTCCTCCTTTTGTACCACTCTTTTATTTTTCTTGTTTTGAGGCTTTTAGCGGGGAAGACCTTGAAATGTCGGAGCCCTCCCTCCTGCTCCTTCCATTTTCTTTTTTTTTTTTTTTTTTTTTTTTTTTGTCGGCTAGTTTAGACTGCGGCACAGGTGTTCGACAGCGTATCGGGCATTGCTCACTTTTTCAAGGTCAAATCGGATTTAGCTTCAGTAAGGATGCAATTCTGTGTTAACACCATGCTACAAGGTTCCCTTTTTTTCTCTCCATTTCTGCTAGGCTCCAAGATTGACACTGCCCTCTCCCAGATGCTCGTCATGGGATTCGACAACGAAGGGGGCTGGCTGAGGCAGCTGCTCGAAGTGAAGCGGGGCGACATCAGCGCTGTGCTCGAGTCCCTGCACCCGTCCCCCAAGTAGATGGGATTGGATCCAATGAAGTGTAGCACTTCCCTGTTGCGTGGCGTTGGCCATTATGCAGAGCACTCTATTCCGAGTATTATTGGTTTCCGAGTATTCCTCCGTTTGCTTTAACTTGCGATAGTATTGTACCCACGTGTTTTATGTTTAACCTACATGTTGCGACGGCCTGGAGGGTTGTGCTCTCCCCTCCCGTGTTTTAGCAAGTAGACTGTTGGTGACGTGCTGTCTTATTTTCGAATAATTAGTCCTCGAAACTCGTGACTTGTGACTGTTTTCACATTTGGTTTGTTTGAGATCTGTGATGGTCAGGATTGTTTCCAAGTAGTTCCACTTTTTATTTTGACAAAGGGGGATGGTATTGTTTTTTTTTCTTCTGTTTTATGTATAAAGTTTATGTAGCTTGACTGAGCCTTTTGTGTTGTTTGTATTTGAGGTGTTTGTCAGGACCGTTAGTTCCTCGTTTGTTTTATAATAGAAGTTCTCTCCCTGTGAGAGCTGATGAGTTTAGCACTGCGATTTGACAGGTCCTACCTTAGGAAAAACTTTAGACGTTTAAACACTTAATTACTCTCTTGATTAGACCTGCCTGATTTTGTGCTGCCGGTTGCAGTTTTGTGTTGTACTTTTGTCTGATAGATGAAAGGGTGTTATGTTTTTAGATTAATTTTTGCACCTATAGCAGGTATAGCTGTATTTACTTTCTATTATCGTTTGATTCATGTTCGTTGCAATGGATGCCTGTATTCACCTTATTTCTTGTTTGAGAACAATAAAGTTTTGATCACTACTTCTGTTCTGTCTTGTATGAGTCACTATGAGAATTTACTTGCTCAGTAGTGTGTTGGCTGTTTTTATGCAGTATGTTCAGGTTAAAATTTAGTACAAATAGAAGACTGAAATAGCTGCTGCAGAAGGTCGGTTGGTGCGGTGGTTGCTCCTCCATGAAACAGATACAAATTGTTGCCACTGTAGAAAGGCAGTGATGTCAGCGTGTGTCTGTTGCATTCCGTATCAAAATCGACAAGGGTGAGGAATGTGAGGAATAGCTTGTTTGCAGCAGGAGCTTGCGTACAGAGCGTGGACAAGCGATCGCCTGTTGTTTGTTTTACTCTTAGAATTCAAGGACCACCACCAAGACTACTAAAGTGGTGGAATGGGGCATTTGGGTTCTGACGCACTAACCTAAGCGTTAAAGTTGCGGTCGAATTCGCGTTAACGATGCTGCACAATGTAGTTTCGGTTTCGAACTTAGCGCACAAAATTAAGTAAACGTCTAGTAACTCTAAACTGCACTTCAAATTAATTGAAGCATTAACAATAGAACTTATGATATGAATCCATATTACACCGTGGCTCGAAATTTTGGAAATTGGAGTTATTTTTTACGTAGTTGTGGCTCTGGCCGGTGCGGTTCGAAGCCACAAGATCCGGTCGCATAGCAACCGGAAGGAACGCCATCAGTGCACTGCACCACTGCATAATTCTTGCTCTTTCGGTTTTCGCTGCTTTTGCTTCGCATCTAGGCACTACAAGTTGTTTCTGTTTGTCCTGGAAAATTCCATTGACCCACCTGTTTGCTTCACAAGTGGAAAGCTAGGCAAGCAATGGTAAGGCATTTGCACTAACTGGAACACAACACGCATCGTGCAGCGGCCCGCCCGAATATTTTAAAATTTAGATACGGAGAACGATTATCTTCGTTGGGCCATTCTCAATATAGCGACCAGCTTTCAAGTTTATTAGCTCGGCTGTCTCACTCCCTTACAACAGCATCCTGCGTGATGCATATCTAAAACGAGAAAGCGTTGATTACTAGTTCGGGCATACTAGCCAGGAGAAAGTAAAAAAACATGTTTCTTTGCTTTATCATTTTACATTCACTCCGTTTCAATTCTCCTGAAGAAATTGCCAACAATAGTCACTGACAGGATAAGAACGCCGTAGTGTTATCGAAGGCCGGAAGCTCAAGGCGGGACCACTGAAAGACCTACCTGCATGCCGTCCTCACCCCGTCAGTGGAGGAGGCATTGGTCGGAGACTAAACACCTTTCCATTGTGTACAAATCCACATCCCACAGCCCGCGCATCGCTTCGGAAAGTGAGCAAGCACGCGCCATACGCACAAACACTGGAAATAGCACAGGCCAGGGGCCCATTTTTGTTCCGATTCGTCCACTTTGTCCCTATTCTTCGTCCGCAGTCGTCCTCGAGGAAAAGTGCGTCAGGTGCAGGCTACAAGCGGAAACTGAGCGGAAAGCCAGAACCGAGCGAGGAGCAGAAGAACGACATGAAGGAAGCGTTCAGTCTCTTCGATCCCAGTGGCACGGGCTTCATGGAGTCTAAAGATATGAAGGTATAGTTTCATTTCATTGGCGTAGTTGTAATTCCAAACGGGGATCCCCTTACCCTCTCCCAGGAAATCGGAAACTTTCTACCTATGCATTGCACTCCGTTTACTGGCTTACTGGGTGCTTGGGAACACCCTGCACATCCCCTTTGCTGTGTGCTAGCACACCATATATATATACATATATATACATATATGGTGCGCTAGCACACCATATATGTACATATATATATATATATTTTTTTTTTTTTTTACATCCTTTTTTCACAGTTTGCAATGAGAGCACTGGGTTTTGAACCAAAAAAGGAGGAAGTGAAAAAACTCATAGCAGAGATTGACAAGCAGGGAACTGGTAAGGAACTTTTTTACAAATATGTATCGTCATGGAAGCATGTTAGCCAGAATGTCAATAATCTTTCAGTTGATAGTGCACGCTCTTGTTAGTGCTCGTTCTTCATATTTCTCGCTCGTTCTTCATATTTTTCACACTGTTTTCTGTAATACATTCATACCAACTAGCCCAACTTTACATAATATTAAGTGTAAAATGCTTGCAAGTGTAAGACAATGATCCATTTCCTACCGACATTACTTTCCTCATCTGCAGCTGCATTGTCGTTTGAAGCACACAAATGCAATAGCTGATGCAAGCAGTGGATAGCTAGAAACAACCACCTGTGGATTGAACTTGTCAGATGCACATTATGTGATATTGCACAGGTAGCAGGGCTCATAGTGGCAACTGCTACACTACTAAACAAAATGTTTTCTTATAAGCTTTATTCTTGGACAACAATAGAGTGCATTACTGTTGCGAGCACAGATGGATAGAGTGAAAAGTGACTCCTAAGAAATGTCCTGAAAAAGGAATGTAAGTTGCATCCAGCAAACCACAGCACATCTGGCAATTATTGTGATAGTCTTGTTCTAGATGCAATAGATTTTGTAGATAATTTTTTTTTTGTATTGGGGATGCAAATGGTGTTAAGTGGGAATCTATTGTTTCTTTTTTTTTTTTTGTACGTAGGAAAAATTCCCCTGGAGGAGTTCATGAGCGTCATGTCCACGAGGCTGGCTGAGAAAGACATAAATGAGGAGATTATGAAGGCGTTTCAGCTGTTTGATGAGGATGGCACTGGGAAGATTTCTTTCAAGAACCTCAAGAATGTGGCCAAGGAACTGTCGGAGAACCTCACAGATGAGGAGCTTCAGGTAAACCTGTCATGGTGCCGCATGCGTGACCGACGTGGCAGCGGACGGCCATCACTCCAGCCGTCCACCGTTTAAACAACGTCAGCCGAGTTTTAATGCAGAATTGCGTTCTAATGAAAGCTAACTCGGATTTTGTGTTTTTAATGGTGTGCACGTGGTATCACAATGTCAACAACGTTATTGGTCCTAGTAACTTTGCGCATCAAATCAAGGTACAACAGGACGTCACGTCACACACGTGACATGGCAATGTCGGGTCAGGCGTCGGGCAACTCCACGACTCAACGCTATGATGTACGTGAACATGTTGCATCACGTCACAGTGTTGCCAAATTTCCCTTTTACCATTCGTGCTGTTCTGGAGCATTCCAGCGGAATCTCGGAACTTATTGCATGTTTATGTCTACCGTAATGTCTTGAGAGATAGCCCACCTAAGCAAGAGCGAATTGGGTGAAAATGAGGAGTGTGCAGTCGGAGAAAAAGTTTAGAAATGCTATTTTTGTATTTCGTGACCTGCCAAACTTGTTTGCACGTTGAGTGGCAATGGAGCATAGGCAACTGTCCTTCCCAGTCAGCAATGTTTGCTTATCTCGAGCCATAGCTAACTGACCTCTTTTTGGCCGAGGTCACCATTGGCCAGGGCACTGCAATTACTAGAATTAAACTAAATTTCGGTGTTTTTGAAAAAAATAAAAGGAAATCATGTCAAAATTAGCAGTGGGTTACCTTTCGAGGGTGGGGCATCTTGTGGGATGTTACAGTAGGGCATACTCGACAGCATAGACTGTATAAAAGATGCCAAGACTGGCAGTATCGAGTTGGCCGTCGTCCTGTCGCCGACGCAGGGTGTGCAGTACTTTTTTCACTCCAGTTTCAGGCACAAGTTCGCCTTATTAAATTCTCATCTTTAGCTTTCACATCCAATTACTGTTTGTTATTTGTAACGATATACTTTTTTTTTTTTTTACGAACGGAAAAAAAAAGAGACAATAATATACTTGCTCCACATACTTCATTTAAAGCAGCCATTGTGCAAGTTTAGGGGAAGTCCTCAGGTAGAGTGCCCTATCACCTTCATATGGATTGCAACTCGACAAGTGCAACATGTAGATTTATTTGACACTTGGTACGAGTAGCACATTTCTATGCAATGTTCTGCCAAAGTTTAAGCAACATGACTCATTTTGTGCATTTACCTGGTAATACATCTTCAGTGAAGCATTTGTAAAAGTTTTAATTCATAGTGTCTATACTCGGCATCAAATATTTAACGCTATGTTGTCAAGTCTAGCATAACTTCTGCAATCAAAGATGGTTGTCTGAGCATGTGCAAATGAGAAGCAAGATGAAGCCACGTTCTCTCAGCAGCAGGGGTTTCCCCAAGAATTGAAATTAGGGGGGGGGGGGGGGGCATCTAAATTTTGAGGGTAAGGGGGCGGGGAAATTAAGAATAGAGGAGTTATTATGTGTTTATATTATGTGTTTTTTTCCTAAATAAACTTTAGTTGCGAGTGCGCCTCGCCCTGTTTACTCTCGTCTTTGTCCTGTCGTTTTTTGGCGCTGTATTTACTGAATAGAGGAGTTGTTGCGAATTAAGGGGGTGCCTTCAGAAGAAACAAGGGGGGTGTGTAGGGAAATCACTGCGCAGCAGTCGAAGCTAGCCTTGACAGTGTAGCACAATGTAGTGGATACCGAGTATACACAGTGTTTTTTTTAAATCTTTACAGAGTTGTTTAAAAAAAAGCCTTGAAAGCTACACTCACGCAGTGTATGCAGGTGAGTTATACGGACATTGCATAAGGGGTTAATCTTAACAATCAGTCAGCTAATTAAGTATAATTTGTTAATTAACTTTTTATTTAGTGAAAATATACATGTGGCTCCAATCACCGAAAACCACTAAATCAACTCTTTTTAGGAAGATATAAAGGCCCGTTCACACTCTTGCAACCTCTTAAAACTTGGTGGCTTGAAACCTCTTACAACGAGAAGACACACTGGTGCCACCTATTGGGTAGCAGTGTAAACTTGGCGGTCCGGCATATTTTCTATTTCTCTCGCGCATTATCCTTTCTTTCTTGGCTCGATAAACTTTTGTCAACGTTATAAACGAGCCTTTCTTGTAAGTATTATGCACATTTGACTTCGGAAATACCGCAAAACCTTCGCTCTTATGAAATGCAGTTCCAGGGTCAACACATAGATGGCGCCAGCGTGCCAGTGTGTTTTGTCGTTCTAAGAAATTTAAGAGGTTTCAACAAGTCTCGTCTTTCTCGGTCGTACTCGGTTGCAAGAGTGTGAATGGGTCTTAAGACAGGGGCAGCATTTTACGGCGTTCTGAAAAATCTTTGAATTTGGACTGGTTTCCAGGTTTCGATTTCTCATCGGAGTGCATCTTTGCACCCGCGGTCCTGCTCCCCGGTGGTCGCGGTGCGAAGCCACCCCTTTGCCTCCCTGGTAGGATGGAAGGAAGTAGGGCACACGTGTGTTGCGCGTCTCAGCCACTGGGGAGCAGGATCACAGGTGCAGAGACGCACTCCGGTAAGAAACCGAAACCAAGAAACGCGTCCAATTGGAGCGTTTTCACGAAATACTGTAAAATGCTGCCCCTGCGTTATATCCTTCTAAAAAAAAGTTTAGTGGTTTTGGCTGACGCTCAGCAAGTTCCTTATTGGAAACATGTCTATTTTCAATAATTAAAAAGTTAGTTAACAAATTTACTTAATTAGCCAACCGATTGTTACGTTTAGTCCCCTATACTATGTCCTCTTGGCCGTATGACTCACCTGCACAAACGTCATAAGTGTAGCTTTCACGGTTTTTTTGAACAAATCTGTAAAGCTTTAAATAAAACACCCTGTATAGTTTTTAACTTTTCCTCCCAGCTTTCAGTGGTGACCTGAATTACTTTTTTTTTTTGTATAGTTGGGGTGTATCTTCCACGCTCACAGCACACAACATTTCGCAGGAAATGATCAATGAAGCTGACAGGGACGGAGATGGCGAAGTGAACCAAGAGGAGTTCCTTAGGATAATGAAGAAGACCTGCCTCTACTGAAGGGATTTGCAAGTCATGTGCGGTCATCATGTTCGACAGCCAGCAATCCAAACTGTGATGAGTTTTTGGCTGTGTGCCACACCATTTCCCACTTTGCCCAAAGTGAAATGAGGCTACTTCCACAAGACTGCTTCCAAGCATTACAGTTCCCTGCAGGAAATCTGACCCATTTCAGCCACCCTAAGTGTTGCATGATAATGCTGCAGACATGGTGTGCATAGTATTGCTTTACTCTGGAGCCCTGGAAAGGGATCATGTGCATTAAAGATGCAGCCTCTGCACTGAAAGGAACTTGCGAGGTCGGGTAGTGTTCGAGAAAGCAAAACACTGCCAGGAATGGAAATATAATCGGCAGAGGAGTTGAATGGACAGCCTTTGTAACCTGCACCGATTTATAAAAATTGGGGTTTGCGTTATTTTTACAGTCCCCCTTTGGAGCGTGAAACTTTTGGGCATTTTTCAGTGAAGGCAGATTTGCAGTGGATGTTGTTTACACTAGTAATCGGTCTGCTCTGATAATAGACCGGGGGTAGATCGATAATGTTGAAAATTATGCCAAACGATTCAAAAGCTCTTTTGCAGCTCACAGTAAGAGCATTAACATGTCTGAGTTCTGCCATGGGCCGTTTCTTTTCATCTACGACGGGTTTCGTGGGAAAGTGCTAGCGTGGCAGACGCCTTTTCCTGTTTAGAAACAGTGACAGCTGTCTGCATGTACCAACTAGATACAGACTACTGTAGTCAGTGACAGGTTAAGAGTTCAGGGGAACCTCCTCCCACCTCTTTCCGCTCTAGTGCTCTACTAGAGTGGAAAGAGATGGGAGGGGCTTCCCCGGAATTGATAGCTTCTAGCTGACCATAGCTGCAAACTTCTTTTCTTTAAGGCGTGAAGTGAAGCTTGACAAGGCCTTAGCCCCCTCTTGGCGTACAATCAATTACATAAAAACGGAGTACACACGAGCAAAAACTTTCAATAGGGGCTACAAATTCTCTACGGGAAAGCACAAAAAATGGCATACTTGTGCACAAGTATCTTGTTCATCTTCTAGTATCAGGCAGAGGTCGGCATTTTAGGTCGCCCTCACTCACCCTCACCCTCACAGCCACACTCACCTAAGCCCCTCACTCACCCTCACCCTCATAGCTACACTCACCTTCAGCCCCTCACTCACCCTCACCCTCACACTCACCTTCAGCCTTTCACTCACCCTCTCTGAACCTCACGGCCCTCACGCACTCACCGCCCTCACCGCCCTCACGGCCCTCACGGCCCTGACGCACCCATAGCCCTCACGCCACTCACCGCCCTCACGCCATTCAGGCCAGCTTCAGATGGGGCAATTTCGCCCAGAAACTTGACGTCGCAACACCAGCAATACGGGCCGCCCGCGTTCACACGCAGCAAGCAATTGCTGCAATTTGCCATCGTCATCATAAAATTTTATTTTTTTTGCACTATTTAGACACAATTATGCGTTATAAACGTGTTTTTATGCATTTAAATCTCGTTAAGCATACTAACGCACCTTTCTGAAACAGTTTATTTCCAAAAAACGATCGATTTCAAACCAGAACCAAGTCTTTTGGTGTCATCATCACCGGCAAGAGGTATCACGTGAAAGTTTTGCGTCCCTGATTCGATGCAGCTGCTTCAAACGTATTCGAATTGCTCCGAGTTGCTTGCTTATTTCGAGCCGGACCCGATCTCAGCAATTCGTGTCGATCTAGGGAAAGCTAGAGAACAACCTGTCATTAACACCAAAATTGCTGAGAAAGATGCTCGATCTGAAGGGGGCCTCACGCACTCACCGCCCTCACGGCCCTCACACACCTCATGCACTCACCGCCCTCACGCACTCATGGCCCTCACACCCCTCACGCACTCACCGCCCTCACACCACTCACGCGCTCATGGCCCTCACGCCACTCACCACCCCTCACGCACTCATGGCCATCATACCCCTTACCGCCCTCATGGCCCTCACGTGCCTCACGGCCCTCACGTGCCTCACGGCCCTCACGGCCCTCACGGCCCTCACAGCCCCTCACGGCCCTCACTCACCCTCACACTCATGAATTTTTCTGGTTCAGAAACTCACTCACCCTCACCTCACCTGTGAGGATGAGGGTGAGTGAGGGCCCTCATGAGTGAGGTTTGCCGAGGTATGGTATCAGGTAGGATTTATTTACACACATACATACATACAAAACTTGAAAGTATAAAACAGCGAGGACGAGGACGGAAACAGGACATCTTTCATTTAGCAACAACATAGAATGGCACAACAAAAAAACCGCCCCCAAAGGTTTTAACGTTCTCAAAGAGGGAAAGGAGATAATTGTTATAAAGGAAAGGGAATTTACTGTAAATAAAAGTTTAAAAAGCGCTGGCGCCACGACAAGGTATCATCAATCTAGTTATCTATTATTATTATTTATTTCTATGGATTAATTGCAGTGGTTTGAAATAATATATCTGATTGGCCTTTAGCATGTTATGTTCAAGAAACAGTGGATCAGTGCGCAAGTTTTATAATCACCGGTGTAGTTTTCGAACGTCCTTAAAACATCTTTTCTGTTGGTACAGTTAATCATTTATTATAATTTAAAGTGGTTGTAGTACCCCATCCCGAAATTGCATAACTTAATTTATAGTAAAATAAAGAGTAATAGATATTCTTTTCTAGCCAGCACAGAGCAAAATTTTTTATTTTAAACATAATGCCAATTGATTTACAGAAATCGGCTTTTAGCTTGGCAATATGACTAATTTATGAAAGATCCTTCGTGAACGAAACATTGAGAAATTTTTGCTCACTCACTTGTTCTAATTTCGGGTTTTCAAATTTTAAGTTGGATTCAGTCTAATTTATTTCCTGGTTTAAAGCATGTTTAAAGCTTGCTTTCTTTTTCTTCTAAATAGTATGTTTATTTTCAATCAACAATCACTGTCCACTGTAATGGCCACCGCTCCTGTGAGAGCTAAGTAAAATAATTCGAAGCAAAGTAGAAAGACAGAAGGAAGGCAGAGAAGGTGTCTAAATTGCATTAGCTGAATCAGTGGGGATGGAGTTTATTAATTTTATTTATTTAATTTTCCTCGGGAATAATAAATAGTATGTTTATTTTCAATCAACAATCACTGTCCACTGTAATGGCCACCGCTCCTGTGAGAGCTAAGTAAAATAATTCGAAGCAAAGTAGAAAGACAGAAGGAAGGCAGAGAAGGTGTCTAAATTGCATTAGCTGAATCAGTGGGGATGGAGTTTATTAATTTTATTTATTTAATTTTCCTCGGGAATAATAAATAGTATCTTTATTTTCAATCAACAATCACTGTCCACTGTAATGGCCACTGCTCCTGTGAGGGCTAATTAAAATAATTCGAAGCAAAGTAGAAAGACAGAAGGAAGGCAGAGAAGGTGTCTAAATTGCATTAGCTGAATCAGTGGGGATGGAGTTTATTAATTTTATTTATTTAATTTTTGCTCAGGGACTTCAGGGAACATACATAGGTGGGCATACAGTGTACAAAATGCTTGGAAATCAGAGCCGGATCTGTAGCTACAGATGAAGGTGGGATATAGCCTATGAGAGGGGGCATTCCAAATCGCAAAAGGGGCCAAAGGACTGTAGAGAAAGGAGGACAGATCTTTTTGTACATTGGTTATTGTTTGAAACAAAAACCTGTCCCCACTAAAGGAGTGGAAAAGAACGATCTTGGAAGCAGAAAAAATGCATGTCGGAAATGGCAACAACTTTACCGGTGCAATTGTTTCCGCGACTGTTGTGTAAAAAAGTGCCGATTTCAATAAACCAAATCTGTGGACTGGGGATGACTGGATGTTCCTTAAAGTTGTTCATCGGGTTTGTTAGAGTGCCCGGTTCTGGATTCGGATACCTCGGTGAATCCGAGGTAAAGCATTGGCCTAAGGATCCCCATGTGGCGGGTTCGAATCCCTGCCGAGGAATCCGACAGAGGGTTTTTGCAGAGAAGGCACTGCGTAACCAAGATTTGTGCTGCACAACAAAAAATCCCGGGTAGTGTTGAGTGAATAGGTAACTTTCTTGCTTCTAAACTTAGAGAAAGTGTGCAACACCAAAAACCACAATAGGTAGGGCTATCCATGGGGATTAGTGCTTTTTGGCTTTTACCAAATATTGCTGACAGACACTACCTAGATTAGAATTCAATTTCTACCAAAAGACAATGATGGGGAGGCTAGCACCTGCACAAATGACTGAGCGCATTGTTGGTCATTAGTTGTTGCAGCAATATTGCGGTGTACTCACTCAAGCAGCCACATGCTCTCCATCAGTACACTGCATGCAAAATTTTATACTGTATAGAGCTTCCTGGTTTTAAAGCGGACCATTTTTCAAAAGTAGCTGCACAGGCTTCGCTTCTTGCTGCTGTACTTGCTGTGGAGCACGAACCTTTTCACTAATGATAAGTACCGAGATATAAATAAATTGTCCTAGACAAAGATCTGTTAGACATAGAAACGGCATATTTGGTCAATATTATGACTTCTAAAAGTGCCACGAAAATTTCAGAAAAATGCTGCGTGGCATCTATTTCGCATTCACATGGCATCGATTCTTGTCGGTATGAAGCATGTGAAGGCAGAGATGCAGCGCCTTGGTGTGCCGTGGCATGTCCCTTAATCACGCTGCCCCGAGGCTGCAAGACTTGCGTTTGACGAGTTAAAGGGCAACTCCGCTTTATTTTTGATATTTAGAAAACTAAGTAGCCCTCTTCAGTAACGTATAGGAAGACCCCATGTCAAATATTACAATCTAATTCTGTTTATATATTTAATAAACTGGCCAGTAAACCTTAAAGTGAGCCAAGTCGCCGAAATCTGCTAACTCTAGCGTGCGACATGAGGCGCAATCGTCAGCACAGTCAATGCGACGGAGTTGGAGCGGCAAATGTTGAGCCACTACGTCAGAGGCATGACTAAGTCATTCTCACACTTTGTTTGTTTTTACTTCTCACAGCGAAATTGAACGATGACGTCACGAGTTTCTCCTCCCGGTGTTGGCTGACCAGGCGTTCACGTGATCACCGTAATGCGGATGCGCTAGTTTGCGGTGCCCTGCGCGCTTATCGGTCTGTTTCTCCGCTCCCCTTCTCCTCTTTCGTCTTCTCCCCTTCCCCCTTGCCCCCAGGCCATCACCGTCCACGCCATGCGAAGCGACCTGCCCGCGTCGCGTGTCGTGTCCCTCGCTCCCTCCCAAACGTCGCAAGACCACGTGGTTCGACGTGACGTGGCCACGACTCTGATGACCCGAGACCAATGTTGTTTGATGCAAACGAAGTTTCGGTTTCAGCTGATGTTTAAATTAGGATTACACAAATAATATTCCACATTTCGCGAATCCGAAGACGTAGAGTTGTCTAGTATTGATATTATTCGACATCTTGTAAACCCCGAGATGGGGAACGATAAAAAAACGGACGAACACAACAAAATCTCATCTCAGGGTTTACAAGATGTCGATTAATTAACAGCTTGCCTGCACTCTCTCACTGCTTACAATGATATTATCGATATTATTTATTGCACTTGACAGGTAGAAACGTACAGGCGTGCTGGTGTTGGGGGAAGGCTGATGCCCATGCTTTGTGAATTTGAATCAGATGTAAGCCTAAATTTTTTGGAATTGAGCAGAGTTGCCCTTTTAAGTTTTACAACAAAGCTGTTATGCGCTAGGATCTGGGAAAAGATGCATCCGCGGATGTTGACAGAAAACTCCCCAATGGTCATGGCAAGTATGAATAAATAAAAAAAGAAGGGGCCAACCAGCACGAGTCAGCCTTCCTTGGCATTATTAGATAGTGAGGTCCTGATCCCTTGTTATATTATCTCTAGGCACCCTCCTTGAGGTCGTCCTAGAGGTAGTCCTTGAGGTCGTCCTAGAGGTTGTCCTTGAGGCTGTCCTAGAAGTTGTCTTTGAGGTCATCCTCGAGGTCATCTCAGAGGTCGTCCTTGAGGCTGTCTTCGATGTTGTCCTTGTTGCTTCCTAGAAGTCATCCTTGAGGTCGTCCTAGAAGTTGTCCTTGAGGTCGTTCTCTAGGCATCATCCTAGACGTCGTAAAAATAACAGCCTCGCTGGACCTCCATCTTCACATGAAGCGGGAGGGCTCTACAATTTTTTGTGGTGCAGCACTTTCATATAAATTTCTGTCAACAGGTTCTTGAAAACAGCTAGTACAAACGTTTACACAAAGTTTCAGAAAACTTCTTCAGCGAACGACGATGAACGAGCAGAAAATGTGTCTTTTAGCATGCAGCCGCCCCTTTGTTATGCTTCACCCGACTGACTCTAAGCAGCCTAAGATGGCCAATTCAGAACTTCCGGTGGTCGCACACACGCTGCAGCGACCAAGCGGGGATGCGCAATCCAGCAAATTGTAATGGAGTCGGTTAAAATCGTTGCACGGTTCATAATAAAGAGTCAGTGGTTTTCAGAAACACTGAGCCAGTTCAACTTGGTATAGTGTTTATTCAGAACAGCACTTGTGTTTCATCTGCGAAAAAGCTGTCCTGTTAGCAAATATAATGGCACAATGGTACAGCAAAATATTCCCCCAAGAGCCTCGGGCACTTGTTTGCTTTCTATGAAGTATCTGCACAGTATGCAAAAAGATTGCGAGGAGCTTTTACAGCAAGAAGTTAGTGCACTGCTGCTCCCAAATTCTCGCCGCAAGCTTGAGTGCTAGAAGGCACAGAGGAAGAGGCAGTTCCGTCACTTTAGGCTTGCAACCGCTTTCCGAGCAGCATCCTCCAGGTCACTGGCAGGGGTGATGGCAAGGCCACTGTTCTTCAAAATCAGCCGCGCTTCATCCACGTTGGTACCTGGAAGCAGCATTTAATCAAAGACCTCACTACACGAAAATTATGCTTTTGCCGAGAGCTAATGTTTGTTTCCACTTGCAGTCTTCTCAGCAGCATCGTGAAGGGCCACTCAGAGTGGCTTTGTGATTCGGTAGAACATTCCTGTCTTCTCAGCATCATTTATAAGCAAATTGGACAGCACTGTGTTCAATTTTGAAGGCATGCAGGGGCTTTGATGAGAGCCCAAGCAAGAGCCCAAGCAACACTTAGATCATACAAGTGTGAAACGGAGACTGATGACAACTTAGGCCAATCCTGGTTTCAACACACTTGTACCGAGCATTTGTGAAATGAATGCTCAAGTAGAGATGCTTTCAAGATTCTAAACAAGGTGGAAATAGTCATCCCAACAACTCTTGAAAATGAAAGCTTTGTTGCAGCCCAGCTTCGGTAAATGGTAAAAATTAAAAAGGCACCTCCAAAGGTTGAAGCCGACTTTAGCACAACTTGTTGGCAAGCAGTCCTACAGAAAACAATGCTTGTTCAACATTAGTGACCCTGCCTGCTTCAAATGTGTTTAATAAGATGCCGTACTATGAGACATCACCTGGGGTTGCCAGTCAAGGTCTGAAACTGTAAATAACTGTATAGGCCCAACTACGCTCGAGGTCATGCCTTCAAGGTCACGTAAGCGCCGGTTGCGTGTGCTCTGCTTGAATAAGCTCGTAAGCGCCAGATAGTGGTTCTTTGTAGCTTTTTGTATTCACTCCGTGCGACGCGACCGGCGCGCCGCCGCGCGGCCGTTACCGAAGGTAGGCAGTGAGAGCCCCTGCGAAACGAAACCACGCCGCGCGCATTGGTACGCATTGAAGTCGGAGCGGTGCGGTTACGCTGGGTTAACAGCATGAACTGCTGCGTCGTTAAGTGCTCCAATAGTTATGCGTCGTATCTCGTGGGGACGAAGTTTCACAGTTTTTTACCTCGCCGATGTTTTGTGGGACAGCGACAACGATGGACCCGTGCCGTACGACCCGAGAAATTTGGTTTCCCGATCATGTCTGCCACTGCGGCACGGCTGACATATTCTACACTGCCGCTTTGCGTTCGTTTTCGTACCAGTAACGCCTACATATCTCAGCTCGAACTGAAATGCCATCTTACACTCGCGGGTGTGCAGTGCGAATTTCGTTGAAGGCATGCCCTCGCAAAAAGTTTCGTCCTCATCGCACGTGTCGATGATATTTCCGGACCAGTATGGCACGCGTCCTGTACTTCATGAAGAAAGATTCAGACGGTACAAAAAGTGACAAATATAAATCTAAGGAAAACTACAATAAAACTTGTAATCACTGGACAATTGATGTTTGAGTATGGACGATTATGTTGTGTGCTTTCTTTTTTGATCAGCGTTCTTTTGGATGTGAAAACGCTGACACCCCGAGTCTTGTAGACAACATTTTTTTTTTCTCGGCTTTAGAGCCATTTATTGCAAAGTTATTCGAACTGGAAGTACCGTCCACTGGTCCCCTCCCCAGGGTTTAAAGTTTAGGGGGTCTCAAGGGGTCTCGATCCCCCCCCCCCCCCCCCCTGATTTTAACGGATGGTCTAAGACCCTCCCCTCCACAGCCCCAGAATTAGTGAAATCAAAATCATATATTGCAATAAGACAGCTTGTTTTCACGGATGTGACATTTGTGGTTGAGGGTTGCAGGTACAGCGTGGACAAAGTCAGCAGTGGGGTTTATTTTATGTGCCTCTATTACATCTCATCAAAACTCCCCCCCACCCTTTCCCCCACCTTCTTGTAGGGACCCTCCTTAATTTACGGGGACTTTAAGCACTGTTCCTACCTGTAAAGTGTGCACCTCCCAGCCATGATGAGCGGTATTCTCTTGACAGCCTTTGACGGTCAAAACCCGTTCCCATTTAGTTACGCTGCCCAAAAATATTTCCACCTGGTTAAACTATGCCACCTCTTTTAGGTATAATAAGAGTTTTGTCAATTTACGGTTGTCAAAGTACCTGTGTGCCTAAAATGAGCGCCTCGCACAACCCGATTATTACACAACAGCTGACCGCAAAACCTTTGATGGTCAAACCGTTTGTTGGCCGGCAACTTGGTTTTCTCGGCTTTGAAGCCACCTTTCGTAAAGTTCTTTCATTTGGAAGTACAGTGCACTCGTCCCTTCCTACCTGTAAAGTCTCCATCTCCCACGACGCGTGGTATACTCTTGACAGCCCTTTCACGGTCAAAACCGTTTCCCCATTCAGTTAAGCCGCCCAAACAAAATTTCCACCTGGTTTTCCTAGGCCACCTATTTTTGGTATTATAACTGGTGTGTCAAGTTACGGTCATGTCCAAGAGCCTGTGTGTCCAAATCTGCACTTCGCACAGCCCGGTTATAACACAACATTTTGGGTCCAATATTGGATATTCCTGAGAGCTTTATTCGTTTGAACCATAACTTTCACACCTACTGTCTTAATAAAACTTGGCCCACTTAGTGCACAAACTTAGTGAACATCTCACTCGCCTCAAAATATAATCGTCCCAGCAGTCCTACGTTTACAGCGACTAGCGAAACAAATTTCCCACTGAGAGCAATTATGGTGGCCGCCGTCTCGCTTTTCGGAAAATTCCTCAAGCCCCTTTTTCGACCGCAACTAAAAAAATGACTTCTAATAACGACTCAAACTAAATATATAAGAAGCGGAGAACAGCTAAATGCCCTTCTTAAATCTGCCCCAGCACTCATGCAACGTCACCCTCAACGTATCGGCTCAAAAAGCAAAACTTCTGTCCGTGCGCGCTTCCGCCGCCACAGCTTCGCACGCGAAAAGGCGCCGCAGGCTGCTGAGCGCGCCTCACTGTCGAACGCCAGCTCCTCCGCTAGCGGCGCTACGCGCGTTTTTCAAAGCGCCCCCTATAGTTCCCGCACGGAGTGTATAGTAGTTACTTTCAACTTTTATTTTTGTATACCCACTCCTCAATAAATGAATGAATGAATGAGCTGAAGCTGAGGCGACCTGCCGTCCTAGAGGTCGTCCTAGACGTTGTTCTTGACATTGTCCTCCAGGACGTCGCACTCAACGGCGTCCTTGAGGTAGTCCTAGAGGTCTTCCTTGAGGTTGTCCTAGACGCCATTCTTGATGTGTGCACGTCATATAACTACCATTTCATTTCCTAATTGTTTTCACTAACAATGTTTTTGTAGAACTACCACATTTCATTTTGGTTGAATGAACATGCATGTAATATTTTCTCACGCATATTTCAATTTTTAGAAAATATCTCGAGGATATATTTTGAATATGCACCAATCTAATTCCTAATTCAGCTATTTTTAAATAGAGTCCTTCATTTTCGGGTGTTATATTTGTCAACGACTATTATGATGTTTGCTAAGTTTTATCTTGTTCCGATGGTTGCATCCCCATTGTCTTCAGTGTGCCCTCGTTTAGGACTGCCCTTCCTTTTTTGTGCCCCCTAGTTTAGGGGTTCAAAGCTCCCAAAGTCTTCAATGGCTTTCCCCCGTTCCGGAAATGATGAATAAAACCCGAAAAAAAAGGACCCTATTTAGAGGGCAAAGAAGTCCCATGGCCTGGTAGCAAAAATATTTTTTATATGTTTACAGCTTACCTTCTAACCTCACAACCAGGGGAACCTTGAGGTTGATGGTTCGGCAGGCACTTGTGATTCCGTTAGCAATGGTGGCGCAGTTGACAATGCCCCCAAAGATGTTGACAAGGACCGCTTTGACCTATGGCGACGCAAAAAGGTTGTTTAGTGTGCGGGGCTTATCTACAGTCACTCTGTTAACATCTCTGTGCTAACAAAGCTTTTAGAGCGCAGCTCTTAGGCGCCCGTTTCTGGCTTGAGCAGCGTCGCCGTCGGCGTAACCGCGCGGTGCATTATGGGTAAATTTTTTAGCATTGCTTCATCTTCATCAAAATAAGAACATGGGTAAGACATATTAAATTCTTACAAGTATTTTTATCAGCTTCACTAGAGTCTAAATACAGATAACCTCAGACAGAAAATTAATAAAAAAAGAAACACTTGTATGATACTTTTATTTCTAAGCTTGGTGTTCAAATTTAAAAGACTAGGGCAATGGCAGAAAGAACAAAACATCGCAGGAACTTAATTTGCCTTCAATAAATGGCTACTCACTCTGTATCACAGTATATCAGATGTGTCAAGCAATATATACTGCTAGAGGAAACTTTGAAAAAGGGAAGGCATAAGGAAAAAGAACTGGAAGACAGATCACCTTGGGGTCCTCCGTAAGAATTTTGAAGGCTTGTGTAACCTGGTCTTCCTGAACGCTCCCGCCCACGTCGAGGAAGTTTGCAGGTGATCCCCCGTGCAGCTGAATAATGTCCATGGTAGCCATGGCAAGCCCTGCCCCATTCACTGCAAGACGCCATTTCCAGACATATACGTATCAACCCCAGAGCAGCCATTCAAATGTTGATGGCAACCAGACAATAAGCACTTTCACACACAGGGTCAGGTGATCCTGACACTGGAATGATGCAGTTCTATGCTAGGTGCACAATCCATCAGAGGCTCATTTCATTTACAGCATTATTAGTGTTATAAATGACATTATTTTAATGGGTTCAATATTTTGCAAAATTTGTAATGAGTGCTTTGGCAATATTTTGCGAGCTCGAAATTTTGTATGTTGGAGTGATATGCAACATATTTGCTACCATTGGCTGATAAATTTTTTGTGTCACTCTCCAAGTTGCAAAAGTGAAGCCTGCACCAAAATTAAGTTGTCAGTATGCTGCACAATACAGCCATGTGTTGCACCATTGAAATGTGCACGAAGTCAATTACCTTTACATGTAATGAAGTTAGTTGATCAACACTTTACATGATATGAAGTTAACTAATCACCACCTTACATGTCACAGTTATTTGATAAGCCCTTTATAGGATTAGTTGATCATCAAACATCTTAGCCCACTATTTCAAATAATATTTCCCTTGAAACCACCCATAACTCAGTTGAACCAAGAGCATTGTGAGATAAAGCTAAATTCTAAGAGGTCACCTGCCTGAAGAGTAGTGCTATGCACTATTATCAAAACTTCCTGCAAATATACATTCTCGTTAAAAACAGCTGACAAAATTCACACAGCACCTGCTGTTAAGCGATATATTCAGAACTGCCGAAAGCTGTATGGTTCGTTGATGTTACAGATAAAAAGTTGAACAGACTTCAAGTTCAAGTTCATTCCCCTCAACCCTCAAAGACATTCCTAGGAATGTATTACATTAGGGGAAGTGCAAAAAAAAAGTCTGAAACACTTTAGCAATATACTAATAAAAGTTCACAAATATACATAAGCAAAATTTAGGTGGGCAGGACAAAGTTAGACATAGTCATTGGTGGTTCTAGCAAGAGCAATATAGTGAACCAAACAGAGAATAGAAGGAAATCGCAGAGGTAGAGTTGAGCATCTTGTGCAAAATAGATTACTTGAAGACGATTTTAAGATATGGTTAGAGCCAGGCACGTAGCCAGGATTTTGATTTGGGGGGTAGGCCCGATTATGACAAAAAATGCTTTATGAGGGAGAGAGTGAGGCATGCCCCCCTCCCCTTGATCGTGCCTGGTTAGGGCAATGTTTGCACAAGCACAAGTCAGTAAAAGAATTCCACTCTGTAATTGACTGTGAGAAATTAAATCAATTAGTGCGACCGAATATTGGTTCAATGACATGAACACCAACACCCCTCACTTTGGAATATGAAAAACAGTAGAAAATGCCCATGATAAGCATCCACAGCTATATTAAATCCTCAATATATTATCTTATTGTGCTTTAAAAACAATATAGCATGACATCGAACATGTTCTGCCTGACTGAGGGGCCATGCTACATCTGAGCCAAAAGGCACTTCCCACGAAGCGTGAGAGTGCCCTACCCAGGCAGGCAATGTTCCCATCCATGCCAATGTAGTTGAGGTGGTTCCTGGCTGCCTCCACTTCTCTGGGATCACTCTCGGACACGTCTTCTTGGGCAAAGATATCACGCTGCCTGAAGGCCGCATTGTCGTCAAAGTTTATCTTGGCATCGAAGCACACCACTGTCAGAGAGGAAACAAGCAGAACAACAATAAAGCAGTCTATAACGATGCAAGGCAAACACACTTCAGCTGTCAAGCCCAAGACACGGCTGCTAAAGAATCAATTTGCATCAGGCCAATAGCCATCACAACAACTCGAAATGTGGCAGACATGTTCAAAATCTGCTATCAATTTCTCTCCATGAATACTTTTCCACATCAAAGTGGGGGTCCCCACCACCAAATTTCTGTATATTTCTGCTGACAAGAAAGACAGATAGCAAAGGCAAGAAAGCAGCCCGACGCATTTTCACAACAGTTGACAATGACAGGCAAGGCCAAAAAGTAAGGAAGGCTGTCCTGTGTAGTGGGCATTAATTGTCCGCAAACGGTGTAATAAGAAGACAATGAGACGCACGAGACCGTCGGGCAAGATTCACATATTGGGTTGATTTGTTTCATGTAAAGATTGCAAAAAACATGTAGGACAAAACCTTAGTCGGTAGAGTATTAAACTTCTGCAAGGGCGCTTTGGTGTATTCGTATAGGACAAGCACAAAGAAAGAGTCCATTACCCCTGCCATCTGGAGTCTCTCCAAAGGGATTGACCTCCACCTGTGTTGCATCCACCTTGATAAAGAGGTTGTACAGGTGCTTTATTTGCTCAGCTGCCTGATGGGAAGAGCCAGAAATTAAGCAAGTGATTAGGCACCTGTTCTACTGGCAAAGTAATGTCGCTTGAAAAGTTTTACCACAAGATATGTACGAATTAACACCTGATCAAGCAGAGGTCCCTTGAAGTTGAGGTTCTTGGCAACAGTCCTTGCTTGCTCGTCTGTTATGCCTTCCTGAATGCTTATCGGTTCCTAAAGAGAAAATGAATAAATTCCTGGAAGCCTCAATTGGACAAATTTTTTTTTTTTTCACAAATATTCTAACATTTAAGGCCTTTGCAATAGTGTAGAACATACAGGTTTACATAAACACGGACTACATTGTTAGTTATTAGAGCATGAAATGCTTTTTAACAGAACCCTCCAATCCTAAATTTTTGTCGGTGTGTCCACCCATACTATTCCCGCCAAATTTAGCGGGGAAGCTAAATCGGTGTTTAGGTCATGTGACATAAATTGCTGTCAAGCGACCTATACACCAATTCACTTTTGCCACTAAATTTAGCGGGAAATTGATGTAACGTGACGTTCCATGACCTCTCTACACGAATTCACTTTTCCTGCTAAATTTGGTGGGAAAATCAATTTTATGTGACCTAAACACCTTCGGCTTCACCGCTAGATTTAGCACGGAAATTGATGTCGTGACCCGGTGGCACATCCATACAATTTCCCCACTAAATCTAGCAGGAAAATTGTTGTCACACCAATTTAGTTTCCCTGCTAAATTTAGTGGGGAAATTGACGCCACATGGGACCTACGCACACAGTTTGTACCTCAATGTAGTGGGAAAATTGATAAAAAATAAAGGTTCTTCACTCCCTCAAATGACGGCTTAAATACCGCATTTCAAGTGTTACACGACTTTAAAGATAAAAGTCCCTGCTAATGTTTTAAATTTTACCTCATAGCTAGGATTCAGCGTTTTCGGAGTTTATTCTTCGTGAAATTCTAGGGTAATTTTTTAGTTTATTTTTCGCCGAAAATTCGGGGATTATTGGTGTCTATTTTTGTTAGATTCCCAACTTTCTGAAATAAATTATTCTACTGCATTTCCTATTTTTAAAAATAAAATAAAAAACAAAATAAATAAAGTCTGGGTTCCATGACCCGTTATTCTGAAGGAACCTTGACGAGCTAAAAAACAAACCTTTCCTGTCAGTAGTTTGAGATTTCAAAGGAAATTGAAGTAGCATCTCCTCAGGTACACTGACCCTGTGTTCTTGCGAAGTTTATTTATAAAACATTGCTTTCTTTGATTTTCGTTTCTTTGTTAAACCTAATTTTGAGTTTTCAAAAAATCAGAATTCACACAAAATTTCACGGCAGGTGGTGTTAGGATTCTTTCGGATTTATCCAAAAACGCGGAGCCCTACTCATAGTCAATGTCTCATCAGGAAAATACAATGAGCATTTCCTAACAAATCACCTCTGGGATTAGCAAAAACTCAACAATGGGAATTGTAAATTATAGGAAAAACAAAGAACATGGAGGGCAGCCTGGTGAACTTTTCAACATCTTAAAATCCGAGACCTCCTTTCCCCATCTTGTTCCTCGGTCTCAAGTCTTCAAAATGCTGACGTATTAGTACTTAGCCTGCTTCTGAAATGGCCCATGTATGCTTTCCGAAATGGGCAATACCCGATGCAATACATTTTCTAAATTCTCCTTAGCCAAGTAAGACCTGTTGCACCAAACTGTACCTAATACAGCTTGATTTTGCCAGTAATTGATGACCCCATCACCATTGAGACAATGTCTGCCTGACCGCACATAGTGATAAGCCATGTCAGGTCGCTGCCAAGTTGAACAAAACATACTGTAATGCCCCAATGTGGCACCCCAACTGGCATGTTAATGTATTCAACTTCATGTCTATGCTCCCCACTTAGAAGAAGAAGGAGTATGGAAACAAAATGCTTGCATTTATTTCTTTGTTTAGATGTGGTCTATGTTGTGCTGGCGGCCGATATAAGCAGGACGCACAAAAGGTATAAAGATGAGCCCAAGTCCAGTTGCACACAGCGATTCTACCGTGGTGCCTGCCTGGCAGTTGCGTCATTGTCGGTAAGTGGAAGCGGTCACCGACAGGATAAGAACAGCGGTGAGATCTTTCAGTCGCCCGGGGCTAAGCTTTTTAGTTTTGGTACCGCCATCTTATAGAGCGTGGATGCGCAGTCAAAACAAGCTGGAAGCTGCAACGAGAGCCTGCTCTAGGCATCCAAGAGATGCCATTTACATCCTGTCTGTGGCTATGCTTTAGTGCTGGCTTACTGACATCATGATGTCAGTAAGCGGGAGCTATTACAGCTGCCAATTTTAAATCCTGAATTAGATGTTGGTAGCAAACCTTGAAGATGAGTTGGGGAGTCTTTTCGGCGACGTCCTCAATGTCGACTCCACCGGCTGGACTGGCAACAATGACGGGCCCATTGAAGCTGCGATCCATCAGAATGGCCAGGTATGTCTCTCGAGCTATGTCCATGGCCTCCGCTATCATCACCTGTTCCACCACCCCGTCAGGAAATTAGTTTAGAATTTCTACAACATTTATATCGTGCAAGTGTGCTCTTTGTGGTTCTATGGAGTTTTGCTGTCGAAACACCTTTGAGTGCAGAGTAGTGAGCAATATTTTATTATACGAAACCAAAGTTCCTTGCGATGTATATTTACAGAGTCCTTTATTCTGAAGTAACTTGGAAAGCAAGTCGTCTGCTTCTTGCGCAGGAGTAGCCGTGACGTCAGAACGACGCCGAGCTCCGATTGGCTTTGGTTGAAAGAATAGTGGGTAGACCTCAATGCTAGATGCCTTGAGGGCTACTCACTCTATTTTTTAATCAGCCAATAAGAGGTCGGCGTTCTGACATCATCGCAACCCCCTTGCAAGAAGCAGACAAACTTGTGCTCCACATAGTGAACCTTTAGAATGCACATCAAAGTTCAGAGTTCAACTGTAGAAAAGTCTGATATTAAGAGAAAATCTCTTTTGTGAAAGGTATCTACTCTCAAAATAAAACCTTGGATATCACTAAAATATGTTTTTTTTTGTTTTGTTTTTTTTATGAATATTTGTTTTAACGTTGCGAGGATTTTTTTTTAATAAACACAGAGATTGCAAAGTAATGATGCCTAATCACTGTCAAATCACCCAAGATTTATCAATGCTAAAAAAAAGTAGTAGTAAAACAGATTCTTGCCTTATTCACAAGCACGCCTTCTTTTGGAGTCTGTTTTGTGACCAATTTGTAGCCGAGCATCTTTTCCACGAGCTCCGACACTTGAGCAGGGCTGAAAAGATGACAGATTGATTTTAAATATGTCACCATCTTACTCATGCTGGAGGAAAAGAGAGTGGTAATGAGCAATCCAACAATGCATTTGACACAAAAAGGGTGTGTATGCGGGCAAATGGGTGAAGAATATCAGCTCGACACTGGCACAACAAAGGGAGACAAATTCAAAGCAGAATATGTCTTCAAAGTTGTATATGTGCATCTGCACCCTTTTGGCATAGTGTTCAAAGTTTCTTAAAGTGCTCAGCTTAGGAAAACAGCAGAGCTTTCTTTCAGCCCTGGCTACTCTTCACAACAGGTTATTCTACTATGCCACTACAATTTGCTGAATGTGGGAACTTACTCCTTTGTGAGCTTCACGCCACCTCGCAATCCACTACTGAACGTTCCCTTGCCCCTTCCACCGGCAAGGATTTGTGCCTTGATGACGAACTCCTCGACATCTGCAACAAGAATTTTCCTATTCAAAATATTGCTTGCATACCCGCACACGTCCCTTTACATTATTGTAGGAAGATCAGTCAAAGTACTTCTTCCAAGATCGACGCACAGAATGCAAGATTCTCATTACGTTATCTTGTCATTTTACAATGCTCAAGGAGACTGTGTCACCAAGGTCATATGCAGAAACAGAATATAAAGACTATAATTCTCGAATTCCCGCAGCTCTTGTGCAGCATTAAATTACCTACATGCAGATAATTCGGGCTTACTGAGTGTTTTCGAAATTTCCTGAGCTTCCAACATGTTCCCCGCAACTTTGAACCGCTGGACAGTCACGCCGTTGTTTGCCATCAGCTGCTTGCTCTGGTATTCGTGCAGATTCAGGCATCTCGTGGATGGAATGACTAGTGGAGCCTGCAATTATATAAGGGAACGCACACGATATCGACAAGCGCATTGCCAATCGAACCAAAAGCAATAAAATATCGCGTGGCAGCGCTACGACAAATTCCAGTGGTTGTTGTATGCGAAAAAGGCACCTCATTTTCGCCTGCGCAAAAGGTAAAATCTGAAGATACATTTGAAGGAACGGTAGATAAAACAAGGTCATCAAATCAATCGTATTGCCGCCCTTCGCTCCTGAAGCGGCCTGAAGCGACGTTTAAAACAAGCAAGTGCAGCCAGACTGCTGTTGCTCGTGAACGTCGGTGAACTGGCCACCAGTATGGTGCCACCGGTGAGAGGTTGGAAAAAGTGCGTCGTCCTCACTTGTTTAGCCCACAGCTGACCCAGCCGAAACGCACGTGTCAACCGCACAACCTCCATGTCGTTTTGGCCTTTGGCGCAAAGCAGCGGCGAGTCGCGCTGGGAGCGAGAGTAGCCGTGGAGTCCCGTGGCTGGTATCCCGAGTTCTTATCTCGTCGGAATGTATTCCACTGCTGTTTCCCTCAACTACGGGTAATTGTACCGCCCTCCCTTTTCACTCAAAGCCGTTTGAACCTGGCTCGATATCGCGAACAGCCTTCGCGAGGATTCTGTCTCACGGAACGGGCGGTCGCGCAGTTTTAAAAAATGCGGGCCCACTGTAGCAGCCGCCATTTTCCATCATCCTGGCATTTTCGCGAATTCCCGGATAATCCTCGCCGACTACTGCCCACGTTGCTAGGCGACAGCATCACTGATGAACTTGCCGATGATCCTAACTTTCAGAAGCGGAACTGAATCGAGTTATTTGAAGTTGTCCAGTGTACCAGGCGTGTAGTACACTACGATGTGTCATACCGAGCATGGTAGGAACAGCTTGGCCCCCGAGTCGTTCTCAAATTAAATTCTCTCTTCTGTATTATCGCGACGGCGTTGCGATACGCATGCTGTGTGCATGGACACTGTGCGTAAATCTGCTTAATCAAATAAGTATCAGCAAATCGTCCTTTCCAATACCGGCTTGAAGTTTGTACACCACACCAGTCACTCTACACCGTATCGTGTGTAAAAGCCTTGCAAACTCTCTAAAAAAAATAAAAAAAAATCACGCGATATGGTATGTTCGCTCTTTTTATTTTTTTAGCAGTAATTTTTTTATGTTCCTGGCCTCGCCCAGTAATATACCCTCACGGTTTTGAATTTCTTGTTTGTGATTTGTTTTAATTAAGCAAGACTGCATGATATGTTGAGTTGCCGCCTTTCCATCCTGTTGTCTCAGGTGATGGACTTGACCCGTGTTGTCACAGTGGCAGTCCAGTCGGATCCACTGAGCAGCCATGACTTGGATGGGGACATGATTGCCTCCATGTCACCTTGTCAAGACGCACTCATGATGGGAGCTTGCGACAGTTCCTGTCTCACCGATGACAGCATCGAAGAAGTGGTGGTCGTTGCAGATAATTCTAGTAAGTGGCACCAGATGCAAATTCATCTAGGCAACAAACAGAAATCTATAAATAATTATATAGTGTTTACGGACACCTGCATACGTCGGAAAGTTCGTCACTGACAGGACATGAGAACGTTCCTTTCAGATGCCCCACCTCCAACATGCACTCGTCACATTTTGTGGTGCTTTGGTTGCACCTGCATGCTGAAGTCTCAATAGACGTTGAATCGTTATCGAGGATATGCACACTGCAGGCTGGACAAGTGAATGATCCAGGATGTGAGAACGTCCTTTTCAGACGCCTCACCTCCAACATGCATTCGTCACATTTCGTGGTGCTTCGGCTGCACCTGTCTGCTCAAGGCTCAAAAAACGTCCAGTTGTTATCGAGGATACGCACACTGTAGGCTGGACAACTCAAAGATCCTGTTTTCATCAGTGTCTAGAAACCTCAATGTTCCGGTATCCCTTATATTTTGTGCGACCAGAAACTGCACAAGGTATTATGATGTTGTGGCAAAGGAATGGCACACCGTATTATGTTGAGGTGCTACGGGGTGTTTGAGATATCTCATTCTACATTTAGGTGATAGTTCAAATACCGCCGAAATGAATATTTTCGTGCAACATGTGCAGGAACGTGCTCTAAGTTCAGGTTAATGAGTGGCACGCCATCAATTTAACAATTTTAGAAGGCACAACTCCTGGTCGTCAAGTAATGCAAGCAAACAGATCTAGATCCTCTCACTCATTACGCCGAAATAGTTAAATTAGACAGACTGCATCAGATAACTGTGTTTATCTTAGTAATTGACACCAACAACCTGTTCAGCTCCTTTTTCAGAATAAGTACTCGTACCTCGCATACTCAACCTCACTCACTAACCATAGACATCGCATGGCATTAAATTACCACCTAAAGTGACAATCATGTTATGTCACATTTTCCCTGCTAAATTCATGGGAAATGTTTCCTGTTAAATTTAGCAAGAAAATTCTGGTGTTATGTGCTGCCAAGTTTTAAATGGTGCTGGAGGATAATTGTGTGTGCAGCCAAGACTCCACTGTCTTTTCAGTTTATCTTCAGGACACTACAAGGAACCAGTAATTCTTTTTCCTTCTGTGTGGTGAGATTGTATAACCAGCTGTTAGACGTCACCTAATTCCTTCTCCCTGTTGTTCCTTGTAGGCAACTCCTTGTCTGGGCTCGGTAGCCTGGATTCTGAAGGCAGTTCTGAAGTCACGCTGGCTCCTTCCTACTTCCTCGCTCCCTGTGGCGAAGACGGCAGTCCCGACAAGCCGGCCTTTGAGCAAGAGCCCACACTCATTCTGGCACCTCATAGTTTGTGCAGTGAGACATTTTTGCCTTCCGTTTTTACGAAACGTTGAACTTTTATCTGTGGTCTGTGGTTCAAATATTAATCTGGTATATTAGCCCTGCATTAGGATTTCCTGCTGGGAGAAACATGCACTACCATAATAGCTGCAGAGCCTTCGTGAGCACTTTGTTTTTTTATTTTTCTCTTGAAGATGTAGCACACCATACTATTACTGTAGTTTCAGTTGGTATAGGTTACCCAGTCCACTGGCACACCACAGTTTAGCATTATTTAAGCTAAAGCTTGGCCTAAGTCAGTAATTCTAATCCTACTGACTCCGAGTTTCAGCATAGACAGGTGTGCACAAGTGCATGCCGGTACAACACCTGTTGTACCGGCGTGCACTTGTGTGATTACTACTGCGTGATGCGTGTTAGACTCCAAATTAGCTGTGATGTTCCACTGGCTAAATAGCCCTCTTACAATTAAAGTGACACTGACACCCTCCCAAAACTTTTTTTTATTTTTTGCCAGGTGATTTTATAATGGTGTCAGAAGACTACCCAATCAATATTTTGCTACAGCATCATATTTTTAATAAAGTAAAAAAAATTCAACGGCTTGAAACCGAAACTGATCTGGGGAGGAAGAAGAATTGTAGAGGAGGAGAGAGTTGCCGGAAGTCACGTGGCTACACCCAATCGTATTTCTTTTTCCTTTTTTCTTTTCCTTTTTTTTTTCTGGACATGCAGAGCAGATGAAAAATGCACACGTCACACGAAAAACGCAAAAAGTCAAGCACTTCGTGCTTGACGTTTGTGTGTTTTTCAACCTCGTACCAATTCATGTTCGTAAAACAAGCTATATCTTTACTCAGGAAAAGGGGGTGACGACTGAGCAATGTCTTGGTGGGCGTGTGTGTTGTACAGAATAAATCCTAATTGTTTCGACAGAGTGCTTTCGGTTCTCTGTGCAACTCTTTTCTTTTTCAATCAGCTTATTTGCAGTTTTTTAGAAGCCAGAGGAAATGGGTATCAGATTTTTTTCTATTTTTAATATTGAGTGTGTGCCTTCAATGACCCCCAACTCTGATTATATTTGGTGTGTTTGTCTAAACCATAAAAAAGAGCACGTGACTATGAATAATAGAGCGAGTGCCACTCAAACCAGCCAGTTCTCGATCGATAATTTTCGGGCAGAAAGAAAACGAATTTCGAGCCGCCAATTGTGTTTTGGGTAGTTAGGCTCTTATATGTCATGTACAAATAAAAACCTTGGCGAGCATAAATACCCTGTCAGTCTGCCTTTAAGTTGCAAGTCGCCTCAATTCATAACAAATGCACCAACCAAGCGAATGTGCTGTGCAAACAATTTGTCTTTTGACTCACTGTGGCATTAGGTATGACTCCTTGCAGTGCAACTTCAGCCTGTCATTCCCTGTAGTATGACCATTTGTTTCTTTTTCGGTTTTATTACAGATGACCATGACAGTTTACAAGAGGAACCGATTTCTTTTTCCCCAATGAGATTTAACGAGGTATGTCAGGTGCTGCTTATTTTACTGTATGATTGATTGACCTGTTCTTGACGTAACGTGACAGTAGCATTTACACATCGACATCGCCCTACCGACTGGGGTAGGGCGATGCCAAAACGCATCAAACTGCTGCACTGATTTCAATTAATCGGCACCCATACATTTCAGCATTTGGCTGAGCAATAACTGGGTTCCGTGTTTTCAAATAAGTGCGTAAAACTCGGAAAAACACCTGCCGGTAAAACTTTCTTCGATTTGGATTTATTTAAAAAACAATTTCGAGGTGATGACGGCAAAATGAAAAGCAAAGAGGATGGCGTTATGCAAATGAAGTGTGTCGAGCTGAGGGTTAGCGGTCTTGAAAAAAAGGCCACTTCATTTTCTTCTTTATCTCGTGTCTATGACAAAATGAAGTTTCCCGTTTATCTCCTTCGTTCAGAACAATGGATCAATGTATTGCTGGGCCACGACAAAAGCCGTTCCGGTTTCCAGTTTGGACCTTACTATTGTGCTTGTTAGATAAAGGAGGGGTTGTGTTTTTATAACAGTGAAAAAAACCTGTAGATTTTATAGAAAGGTAGCTTAAGCTTTATACTTCCCAACAACTAGATTCAGGAGTTTGGCTATTTTGAAGTACTGATATTTATCCAAGCAACACATGTTTGCAAGATTTGTTGTGGGGCAGCTCATAGTCCCAATCTCAAGGTCTATTGGGAATACCAACTTTGATCAACTTGGGGTGTGTTTTTGACCGAAAATATTCTCATTTATGTTGGATTTTGAAAAATTGAGGACACTGTAAAATTAAACTCTGAATTTTGGAGAATTGGGAATCTAAAAAAAAAAGAATAAACCCCGCTAAACCCTGAATTTCTAGCGAAAGATAAACTCCAAATAACACCCTTCAAATTCCATAAAAAAAATAAACTCCGGAAACACGAAATCCTAGCCATGCGGAAAGCAAGTCGTCTGCTTCTTGCGCGGGAGTTGCGGTGACGTCAAAACAACGCTGAGCTCTGATTGGCTCTGATTGAAAGAATAATGGACAGACAACTCTTTTTTTTATCAGCCAATAAGAACTCGGCATCCTGACATCATCGCAACCCCCGTGCAAGAGGCAGAAAAACTTGCGCTCCGCATAACATACCGTGACGTTTTTTTAGTTCTGACTATAGGTAACTATCGTAAATCAGGGGTAGGTGTTTAATTGTTATTTGAAAATCTGTCCATTAATGAAGAGTGATTAGAACATTTGCCTTCTACATAAAAGCTCAAATCAAGTCTGGTTTGTTTTTTACGGTTTCATTGTCGCTGGGTGTCAGCAATGGCTCGAATGTGCGGGACAAGAAATGTAAAGTCTGCCTGCTTTGTAAAATATTACTAGTCCTTTACTTACTTTCTTTTTTTTTTTTAGTTCACTGGCTGCTAACCTTGCTAAGGCTCCGTAACACTTTCAAAATATGAGTTGGTGAATTTAGAATTTAGGCATGGCATGTTCCATCATGGCTGGATGCCTGCTTTGCCATTTCAGGGCCAGTCAGAGGCAACTGCCACTCCTACTGTTCAGACGGACATTAACCAGAACTGGTTTACTAGTAAAGAGGACAAGAGCAGCCTGCAGAGCAAAGGTGGGAGCTTTGTTTAACCTACTGCTGGGACTGGATTTTCTTTTTACTTTTTCTAATTGTTCTAACAATGACATCGCAGGTCATTCCTGGAAGCAAGGCATGTTTTCCAAAGAGGAGACCGAAATACTCGAAGAGAATATTCAAAAGTATTGCGAGGTGTGTAAGCCATGGTTCATTTATCCCTTTCCTGCTTCTTACTTTCACGGTTTGGAAGTTGGTCATATAGCGAATGCAGGAAAACATTGTGCCTGCTTGAAACGTGTGACCCCAGCAAAGCCCGATTAGTCCAAGTGTCATAAAATCATGACCTGCTGGCGCATTCTGTTGCAGGCACGCAACATCAGCAGTCCTGCGACGGTCATCTTCTCGATGACCAAGGAGGAGCGCAAGGACTTCTACCGCACTATTGCCAAGGGCCTCAACAGGCCCCTCTTCTCAGTCTACCGCCGTGTCATCCGCATGTACGACAACAAGAACCACATTGGAAAATACTCTTCGGAAGAACTGGACCAGCTGAAAGCGTACGGCTACTCTTTATGATTTTTCCTGGAGAAGCTGGCCCGGCTTTATGCATAATCTGCGATGAAGTTGATGCATGCATGTAGGAGGTGTGGCTGCCAGCGGGTACTTTCTATGCCACGTTCGAGGGTTCATGTTTCATCATTTTGCTGCATTTACTCTCTGTTATAAAACTTGAAAATGCAGGCTGAGGGCAGCCCATGGAAATGACTGGCGGCTCATTGGAAACGCACTTGGTAGGAGCGCCGCTTCCATTAAGGACCGGTGCCGCCTCATGAAGGAGAACTGTCGTCAGGGTAAGCAAGGCCTCGGCTAACTTTTCTTTGCTGGGCTCCTGGCTTCACGCCTTCTACACTGCCTGGAACGCACTTTTGAATGCCGTGTACAGGTATCTGCAGGGTGATACAAGAAGACGCCAGGCTCTTTAAAGGACACATGCAAAGGAAAAAAACATGTTTTTTAAACGGCTTAGATGGAAAAAGGATGCCATAAAAGGATTTTACAACGAAGAAAAAACATTTTTAGAGCCATATTTACGGCGCAAAACGAATTTGTAGTTGGCGTCCTCGGGCACCGTAAAAAAGTGGTCCGTATTTATCACGTGACTGGTCCTTATTTATCACGGGGTGCTTGCGTTCTTTCGGAAGCTTCCTATGGCCTCTAAAAGTAACTTATTCATCTTTGTTTGAAGTATAACAAAAAACTAAGATGAATAAGTAACTTTTAGAGCCCAAAGGAAACTCCTGAAAAAGTGCAAGCAGACGTGATAGACCTGTGCGCCGGTCAGACGACGGCGGCGGCGCCCCGAAGCAGACGAACTTGTGCGGCGGCGGCGACGGCGGCGTGGAGAAACGCGTTGAAGCGGCGTTCGCACAACGCTCAGCGTGCGGCGGCGACGCAGCGCGGCGGCGCGCGGGCCTTCCACGTGACCAGCGGCGGCTCCCGCGAGCGCCAACTACAAATTAGTATAACGCCGTAAATATAGCTCTAAAAAAATTTTTTCTTCGTTGTAAAATCGTTTTATGACATCCTTTTTCGATGTAAGCTGTCTAAAAAAAATGTTTTTTTTTCCTTTGCATGTGTCCTTTAAATCGACCGGAAAATTTGGTTTCTTAACCTATCGCGCTACGACTTTGTGCAGCGTGGCCCACAGATGGTGCATTTTTGTTTTTGTAAAATTTGCAAAGAGCGAATTTACCTGAGGAAAAAGTAAAGAAAGAAAAAGGCTTAGCTCCTATGGAAACGCAGAGACGCCACCAATCTTCAAACAGCACAGCACCGTTTCGCGTAGGAGACCAGAGAGGGCGCAACAAACACCGGCAACGAACGAGCATACGGCGTTGAGAGCAGGCCTTTTTAGCAGACAATCTTTTCGACTCAAAAGCGGCGTGCGTTCCGCAGGCGGCGACAGTCGCAGAAACAAAAAAGACAGGCGTGGTAACAGCAAGGAACTGCAGTTCCTTGTCTGCTAAAGGGCCGGCTCTCGGCGTCGTCTGCTCGTTCGTTGGCAACAGTTGGCGTCGCGACCGCTTGCGCCATCTCTTATCTCCCATGCGAAATGGCGCCGTGTTGTTTGCAGACCGGTGGCGTCGCTGCGTTTCCATAGGAGCTAATCCTTTTTCTTTCTTTACTTTTTCCTCAGGTTAGTTCGCTATTTGCAAATTTTACAAAAAAATGCACCATCTGTGGGCAACGCTGCACAAAGTCGTAGTGCGATAGGTTAAGAAACCGAATTTTCCGGTCGATTTAAGGAACCTGGCGTCTCCTTGTATCACCCTGTAGTGTGACTGGGGAAGAAACATATTGAACTAAAAGCTGTAATTATTTTGTGCTCGAAGCACCTGTGGAACGAGGTTTTACTATTAAGCAAAATAACCGTCACATGCTTTTAATAGAGAGTTGCAGTGTGTTCTATATCCTTGAATAGCCAAAAGATATAAATCCATATGAGCAAATATTAGCAGTATGCACCAAGCGCATATGATCAGGTTGCTCCAAAGTTTGAATATGAAGTCACTAAAACAGCATCAAAATGGGAGTAATAAATGTGCAGCAAGCGAAGAGAAGGTGTTGAAAATCGAGTAGTGCGGGCGGGTGAGTGTTGGTAGTGGATGCCATGTGACTAAAGTCAAGAGCAGTGATCCAAATCAAGCATAAAAAAGTTGCAACTTTCACACACTTTTGTGTGCGACGTCTGAGCAAACCTTTATTTATTCATTGTTGCCTCTGAAACTACCAAATCAGGCACTTCAATCGGATTAAATTTACTCTTCTTGGAAAGCCTTTTAATGTCCTGTAGACTACACTGCAGCAACATTCGTGGGTGCCGCCGTCACTCATTTAGTTTGTCCAGTAACACCACTGACTGAGAGATATCGGATCAGGGAACTGCAGCTTAAATAAGGCGCAGATTAAACAAATATATTCAGAACTGTGGAGACAGACCCGTAGTTTAGAATTTAAAAAAAGTGTCTCGCTGCAATTTCAACTTATTTTCGTAACCTCCCTTGTTTGCTTCATCACGGACGGGACTTTCTCCTACCTCGCAGAGATGGGGTTGCAATGTTCTCGGACAAAAGATATTTGCGGTTTGCAGTTGAGGCTTTTGTAGAAATTGGTTATCTTTTAGTGCTATTTGGTCAGAGGTGGAGTTTCTTTCAATCCTGGATGAAAGGAAAGCTTCTTTCTGTTATCTCTTTCAATTTTCTTTGCCACAAACATCTTTTATTCTTACGGCTTATCGCTGCAACTTTTGGGGAGAGCAAAGGCTAGTTCACACACTTTTCACTGTTTCTGACCATTGTAACAGAGTGAAACCGTTTACTTCATATAAATTTATTACCGGTTTGAGAGCTATGTGTGCTTGGCTGTTCTTCGCGAGCAGCAGGATCGCTTACCAGTGTCACAAGCACCAACTGCACCATCCTCCGGTTCATCGTCGTAATTTAGCGACACTGGCTATGCTACTCCAACTGTGTGCCTGAAAACCTCTTCTCTTACGATTGGAGAACACGCTGACCACATCTGTCGGTTACAACACTTGGCGTTTACGTATATTTCTTATTTCTCTTTCGCATCATTCTCTCTTTCTTGTTATATGACCATTTCTCATAGTACATACATTCAATCTCTTAAATACCTCCAATTGATCTCTCAAATATACCTCCAAACCTTCGCTCTAGTGAAATGCAGTTCCAGGGCCACCCCATAGATGGCTCCAGTTTGCCAGTGTATTCTCTCGTCGTGAGAGGTCGCGAGAACTCGGTTCTAAGCAAATGCAAGTGTCTGAATGGTATTTAGTATAAAACATATAATGCCCATAGGGAACCATATAAAGAACTCGAAAGAAGTGTCCGGCTGGATTTGGACCCAGGACCTTGAGACTGTGAGCCAAGTTCTTGACCGATGGAACTATCGAGATAATTTCTATCTTTATTATACACTGTCGAGACAAAGTGTCTCTTCTCACATACGAGAGCATGCCGTAGCCTTCCCTCATACATGTAGTAACTCTTTCTACCTCTTTATATCTTTCTCTGTAATTTTTGTCCCATCTCCCTCTCCCCATGGCACCATTTAGATGACTACAGTCAAGCATCATGGCAGCTCATTTAATTTTCACGAAATAAAACGGTTCAACAACTACATAAGAGATCACAAGAACTCGGTCGTAAGCAAACGCAAGTGTGCGAACAAGCCTCAAGTGTCCGTTGACTTCGCAACCTGCAGTTGGGGATTTCATAAAAATGGTTAATCTTTCCGCGTTCTTCAGAAAATCAGTATTTTGTGCAAACAGTCGCACGGGCGACGTTTTGACGAGGGGACGTTAAATCGAAACACTGTAGTACCCTTGGATCGAAACACTGTAGTACCCTTGGAAACAAAGTGTGGATGCCGTGTGCAGGGGTGTGGCTTCCGGCAGAGGAGCGGCGTCTGGCCGAGGCTGTGTACGACCTGAGCGGGTCGCTGCCGGGGGAGATTGTGACGTCCGGCCTGTCGTGGACGCAAGTGGCCGAACGAGTGGCCAGCCGGTCGGAGAAGCAGTGCCGCACCAAGTGGCTCAACTACCTCAACTGGAAGGAGGCCGGAGGGACACTCTGGACACGCGAGGACGACATCACCCTCATCAGCACGTCAGTGCCTCCATAGCCTGCTCCTTGGGGGGTTTTGGGGACATCCAAAGTTTCTAATAGTATTTGATTCAAATGCTTCGTTGTTTGGCCTTTGTTTTAAACACCGGTTGCGATATTCTGACATCTTGAAGTGCTAGAGTGCGAGGTGGCACAGAGCTACATTCGTTTGCCGTGTTTATGAAAGTCGAGAGGGATTCAGAAAAAAGCCATAAATGTTTTTACTAGCAATTTTGTGATCACGAGGAACCATTTTGACGGAACACTATTTTCTCGTTTCCTTTTGCAATCGCCCAGTTTAGCTGCCGCTTTGTTTGGGATTATCAAGATGGCTGACATATGAGAAAATTCTAGTTTTGTTACTTTTCTTATACCGTAGAACACTGTGCTTCCGCCCATACCACACTAAGCGCCCATACCCGAATTTGTAAGATCTGAGAATATATGCACAGTACATTGATATGTAAAATTGATAACCAGACAAGCGCCCATCCCCCATTTTTTCGCGATTATCTCTAAATTTTGAGTGGGCGCTTGCCCGGTATTTTACGGTAACTTTCAGGGTAGTCATCATTCTGTTTGCCATTATGCATTATCTTTCTACAAAGTAGACAATCAAAAAGCTAACCAGCACTGCCATTAGTAGAGATAACATTTGGTTCTTTTTATACTTCTCGAATGATGTGACCCAGCCGTAAATTACCTTGTGCATTGTGCACCCCCGTGGATTACATTTCAGTTAATTGCCTTCATAAGAAATCCAAACAGCAGCACAGCATTCGTGTAAACTAAAAATTCAGTAACTGATATCTATTCTCAGTGTGCAAGGGATGTATTTATCCTGGTGACGGAGTCGGGACCCATTGAGACACTTGCATTTGAGTGCATTTGAGTACACATACGGCATGGTCGCCTAGCAGCAAGGCGACACTTGCCTCATCGCAGTGCACTGCAAGGAAGTTGAATCAGACTCATCTTTTGAGTGCAGACAAACTTATGAGTGTTGCGGTAAATCAATCACAAGCCATGAAAATATGGGATTCTGCGTGCGTGTCAGCTCTCTGCATCCAGCTGCCCATTTAGGGGTGGGATCTTGCTTATTTCAAGACAATTGGGACTTAAAAGCACGTTGTAATTCAATGTTGGGATGGTAGTAGCAAAATGGGAGTTACAAGAAAGAGCCAATGTGGATGCCCCAAGACCAGCCATGTTGATGCTGTTGCTAAACACCATCACCTTTTTTTTTTTTGTATATCGCTTGTTATTGGTGAACCACAAGAACTACTAATAGGGAGCTTCAGTGATGTTTGACTGGGGTTAGCTGCACTTCAGCAGAAATGTGTGTACAAACTTTGCGGAAATGTGCTCTGCAGAATTTTGCATTTGCCTTTCTGCAACCAAATGCACCGCACTCTAACACAAATGTCTGCACCAGCCTTTACACTTGTTGCTCTGGATAGTGTTTAGTTTGCTACTCCAGAGAACTTCCCTACCCTTACGAAGCCTCTTGGTTCTAGGACCGTAATAGCCACTTGCAGTTGAGAATATCGCCTGTGCCTGTTCGTATTTGTGATGTTTTGGAGCTTGGGAATAGTACTGCTACTCAAGCCTTTCATATTATGTCACTGTTTTGAGCCAGCGACATATGATGAAGTCGTAATTTCAACTAAATTTCTGTGTACCTGGCAAATTTTCCTGGCATCTTCTTATGTGACTTTTGAGAAGCTGTTTCTTCTGCAGTTGTTCGGTCCATCTTCAGACAAAATCTTTAGTTGCATTAAGCACTGCTGGATTACTGGAGCCACCCTCTGTTCATGAACAGCAGCTATATGGGTCCCAGAACGCTGCTACAATTTTCATTTTGGGGTGTTGCTTTTGTTTTTCTAACTGAGGCAAATTTTCATGTGAGCTGGTTCATTATACTGACATGGTAACCCAGGGGCAGGGGAAAACAGGACGGACAATACAAAGCTTTGTGTTGTCTGTCCCGTTTTTCCCCGCTCTTGGGTTATCATGTTTTTTTTTTCTTGTTTGACATTGGGCATTGTTGTTTAATCTTTTCCAGGGTGTACACATTGGGAGTTTCCGAAGAGACCATGATTGACTGGACAGAATTTGCCAAAGACTGGTCAAGGTATTTTCAGAGCTTCTTTGCGTGATGCTTTAACATTACTATATCTTCAAATGGCATAGATTTAGATATATATAGTTAGGTATTGTTCCTGACTGTGCTGCCTAGCCTTTTAACCACTTTTTTCCTGCGCAGTGTGAGGTCACCGCAATGGCTTCGTGGGAAATGGTGGAGCCTTAAGAGGAATGTACCCAATGCGAACAAGATGACATTTCTAGGTTAGTTTCAGGGTGCAAGTTGCCCATTCACTTTCTCTTGCTCTTCATGATCCTTACTTCTCTTTTCAGTACTCATCAGAATATAATTTTTGTTCATTATTTTTGTTATTGGTACAGACTGTTATCCCCCTTTAAAGGGATACTTCAACGAAATTTGAAATATTCCCGTCGTGTTCAAAAATAGGTTGAATATGATCACAATATCCGTAAATGACAATCGCACGTTTGTATTTTGAGCCTGGTGGCTGTATTTTCGTTATAAATGGCCCACTCTGGCAAGCGCTCGGAGAAGGCCCAGCGGAGACCACGTGACATCCAACGCACTCGTGACGTAGGTCGTCTCAAGACGAGCAAAGCTACGGCGAGGCTGATGTCGAGAGGATGGCCTAGTCGTTCCAGCCACCGAAGTGGCTGCTTTTGTACGAATTTTGAGTGACGGGTTAATCTTCTGTAATCTTGTAGGGGGACAATAGCGACTTCTGCGACACACAAAAGGCATTCTCGGGAAGAGGGGAGTTCCTCCTGCCCCTCTTCTCTCGTCGTGGCCGAAGGCGAGACAACCTCCGTCACTAGCTGTCAAGGTTCCTAGACGGGCATTACAAGCGAGGCGTTAGCGACATCCACCAGGTGCTCTTTGCTAATCGTTTAATTCGTTTTAAAATTTCTTTTCGTGACTTTTTTAACAAGATATTGGTATGTTCGATGTGATGCTGCTTTTTTGAACACATATAGACCAAAAAATGAGCGCCGAAATTTCGTTGTAGTATCCCTTTAAGCTCTCACAAGAATGCCAAAAAAAAATACCCATGGCAACAGTTAAATATTTTAACAATTGCTGCTTAAGAAAAAGTAAATGCAACACAACAAACATTGCTGTAATAAATATTTAGTATTAGCAAAATACAGAAACCACACTTCAGGGCCAGCAAGACTTTGAAATGAGTCAAGTTAGTTTTCATCTCTGTTTTGATTATGGATACTGCTAACTGTGGTAAACGAACTGTGTAACTGGGTGACTGTGCAAACGAACACATTTCTGAGATACATATATACACTGTCCATGCTGTTGGGACGAAATCCCAACAGCATAGACAGTGTATGTACCTTGGAAATGTGTTCGTTTACACAGTCAGCCAGTTACCGGAAGTTTAGAAAAAAAACTAGTGTAGGCATTACAACCTGCTTCTTTTTTTAATAATTCAGTTGATGTTTCAATTTTATTCTATGCTTCCTCGCTACATCGGGTAGTGCAGCGAGCGCTGCAGTGTTTGTATGTCTGGTGCAAGGCACAGCACTATCCGACCCATCTTTCTTCTAAATAGACACAATTTTTAGTCTGATTTCATAAATTCTCAGCCACAAAGCCTGGAACCACTCGAGCTGTGAAGACCTTATATGGCCAGATTTTTAATGACTCAACAATCGAGATATGCTCCAAAATCACTTGATCGTCCAAGCTTGTCGTCTTGATGCTCGGTTAATTACCGTAGTGCCACGATTGCAACAGACGCCTACTGTAAGCATCACTTTGATCACTGCACAGGTAGCACGCCAGAAAAATGGCTAACTTGAAAATAGCTTGGCAATCCTACGGGTCTAGTGTGGACCTAAAACTGTATTGCTTCAATGCATTAGTTAGTGCCCGAGAATTTTTCTTTGTTATTTCCAACTTTTCTTTGGCTTGCCACTTAATCGCCGAAGTGCCAGACTCGGGCCTAAGATGCCACGTATGTATGCCAAAGAACCAGCAGTGAAGCCTAAATAAGGTAGTAATTGTTTTTTTGCGATTTAGGCCCAAAGTTGGTAGATGAGAACTGAACAAATTTTTGGCATTTGTTTGGCAAATTAGGGTCAAGGTACCCAGAGTCTGGCCAAAGAAGTTAAAGTTTGGATCTACCTCTGGGCTTTTTAAGGCCCTAACTTTTCAGACGAAATCCAAATTTTGGCCCAGAGAACTGTGCTACCTAATTGAAATGTAAAAAAAAAAAAAAATAAAGAGCATTTATATTTTTGTTTTTGGAGGGTCAAGGTTTTCTGCGGTGGTCCTTTTCTCAGAGATCTGTGAATACCTGTACAAGAATTATGGGCAGAGGATGCAGTTCAAGGACGACGTCAGCAAAGCCACCACCTCCTCGGTGACCCTAGTGAACGGGGACGCTTGTCTCGGGGCCCGATTGCAACCCAAGGCCCCGAGTGTGCCCCTGGTGTCTTCCGTGAGGCTCCTGAATTCAACATCGGCGCTGACCGTCCAGCCCACTGCGCCAACGCTAAGTGTGGCCACTGCCCTCTCCACCGGTGAGACTCATTTCGATGCGCACAGGGCTCCGTCTTTTAGTTGCTGCTTGGAATGACCTGCCTTCGTAACTTTAAATTTAAAACCTGTGAGCTTGGAAAATGCCGAGCTTTTATTTAAGAATGCGCCACCTTCCTTGCTCTAAGAAGCCATCAGATCTCGGACGCTCGTCGCTCAGGCACACACACCATGCTCTTGTAACCTAACCCTGCTTTTAGAGGACCCATGCAGTATACAATCCTTTAGACCAGCTCACTGTTGGGCCCTTTGAGGAGTTGCGCGATTAGGACATATGTATGTCTTAATCTGTTTGAGAATATTATGTAGATTTAATTGAATTGGGTTTAACACATCTGTTTTATATATTGGCTCAGTATGGGCATTCTTCATCTTCATTTCGAAGATATGCTTACCGCAAAATACTGAGTATCCGCTGATATCCCAATAAGTGCACATCCGCTACTTTTGAAACATTAAAAAAAAAAGCAAAGGACACATCAAGCGTACAACACCCCCGACTTCCGAGCCCATTTAGCTAACTGGGATGCTCTTTTATATCAGCCACTTCTTTGAATACGCTGGTGCAATGCAGGAAAGCTTGCCCTGTCTTATGCTCCTTCTGCATATTTGCTCTTGGGACAAACAATCACCCATCATTTTGAAGAATATTTTAAACTTTTGGGGGGGGGCTGAGTATTTCATAACATATGCTGATTATGGCTTACAGGGCATGCCACAACATGGTGGCTTAGCTGAAACGACTTGTGCAAAACAACACAAATTATCACATCGACCAGCAGAATGGGGGAGGGATGCTAATTCCACCATAATCCAGATTTCTCATTGGTACACATGGTTTTTCAGTGATGCATAGTTTTCGTTTCACTGACACTTTGTAATTGAAACATTCAACAACAATATCCTATTCTAAGAAAGTTGAAAAACAAACTATATAAATTTGGGTCTCGGAACAAGATCTAATTGCTTTGGGTGCTCAAACAGCGTGCTGGCACAGGTACGTGTCACTCCATTCTGGAAACAAAACTTGCTGTATCGTTTCAGGCTAGGTTCACCGAGCCCAAATCACGTTGACCTTTGTCGAGTTAGATCAACAGCAATGCTGCGAAAGGTGCTCCACGGTGCCTGCAACTGACGCATTGTGGCAGTGTTCTTTGTGGATGAGTGTGTGCTACGATGCACATGCTGTATGGAATCTGAAGTAATCCTGGTCAATTGTGGGTGTGCAGCCCTGCAATCGATCAGCAGCACCCCCATAACGCTGACGACAACGGAGGGCGGAGGCATCTTGGAGGTGATCCCTCAGAATTTCCAGCTGCCAGCAACATCCCAGACGATCCTGCTGACAACACCGGGACAGGGCGGCATCCCCATATCCACAACATCTCTGCCTCAGGGACAAATCATCATCCAGACACTTCCTGTGAGATTCCTTTGTAAAGGCGTGCAAATATTAGAAATTTCGAATAACCAACTTTGACATTTGGTTCAATTTGTATGGTGTTCTGCCCAACAGCAAGATCCGGTACATTGCATGACAATGTTAGTGCAGATATAACCTAAGTGCCTTTTTGCATTTTCCTTTACAGGGGTATTGACCAACTTTAATGTTTACTGCTTTTGTTGCCCTAGATGACCGCTTACAGCACACTACTAGTAGTTTTGGTAACACCTTTTGAGGCTTAGAGGAAAAAAAAAAAAGTTATAATTTTTTTTATGAACGGTGTGTGCTATGTGCTTTCCTGGGTGATATATTTTCATAACTGTTGCCATATTTATTCAAATATACCGTAAAATCCCGTAAGGGCACCCGCTCAAAATGGAGAGATAAATAGTGAAAAATATGAGGTGGGCTATTTTTGTGGATGAGACAGCATACCTTTATCAAAAATTGAATGATAAACATAACAGGCACCAGCTTCAAACCACTTGACATGGGAACAGATACCACAGATTGCAAAAATGGCAAATTTGCATTTCACAACGCGATAAACATGCAGGAATTCGCTACAAACTTCTGTATCAACGGAAATGGTACCGAAGAATGCGGATGCGGTGGATTCGTGTTTCACGGAGCAATAAACACGCGAGAACCGGCTACACTTGCGTGCCAGAGGAACCGATATCATGCGTGCACATCACGCACAAAAACGTGGGAACTCGCTACAAACTCGTATGTCACGGGAACCGATATTGGGCGTGCAAATTGCGGACAAAAACACGGGAACCTGCTGCAAGCCCACTTGTCACACGTATCGGTACTGCAGATTGTGCAGTTCATGTGATTCTTGTCGGACATCACGCAATGTCTGACGGGAATCAGGGGAGGGCGAGGTTTTGGAATTTTTATGTTGCGGATATTTAGCCAGAAAAACGGGATGGGCAATCTCTCGGGGAAGCTACCTTACAGGATTTTATGGTAGGTGAATTTTTTTCTCCGCGAAAGTTGTTTCAATAGGGGTCAACCAATAGCGATGACCATGAATTTAAATGTATAATTGTAAGCAAAATTTCCGACCCCATTGAGCCAGTGCGCGCCCCAATGCTGGGGGGTGAAGCTTCACCTGAGAATGCCGGTGCGAAGCGGTCAAGCTTCATCTGAGAGCGCTGGTGCAAAGCAGCGAAGCAACACTCAAGACCACTGGTGTAAAGCGGTGAAGTTTTACCCGAGAATGCTGGTGCAAGACAGTGAAGCTTGACTGATGCGGCTTAGAAGGAGTGCTACAGCTTGGAGGCACGTAGTTCTAGAAGATCGAACGATTATGTGACCAGCGCTATTTGCTGTGAGTTTCAACTAGGATGACTAAGCATATTGTGAGCAAATGTTTATTTCTTCCCTTCTATTCCTTTAAAATTCTGAATGAACCTAAATTTTGGATTTTTTTTTTTCCTCCGAGGGTCCACCTATGTTTTTATCAACCTAAGTTCGAGTAAGCATAGTGCATTTACAACTGTTAGTGTCAAATCATGTCTCATAGAAGAAATATATTTGTTTATTTTGATGTGTCGCAACTTTTAGGCTTCTCTGGTTGTTATATTCAGTGTATGACAATTGATTCACCAAAATAGATTTGGCGGCTATGCTACTTATTCGACATCGTCTTCCTGTAAGACGTGAAGCAGGCGGAGTTTGCCTTGCCTGCGCAGTGGGGAGCGTGATGTCATCGCCGTAGCGCCGTGTGCGGTAGGAAGATGTGACGCACTGCTTGTAGGAATGCACAGCTTTTGCATTCCTACACCTAAGCTGTCTTAAGTGTTTAATAATTTTTTCTGCTCGAACATGCCTGACTAACTCCAGAAAAACATGTTTGTGACGCAAAGTTGCTGCGGAAGGTCAGCCATGTTGGTTGTCTGTTTGTCACGCAAGTAAAGCGCTTTTCACGGTACGCCGAGTGCTGCAAGCGATCTGCTCGTGCCGTGCAGGCAGAGCCCCTTGAGAGCACGGAAAGCCTGCTGGTACAGATGAACCTGGCCCCTCGAGTGATTGTCAACTCGGACAGTGAGTTTCTGTCCTCGCCCCAGGAAGCAGACTGTCCCGCGGTTTCCCTGGACACATCGGAGATTGACGCTTCCAGCTACGCCATGTGCTGCATCGACGGAGAAGAGTTTGAAGTGCAGGTCTCTGGCTGCCTCACTCTTCACCTTGTGGTTTCTTTATTGAAGGGTTCTTGGGCTGGGGTCCAAAGGGGGATGCTTCGGAAGCTGGGCTTGATGGGAGGCTTCCTCCTACAACGAGCCGAAAGGAGCCGTGCTTGCACATGAGGAGCTCTAGCTCTCGTGGAATGTGCATTGAGGTGGTGGGTCTTATTGAAGAATAATTTCGAGGCTTAAAATGCCTCGGAAAATGAGACCAACAAACTTACCGGGGTCAAAAGCAGACGTGTATCCAGACAACCGAGGTAGCGATGGTTGTAACGTATGGGCCATCTCCCGATAGGCGCAGTGAGCAGGCGACTGAGCACGTCATCTGCTCTGCATAAAAATACTTTGTTTGTATATTTGGCCACCACTGGGCCAAGACAACAAACAAGAGAAATTGTATGTTGGGGGTCTCAAGAGGCTCGGAAGATAATGGAGCACATTAAGAAAACCATGTTGAGAATTGACTGTTCTTTCCCTAATCGTTTTTTTTAATTTTGTTTTTTTGTAACCATTGGTGGCTTTTGCTCATAAATTCTTGCAAAAGAAATGAGTGAATGGAGGTAGATTAAAATGTACGTTTTTGCTTACATCGCATTTTAGTCACAAAAGTTATTAAACGATTCTTGTCACTGAAGCATTTTCGTGATTTCTTGCAGGAAATTCATGACACCTCATCTATAGATGAAGTTGACGAGTCTTCTCTTGTAACTAGTCAGATGGATGAAAACTGTGTGGAAAGTGTGATATTGTCTGGTAAGCATATCTTTAGTACATCTTAAATGCAAGCAAACTCTGTTGTTCTTTTTATTGTAGAGATTGAAGCATGTTGTTAATTACCTATGGATTTCATGGATATCACTTATGAATTCCGAAATCAAGAAAATTAAGTGGGAAGTGTATTCCTGGCTTTTGAGTGGCATGGCGGTTCAATGCATGTTTGGTACCTTCTTGAATCACCACCAGAAGCTGCAATTAAATCAGAACTGCATAATGAATCTGTTAAGATAACAGTCAGAAATTCACTGCAGAAGCTAACCTCATCATTGTCATGACAAGCCCAATTGGCCTTTGCTCTGTTCAGTAGGTTGGGGAAGTTGCGAAGTCATGGTGACAGCCCTTGTGCGCATATACATGTTGGAAAGATGTTAACATTTGTGTTTATATACAGAATGTTTTTTTCTAATAGATCCAGAATTAAAATAATAAAAAAACAAAGAGACCTGCTTTAGGGTTATATTAGTCCCTAGGCCAAGTTTGTTGCCATAGTAGTCTCTAGAAAAGAAGCAAAGTGGGTTAATTAGCTAATTAACTAAAAGGTTTCATTTATCTTTTTTAGTGTTGTATTTGTGGGGCTCTTTGTGGGGCTCCATTTAGAGAATCAATGTGGGAACTCAATATGGTCTAACTATGCCATAAAATACAGATTAAAAAATTCGAAGATGACGGACAGGGCGACAAACGTCACCCTTGGTACACGGCGCCAAAACCGAAAGTGAGCGGGCTAAGAGCACCAGTGATGTCAATGCCTCTGGCCCCTGCCGGCTCCGCAAGGAAAGCCGGCTGCGATATTGCCGCTCTCATATATCTATGCAGATTGGAAGTTGCAGGGCTACCCGATAGATGGCGCCAGCGTGTTCTCTCATAATTGGTTACAAGCGAGCATCGGTCACACCCAAACGTAAATGTGTGAACCAACCTTTATACTTGTGGCAGTTGATCTGAAGTTTCGTACATATTTCAACCTGTCGTCTCTCTGGTGCTATTATACCTTTGATGGGTATGATACTTCTGTGCAGCATTGAGGGAGCTCTGAGCATAAATAACTGTAAGTACTTTCTACACTGTCGTGTGTCGCATGACCTTCTGAAGGGACGCACTGACGTGTGGGACATGTAGTCACGTGACGTGTCCATGGTGCTACTGGATTGGCTGGAACGCTCGTAGCGTCTGCTGCGGTCCTCCGTGAGGCGAAACGGAGTACTATAGGCAAAGCACTAATTCCAGCATCTTTTCCAGCCTTTTGTAACAATTCTGTCGGGCCTGGCTGAGTGGATGAGTACTCTAAGTGTAAAAGTATTATGTGCTTGTATTTGGTGTTTTTCAGATCCTATGCTTGCGGGAAGTCCGGAGATGCTTGGTTCGGCGTCGGACCTCGAAAGTGAAAAGTCTCACGTCGTGGACAGTCTCGACGTCGTGCCAGAAGATACATGAGCACTGCCAATAGGATATATTCTGTTCATCGACCTTATTTATGAAAATTGCAATATGTAAATAAGAATGCGTTTTTTTTTCAAATGTTTTCTGTGTGGGATTTCTGTTTTTTGCAACTTGGTGGAGCGGTATTTTAACATGGGACTATGTTAAGAGTTCTCATACTCTGGTCCGTGTGTTAGGTATAGCCTGTGGTTGATCTCAGTTGTATCTCGCTAGCTTGCAAACCAGGCACTAATTGATATTGTGGTAGGGATTTTATTTATAGACCAATGCATGGCTCTGAACTCGTGTCGCTGCGCTGTTGCTGCTGTCGGCACGGTGCAAGTGCAGACCTCGATCGCTTCATGAAAAACTGGTTTCTGCCTGTGCGCTGTGCCCGCACCTAGTAAGAGCAGACACGGGCTTGTTTGTAGACATTGCTATGGAGTAAAATGCAAGGTGTTGTTTCTTATTGCACTTGTTGGCATGCGTCAGTAGATATACACACTCTGACACCCATAATTTTGTGGAATGGAGAAAAACAGCAATGGTCAAATATACGACCCTTGCCAAAGCGAGCAGGCTGCTGTTTTGTGAGGAACTCTCATTGGAAAGAAAAAACCCTCAACTCCTAACCTATTTCTCCCCCCACATTGTCACCATCAATAAGTGAACTTGAAATGAAATTTAATGTGAGCTAATGAGCTCTATTATTTTTTTAACTGTGCTCAAAGGTATCAGAAACACCAAGTTATCTGAAACTTGCAATATATTATGCTGTTCAAGGTCTTGTAACTCATTTAAAGCTGCATATATATTGTTCGAACATATCGGTGTCATGCTTGCGGGAAAGGATGAGGTTTTTGTTCATTGATTTTCATACGACTCCGCGCACCATAATACCGATTGTCTAGATCCTGCTATAACAGGTTTTCTCCGATTTTCGAAGATAATTTTCAGAAAAATTAATTGTCAGGCAGTCTGGGACGTACAAGAACCAGAGTTGGTCCCAGCGCGTTTTTCTGCGGTACACTTGATTCGACTTGATATGCTTGCCAGGTGCTAAACGAAAACTGTGATTTTTTTTCTTTTAAATATAGTAATTTGTCGATATGATACAACTTTCTAAAGACTGCTGATATACATCTAGCTTCCAAACATAGCTGCAGTAAGTTGTTGGCGTTTTCGGGATCTGGTGCTGAACTTCGCGGAAGCATGATATCGGCCGCGTGTGAAGCACGGGAGGAGACATCCAAGCAACGTTGCATCCAAAGAAGGCAGAGTCCTTTGTTGCTGCGGTGTAGCGAGCGTGCAGAATTCATTAGGATTGGTTTTCAAGAGATTGTTTTGAGCGGTGTCATAGAATAGAAACAAAACCGAAATTCTATGATCACTCCCTTGAAACAAAACTGAAACTAGCAAAATGCGCTACCTCCTCTTTTTTTTTTTTTTTACTCCTGTTTTTTTTTTGGCAATTATTGAAACAGATAAAATATCTGACGGTAAATGATTAGATTAGAAGTTCCACTGATATGTGGAAAAAAGGAGTAAAGCTTAAAATTTCTAAAAGCGCCTAATTCGTCCAAATACTAAAAATACGGCTGGTTAGTCAAGTGGGTATCGTATCAATAAACATGGCGTCGCGCTTGTAGCAGCGTGCGCTTGCGTAGTGTCAACAGGACCAGAGACTTATTTGCAAGCTTTTACCGTTTATCGTGTATTGTGGTATTTCTGTGTTCTTGATTGAACTTCAAGGACACCAGTTGCATTCAAAATGGCTGAGTTTGTTCAAAAGAACATCGAAAACTTCATCCCGGAGTTGGAGCAGATGCAACGGATCGGTCTCTTCACGAGGGATCAAATACGGTATGCCCGAGTTTCGCAGCTCAAGTTTGCTTCGCGTTTAAGTTTTGGTCACTTACGATGACCCTAAGGATAGTGATACATGGCTACGTTATGCTTATAAGTAAATACACATGAAGTTAATTACTGGGACGACTGCTTCAAGAATCGAACGTTTCTGTCACCAAGCTGGGCTGACTCTATTGGCTGACTGCTAGAGTTCAGGGTTTGCTCCAGATATGCTCAAATGATCGTTACATGTGAAAAAAAAAAAAAAAATTGTATAGGAGAAAAGTTTACCGGATTTAAGAGAAACAGAAAAAAAAAAATTGACCGAAATAAGTATTCACCAAAACCATCAGATGCGGTGAAAAGCTGCTTATAGCCCCTTCCCCTGGCAAATGCCGAGCGCTCCGCGCTAGCGGTCGTCGAGCGGTCGGCCTCTGAGCGATTGGTCACGTGATCCATCCGAGTGGCACGCGCTGCGGAGCAAATCGAGCGTAACGCTCCCAGCGCCACCGCTTCCAGAGCGTCTGCTCTCGCTTTTGAACAGTTGTGGTTCCCATTGCTATCTTGATGAAATCATGAAGTTCTGATCAAAACTTTATGCTTTGACAAAAAATTGATTGTTTACTACCTGATTAACGATGATCCGGACGTAAAGACACAATTTATTTTTCCATACAGTTATAAGCCCGATAAAGACAACTAGAAGAACTTGTACGAGCCGTAGGATGCTATTAAGCAATACCAAACACGTATGCCGTAAAGCGATTGTCATCTCCGAGGGTGACTTCCATCTGCGGAGTATTTAGCGTATTGTCTTCTAATTATTCCAAGTACATTACAGAGACCACAAAACAAACAAACGACATGCCTAGCTTTTCATCCGAATAGGCGCGCACAACGCCTTCGGCGTAAGGCGGTAGCTTGGGCCTCTTCGCTGGCCAGCCAAAAGACTCGGCAAACACTTCGCCGAGAACGGCTGCCTCATTGTCACTCGAGCTGGAGCTAAGCTGGTACCTTCGTCGCTGTCACTGTGTTTTATTAGACCTCCTGAAATTAACTGCAACGATGTCATCGCCGCAGTATGCTCGGGCGAGTCGGTCATAACGAGGGGAACGAAAACAAGCACACCAAGAAAGCCCAACCAGCAATCGAAACAAAAAAGCTGCGAAACACCTTCACTCTGTCGATAACGAAACTGAAACATTGCGAGAGACGACTACAGATCGTACTCCTCCGAAAAAGGCTGTGCGGAGAACTACTCCGGACGCTCCGCCACTTTTCTATGGAGCGGTTGGAGCCGCTCGGCAAGCGCCCCACTGGCTCCGATCTACAAGCGGCACACGGAGAGATTGCTCGCATCTCGCGAGGGAAACAAGAATCCGCTCGCCGAGCGCTCGCTATTTGCCAGGGGAAGGGGCTATTACTTTTTGGCATAGGCGGAGTGCCAAAGCTTCGTCTAAGTCGTTCCCCGCAGCAGGGCCAAAGCTACTGAGCGTACAGAGGCGACACTCTTGCGCGGCGGAATATAGTACTTGTAGTAAGGGCTCTTTCCTTGTCTGTATCACCATAGATGCAGTACTGGCATGTACAGTAATGCTGTAATACTCCTCTGTGCCTAAAAACGACAATAATTTAAGCTGTTTGGCTTTGATATTTTCGTATATGTTTTAATTTAAGTGCAAGAACACTAAGCGATAGTCATTTATGTTTTGGTTTATTGCTTCGCAAAGAGACGCTAAAGTGATACACCATAATTAATTATCTACCAATATACTGTTTAGAAATTGCAGTAAGTGACTCCGTCAATAGCATAATCAACATGAGTTAAAAGCCCCATCACAACACAGCGGAAGACTGCGGCGGGGTAGTGGTTTGCCCAAGCCGCTTTTCGCAAAATGGCGGCATGCGCCGAATCGCCTGTGAGGTACCAATCAAATGTGCTCTATTATCCAAAACAAGCGAAGCAGTTGGCGTTGAACGTGCTGGGAGTAGGGCAAAAAGAATGCGGCAAGGGAGCGACTGTAAGTTCCATAGTTCCAGAGGGTTTAGTAAGAGCATTTGAACCTACCTTTTGTTATCTTTCTGGACTTGGTTCAGATCGGAAGGTTGAAAGAGGCTACTCACATTGGGCAGAAAAGAAGGTAAAAGTCACGTTTAATACCTATACGTTTAATACTTATAGTGCGATCGGGGTGGCTACGCAGGCTGAGGTTCCGTTCACCGTCGCCACACAGGCGTTTGAGTTCCAAACGTGCGCATGCACACACAGTGCTCGGGCCTCACGAGGTATCGTCTTCTTTTTAGGGGGTCGCTTACTTGTGGGAAAAAGTAGCATGATGTTTTGAGCAGGCAGCCTCGTGGCTTCGTCGAACGTTCAGTCGCCGCGAGCAGATGACAAGCAGACGACGTGCGGAAGAACACGTTAGGGGGGTTGGCCCTCCTGGTTGGCTGAGGACATCTGTAGGTTCCACACTGCTGCACGGAACTACTGACCATTATTGTTTTTGATATATATAAATGATATAGCTACGCATATTGCAGAACCAGTAAAACTAAAACTTTTTGCAGATGATTGCCTTCTTTACTCTGTCATAAACAATACTAATGATCAATTAGCTCTTAATAGGAACCTGGAAAATCTAAGGCAATGGTGTGAGGACTGGCAAATGCAAATAAATTTTCGTAAGTCGACATATATCCATATAATGAACAAAAAAAGTGTTTTGAAATTTTGTTATAATATAGGCAATGTTAATTTGAGTGTTGTAAACAGTTTTAAGTACCTTGGTGTGGTGATCTCACACGATTTGCAATGGCGCACCCATATAGATAATGTCTACTCCTCTGCCTATCGAAGTTTGTGCTTTCTTAAACGAAAGTTAAAACATGCAACTAGTAATGCCAAAATCACAGCTTATAAGACAATGATCCGTCCTATTTTAGAGTGCGCCAGCATAATGGAGTCCAAACAAAAAAGTAGACATCAATAGACTAGAAAAAATTCAAAGGCAGGCTGCACGTTTCATTCTGAATAAATACAAACGAACAGACTCTGTGACTGAAATGCTTAGCCAGTGTGGACTTCAATCATTAGAAACTAGACGGAGAATAGCGCACCTAAAGTTCTTATTTGCGTTGTATAACAATCACTTAAACATTGAACCTGAACTATATTTAAATGAAACACATAAACGATCGTGCAGATTAAATCACAATAAAACAATCCAACCGTATAATAGTAGGATAGACTTTTTAAATATTCATTCTTTGTGCAAACTATTGAAGACTGGAACCAACTTCCAGATTATGTCATTAATTCTGCAAAATGTCCCAATTCGAATCTTCTTTAGAAGAGATATTTACCCAGCAATAAATAAGAAGGGCGTTTTTCCTTTTTTTCTATTTCACTTCTTTTTACAAAGTGTGGCGATATGGTTCATGTTGTCTTCAATTAAAAATTGTATAACAGTCTTCTTCTATTACGTACATATGTATAGAGTTCAAATTTTTGATATGACTGTATATATATTGTTGTTACCTCTCCTGTAATAGCCTTCAAGTGAAGGCTGACAGTATTCTTAAATAAATAAATAAAAAAAAAAAATAAAAGATAGAGTATAGCACGGATTTGAGAACAGGTTTAATCGCATCGCCTCACAGACGTCATAGGGACGCAACATTCACGTAAACATATTCTTTTATCATTACATTTTGATCTTGATGTGGCATCAGTCCAAAGCATTTATTCTGCCGGCCGCCGGCACAATATCACCTGCAGAAGTGTGCCTGCAGTTGTGTGGATACTGATTATGTTGTACTAACGGGGGACAACTGCCGGCAATTGTTCCTACGGGCTGTTATGCTGGCTGCCGGCAAAATATCTGCATCCTTTCTTTTATTTGTGTGGGAGGGAGGTGAAGGTGCACATGCCAAGATCTCAAACAACACAGAACTAGCATAGTTGAAACCATGAGATTCAATGCACTAGGGGTTCCTCAAGTTGTGTTTACTTGCATCTATGGAGGAAACCGAGTTTTTGTCCAGGTCTGTCAAAAAGGAGGTGGGCTTATCTCTGGTGAACTTTTCTCTGGTGGACGTCAGGCAAATCAGTGAATGCTCCGAAACTCCGGTGTTGTTTTAGTCGGATACAGTGCCTGAAATTTCCAAAATTCTTATGAGGATCCAGTGAATGCTTTGTCCTTGTGTCAAAGTTCTAGCTCAGCAATTGGCATCTTGAGATTGCTAATATTCCTTGATAATCAGGCTAATGCTTTCTCCCCGTGGCAAAGTCCTAACTCAGTAATTGGCATTTGTGGTAGTACTTTCGTGTACCAGCTTATCACGACATTTCCGTCCCCAACCTAAACTAACTTAATATTTTATAAGGTTATTAGGGTTCATACAAGGAGTGCGCAAGGGGAAAAGAATGAACTTCCTCAGCTAATTAACTTACTAATTTAATATTCAGCATGTTTAGCTCAGGATTGAACTATTCAGTTACACGTAAATTTGACTTATGTGTCGTGCACATAAACAAGCAAGGTCTGTGTGTAATCATATTGCCTGGTCTTGCAGAGAAATCTTGAGAAGAAGGAAACGATTCGAGTACCGTCTCCGTCGCATGAAGAAGTCGAAGGAAGATTTTCTGAAGTACATCCAGGTGGGTGGTGCCATTCTGTGCAGGTGTGCTACAATTAGGAATGCCGCAAACCTCTTGCAGTTTGAGTTTGAAATGGTTGGAAGATTTAAAGCTTCTTAAAGGTTTCAGCTCAATGCCTCATGCTTTTCAGAAGTGTGGGTGGTTATGTCGTGAATTTTTAGAGGGCTGAGTCTTACAGGCACTTTGCACATGAGTCTTGGGAATGTCGAGTGAACCTCGGAGCACAGAATTGTCATTTCCAAGAAATCATACGGTGCATGATTTGTGTACACTATATACAATGCCATCAAAAGCAAACAAACTGCAAATTTCAAAAAGATTTTTAGAAAGCTTTTAGATTTTCTAACAAGGTTTGACTTGGTTAGAGAATTGGAAGGTTTGTTTGAACCAGTGAACTTAGCGGGCTTGCAATTTCGATTAACATCAAACATTCCTAACCTTATGCTGCTATTATTTTTTAACCTCTGGTTCTAATAAGGTTGCAGCATTTCTTGCTACAACAGCTTTTTGTGCTTTTGTTTCTTGCAGTATGAGCTGAATTTGTATGACCTGCTTCAGAAGCGAAGAACGGTAAGCTTTGTTTAATAGAGCAGTTCGTTGCCACAATTTCTGATTGCTAATACGTTATGTGCAACATTTTGCAGAGGTTGGGGATAACTGAGAAGAGGAATGACATTGATTTGCTGATAGCAAAGAGAGTGAACAGGCTTTTCAAGGTAGGTGATTTTTATAGAAATTCAAAGCATTTAGTATTCAGAAGTTGCTTTTCCATCAGATTAGTCATAGCTTTAATATGTTAATGTTGGTTTCATTTACCTGCTGCAACATAGAAAGCAGTGCTGATGTTCAAGAGCGACTCAAAGCTGTGGCTGTCTCACATCGAGTTCTGCACACGCATGGTGAGTTCCAATACAGGTTTTCTCCTGCCCTTCCTTTGATCTTTGCACAAGAAAATGAACTGGTGCAATAGCATAGCTTGGTAAAGTTCAAAGGGATACTTCAACGAAATTTGAAATATACCCGTCGTGGTCAGAAATGGATGAATATGATCCACAATATTTGTAAATGACAATCACATGTTTGTATTTTAAGCCTGATGGCTGTATTTTTTGTTATAAACGGCCCACTCTGGCAAGCGCTCGGAGAGCAGCCAGCGGAGAGCACATGATATCCGCTGCAATCATTACGTAGATTGTCTCGGGGCGAGCAAAGCTGCGGGAGGCTGACATCGAGAGGATGTCTCAGCCCTTTCAGCCACCTAAGCAGTCAAAGCACCACCACAACTAACCCCAAAGCTGCTATTGTATAAATATTGAGTGCAGGGTTAATCTTCTACAATCTTATGGAGGGACAATAGCGATGTCTGGGAAATACAAAAGAGAGTCTCCGGAAGAGGGGAGTTCCTCCTTCCCCTCTCCTCTCGTGGTGGCTAGAGGCGAGACAGTTATCGTCACTACCTGTCAAGGTTCTTAGACGGGCATTTTAAAGGAGTTGTTAGTGACATCCACCAGGTGCCCTTTGCTAATTGTTTAATTTGTTTTAAAATTCCTTTTCCTGTTTTTTTCAACAAAAGATTGGTGTGTCTGAAGTGATACTGCTCCCTTGAACATGAATGCCAAGAAATAAGCGCCGAAATTTCGTTGTAGTATCCCTTCTTCCACTGTAGTAGCTTTCGCTTTATAAGCTTGTTTCTGAAGTATGGGCCTTCTATCAAATGGCTTCTATCAACAGTGAAGAAATGTGAGCCTAGGCATTCATTGGATGTTCATAGGGAACGCTATGGATACCTTGAACCACGGAATGGTAGCCAGAAAATGTGTGGAGAAGAAAATGCACTGTTCTCATTGATTGGTTCTAGGTCATAATCCAAAACTAATTTGTTCGTAGCTGAGCCCTTTTAAACCAGTAATTGATTCAGCTGCAAAGTAATTTATTCAGCAACTGCAATTTTAACATTTTAGGAAGTGGGAACAAGCACATAAGCACAAGCACACCACTGCTTATGTGGACCATTGCACAATATACCACTTATATTGGCTGATAAAATTCCTACTGGTCGAGGTAATTTTTATGCATTCAGAGTTAGCTCTGATTTATGTTTGACATTTGGCCTCAAGCAGATGGATTCTATGCATGGTTGTCACAGTGATGTTTGCACCTTGTAGGGTTGGGAGCACGCCGTCAGCTCGCTGTACACGCGAATGCTCCAACTGCACAGCAAAAGGCCAGGTAACACTTAACACACTCATCACTTCCACATCATGGTCAAATCAGATGTATCTTAAGTTTTGCCTTGAAGCATTAATTTTAAGGAGCAATATTGCTTTCTGTGACTTTCTTAAGGGCTTGAAATGTACCCAATGCATTCCAGAGATCTGGGTGGCTGCTGCCAAGTGGCAGCTGGAACAAAACAACTCTCCCGAGATGGCACGCAAGCTTCTGCAGAGGGGACTGCTCTTCAACGACAACTCCCAGCTCCTGTGGCATGAGGTTCACCTCCTTTCTCCCTGCCCCTTTTTTGGTCTTTCTGCTTATGTGAAACACACTTACCATAATAGGTAGCTTGGTTTTTGGTTGCCTACTCTGGAAATGCCAGCTGTTTTTTTTTTCTTCTTTAACATTTTTTAAAGTTATATTTTTGGGGAATTTCAAATTCATAGAGCATTGCAAAATTCCCAATTTCTACAATCCCCGATTTATTTTTCAAAAATGGTAGTAATGTTTGTTGAATGTAATAATAAGCGTACATCCTTGTCAAAATTAGCAGCTGCCTTAAAAGCATACTGCCTGCATATTCTAAATGTTGAACAGCTACCTGTGCATAGAAAACATAGTAAGAATTCAGGCGAGCTGGTGAACATAACCATGTTGAATGAACCTGAGGGGGTTGAAGAGAAACATCAAAATGTAGAAGGAACAGAAAATAGGCAGGACGACATCATATTTTCTATTTTCTGTTTCTTCTGCATTTGGATGTTTCTCTTCTACCCCAGTCTCAGGTTAATTCAACATGCCCATCCATACTTGTTCAGATATTCGCTGGTTAGTAGGTATAAGTTTGAAGTTCCTTTCATCAACTGGTATTCACTTTCACAATTGCTCGCTTGTTTATTTTCGCCACAGTGGGTTTACACCTGGCATCTGCATGAAAGTGCAACAATATGTGATGCCTGTCCCATTTTGCAAGGACAAATGTTTGCCTGTTGACAGATTAAAATGTGGGTGTTTGTAAAAAACTTGTTTACAAATGCTCAGTACAGTCTGTAATCTGCACCTGTTCAAACCAATATTTTTTATTTCTTTTTTTGCTTTTCATCTTTTCAGTACTTTCGAATGGAGCTGATCTACACAGATAAGGTATGCACCATATTCATTTTGACACTGATAGTGTTTTCAAATACTGAAACTACTTTTGGACTCTCATCAACTTCATTTGAAACTTCCAGATGAGGAAAAGAAGGGATGTGCTTGGACTGGAGAAGGTATGTTTTTTTATACATTTTTTATAACTCCATTGTGCCCCTGTGCAAGCTGCCTTAGAATTAATCATATAATCATAATTGTTTTACGTCTTTTGCACTCTAGCTTAAAACAGAGACTTATGATGTTCATGTTCAGCATCCACCTTATGGATCTCTCTGCTATCTATCTCCTCGGAAAGGAGTAAAATTTAATGTTAATCTGGGAACCACATTTCCATCAGTCATCTGCATAATGCTGAGACACAGAAGTGAAGTATAGCTGGTAAGGCTGAATTTTCTTGCCTTTGAAGGAAGAAGCTGCTGCAACGGATGCCGTGCTCGCAGCAAAGATCCCATCTCTTGTATACAAAGCTGCCACCAAGGCTATTCCAGGTAAGGTATTTGCAACTAAAAGTGACTATGGAAGGCGAATACATTATGTTCATGACTTTCTTCACTTACATGGCACACATGGTTGCCATAGCACAGTTAGTTTGTTGAATGTCTAATCAATTGGTGAGGCAGTTAGTCATCTGTTTGGATTAGAACTCCATTATAGTATTGTCCGAGACACCTCTGGTAATTGACTGCAACATGCGGCAGCTTGTATGCATTTAGTAACCTACACACTACTGCTGTGGCATTGCTGAAATACACGTTTGTCTATAGCTGTTCGGTTAGGCATGTTTCTCTATGTCCGAACGGCTCGAAAAAGACTGGCCGTATGCAGAGTAGAAGTTTGTTACGTGATCATATCCTTTTTGTTTTTGCTTTTTTTTTTTTTTGCACCATTTCCTTTAAAATCCATATTGCACAATAACTAGCATTCTTTCGTGTTTAGATTTATTAGAAATTTTGGTGTTAATGCATAGATTTCTTTTCATCTCATTGCTACACCTGTATCTCCCGTTAATTTTTTTCTCAGGCGTGACCTTCGCCCTGTCATTCCTGCCACTCTGCTCACCTTTTGAGTTTGCGGCACCCTTGGAGGATGAGATCTACAGAGAGTGAGCTTTCCTACATGTGTTCCTAGTGCATGCTGTTTGAAAACAGGGAAAACCATTACTCTTATTAAAACATTGCAACTTCCCGTGTCTCAGGGTCCAAGAGCAGTATTCGGACAAAGAGGAGACATGGGACGCCCTTGCACGTAGGCATCTGTCCAAACGACGGAAGAAAGAAGTCGCTGCCAAAGATGACGGTATGTCTGGGCTATTATATGAATAAAGATATGAAATTTTAAGTGCCACTGTGTTGGGGTGAAACTATGGTTGCCGTCAATTATTTTGTGCTACGTTGCCAAGGCGAGTGCCACCTCCAAAGTGCTGCAGCCCTGTACTGTTGCCAGATCATGTGACTTAGTCTTCCCTTCCATTTGCACTTACTCACATGCAAAGAAAATGTGGTGGAGCACTGTGGAAGCTATGCTAGCCTTAGAGGGATACTTCAACGAAATTTGAAATATATACCCGTCGTGTTCAGAAATAGGTTGAATATCATCCACAATATCCGTAAATGACAATCACACATCTGTATTTTGAGTCTGGTGGCTGTGTTTCTTTGTTATAAACGGCCCACTCTAGCAAGCGCTCGGAGAAGTCCCAGCTTAGAGCACGTGACATCCGACACAATCGTGACATACTTTGTCTCGGGACCTCACGTCCGGACTCGGCAGACGCTGCGTGCTATTTCAGCCAATCCCGCTCTGTGGACGTAGCCCGTGATATGCTTTCCGCGGATCACTGTGCCCCTTCTCTAAGGTCACGTGATATTCACACGGCCTTGAATAGGCCCCGATGGCTCCTAGCATCCGCTGAAAGCAGCCGAAGCTCACCAGCGATCGGAACATCCCAAGTAACCCCAAAGCTGCCTTTGTGCGAATTATGAGTGACGGGTTAATCTTCTACATTCTCGTAGAGGGACAATAGTGACTTCTGGGACACACAAACGAGAATGTCGGGGAGAGGGGAGTTCTTCCTTCCCCTCTCTTCTCGTCGTGGCCAGAGACGAGACAGGCACCATCCCTACCTCTCAAGGTGCCTAGACGGGCATTACAAACGAGGCTTTAGCGACATCCACCGGGTGCTCTTTGCTAATCGTTTAATTCGTTTTAAAATTCCTTTTCCGGTCTTTTTCAACAAGAGATTGGTGTGTCTGCTGTGATAATGCTCCCTTGAACACGAATATACCAAGAAATAAGCGTCGAAATTTCGTTGTAGTATTCCTTTAGCAACGTAACGCGAAATAATTGACGCAGAGTATAGCCTATTGGGTGGCTTCATAGGTTAAACATCCTTCCTACTTTGTGACCAATGTGGGTTCTTGCTTGTTTTTTTTAAAAAGCTTTTACTATTTTGAAATTTCTTTTTTATATGGTTTCAACTTTTCTTTTAAATGCGAAGGTGAAACTAGGTATTAGAGATGCAAAGGAAGCATGTGAGGACATTATTTGGTTCTCTGGTGTTGCTACAAAACATGTCACTTGTGTGCGGCATGGGATAAGGTAGAAATCGTCACTTTTAATCAGTTTGGTTGCTTGGTCACAGATTCGGCACCTTGCTAAATACAACTCACTTTTTTGTTTGTGTAGAAAACGCAGATCGGCCAAAGAAATCCATCGTCGAGGCCCGTTCTGTTTTTGAATGCGCCGTCTCAGTGCTGCCTACAGGTAACCATTTTTGTTTGGTTTCTTTGCTTCACACTTCTGGTAGTGTGCTTCGACTCACGATTTTTTATTGCAGAAAAAATGTGGAAGCTGTATATTCAGTTCTACCTGGAGCTCCTTGAGAAGTCACATTCTCAGAAGAATGCAGAGAAGGTACTGAAAATATTGCCTCCTCTTCGTTACCAACAATGCTTTCTTCTTTGTATTTCTTTTTAGATTAAGAATTTGTGCATCACTTTCCTTTATCTTAGAGATTGCTTCGGGTGCTGGACATCATGAAGAGAGCCTCCGATGAAAACCAACTCACCCTGGAGCATCACTTGGAGTGGGTGAGTGTTTGTCATTATCTTATTTCATCCCTTTTGTGGGCAGTTCATTCTGCTCAGCCAATGGCTACTTTTTGCCCGCTTTTTCTTCGTCTTGGTGCCTCTACGGTATGCTTCCTTTGAATAAAACTCGAAGACACACCAGTGACAGCTTATCCTCCTCTTAAAAACAAAAGAATACATTCTTTGGATACTACATTCCCTGCCAGTTTCTTTGCACATTCATCTGTGCAGGCAAAATGGAGGTACCGTTCCAGCACACCCCATATGCATTATATGAATTACACATTTTCGTGAACAATTCAAGTGAATTAGCAGCCTTGCAAAAAGTTGCCAGGGTCAAAGGCTCGGCGTCAAGTAGCAGGTGAACCAGCTGTATGAATGCGAGCAGACAACGATTCTTGTGGGCTCAGCCGGGCTGCGTATTGTCCCTATGTTATCCATAGGCCATGGGTTCTCAAACTGGGTTCCTAGAAACCGGAAGCTTCCCCAGAGTACCCTGACGGGCTTCCCCGGGCTCCCAAATTTTTTCGACTATCTCTACCCCTATGTAAAGTATTTTTGAGCCGTGAGTTTTGACCGACGGTCAAGAAACTCCTTCCAGTCTCGGCTTTAAAGCGGCAAAGTGGTAGAGAAGCCTATAGACCATATAAACTGTAATGCCCCTAATAATAAGTCCTTGGCTCACTGTTATGCGTCAGTAGATGGCTCATATCCGCCGAAGTATCGCTTTAACGAGGAAAACCGTTTACCTAGAAGCGGGGACGGTCAAGGAAATTTGGGGAACCTCTGAAGGGGCTCTGGGGAACAGCCATATGTTTCTAGGAACCGAGTTTGAGAGACCCTGCTGTATATGAAGACACAGGAAGCGAAAGGTTTGTGGTTCAGAGCCTAGGGCATTCTCCACTAAAGTGCCGGCTGGTCGGCGCAGGTGAAACTGCTGCAGAACTGCGGCGAGGCCGACGCGGCTGCCACGTGCGCCGAGGCTGCCGCGGAAAAGTGGGACCGGTCCACCGAGGCGTGGCTGCTGCTGCTGGAAATGCAGATCCTGCAATCGCTCGAGACCGACGCCGTGAGAGCCACCTTCGAGAGGGCCCTCAAGCACGTTCCAAAAGAGGTGCGTCGCACTGGTGCTCCTCGGGTAGCTTCCTGAACGCCGTGGAAGAGGGGCGTTTATGTTCCTTTCAGCTGCATGCTGCTACTGAAGTTGTACCCTCGTTAGAGACACTGTGGGGCACCTATGGTCGGCAACAGGTTAATAACCCGATGGAAGCTCCATCTCTAGCGCAAGCTCGTTGTATTTTGTCGGGTTTTGGCTGCACTTACGCCAACGTGCTATCAAATTCAGAAAGCTCGCGTTTGACGTGGAACGTCTATTGGGTTCTTAACTTCTGACCGACCATAGCTTAAAAATTAGGGTCCCTCGTTTTCGGGTAAAACCCGATGTTCCCCGATGTCTACACCCTGGACATGTTTCTTTGAAAATCGGGTAAAAGCCCGATTTTTTTCCCGAGGTTTGAAATTGAATTTCACCATTTTCCAAATTAGTCTGCTCCGAAAATATTTCTAGGAAACAAAGGGGTGGTGGGTACATGTGTGCTAGCTCCAGATCTCGCAAACAAACCTAGATTCTGTTGGCTTCGATGAGCTGCGGTTACATAGATCGATCCCCAAAATGTTGCTTTTATGTCTATTGGGAATTTTGTTTTGCCCTCTTTTTTCTGTTTCAACCAGCGCAAAAGGAGGAGAAAGAAAAAAAAGTTATAAAAAAACTACTTTCAAAACTTAAATAAAAAAAAAAAAAGTTCAGCCTTTCCACTCTCGTGAAGAAGGAAGACCAGCGGAGCTGTACTCGATACACTGTGTGCTTCTTCTTCGTCATCCTCTGTTATTGACGCTGTTTGCTACGATGATTTCCCACCAACGCGCCCAACTATCCATTCTTTTATTATAGCTGGAAAGGTTGGCGCCACCTACGAGCGACGGCGGTAACCATACTGGTTGTGTGCTTACTGCTGTCGCTTATAGATGGTGGTAGCTGTCCAGGTAGGTTTATGTTGACATACCGGATGCGATTCTGGGGAACCCAGCCCTTAACAGCTTTGCTGTAAAAAAAATATATATTTTTTTTTCTTCTGCAAACTGAAGTGATATTGTTGTGCATTGCAAATGTATGCGTAAGCTCTCAATTCAGGTATGTCCGAAGACCTAACAGGGCTAGGGTGGAGACAGAAATGCTGCACAAGCAGAAGTTATGTAAGCAATGAGGATTATGAAAAATCGAAAAGCCCTAGTGAGCTTTTATATCATGCTCCAATACTGTCTTGTGTACTTATAATTGAATTGATTGTGAAAAAAAGAAAAACATTCCAATATGGAAACTGAATAATGCTCTTTATTGTTATTTATACTTATATATTTCTAAGTATAAGCTCAAATACTCTTATTCTAGGATGAGTTCTTGAAAAACCCGATTTCTCCCCAATGGCCAGCTTGGAACAAAGCACCAAATTTTTAACCCGATTTTTCAAAAATATAAAACCTGAAAATTAAGGACCCTATTCATAATGAATCTGCAGTGATATCTCTGTAAAACACCTTGTGCTTGTCAGCTGCATATGCAAATGATGTATTTCTTTTTGATTTCACATAGTAATAGCCCCCAAAAAGTTCTATGACACTGGGTGTCAAGAAACAGGTGAAAGCCAGTGTTTTGTGATGAAAAAAACTTAGGTGCAAAAGTAGAATTTGCTCTATTTTGGGAATGGGTGTGTACTTTGGTTGTGTTGGCAAGAGTGTATCCCCTCATTAAGTTGGGTGAGCGGTCATGGGTACTCGTGTAACAGGAAACTAAGTTATAGCATTAGTACTGTAGTGTTGTGGGAATATTCGAGCTTTCGAATAGTAGTTTCGAATAATAAGCTATTCAATATTCGCTTTGAGGTAAACTGGGATATTAATATTTTTCGAAGTGTTAATAATCGCGGCAGGTTAGTCCCGTTGACCACACTTCTCACCCAGTACGGGTGCACTGCGCAGAAGCAACAACCGCGGAAGTGATCCCCGCAGATGTTGCTTCTCCGCAGTGCACCGGTGCTCGGTGAAAAGCACACTCAACGGGGCTAACCCGCCGCGATCAACATTTCAAAACATACAAATATTGCAGTCGCGTGCATGGGGCAAAAGCACACCTTTAAGGCGGGATGGTGCAAGCGCGCCTGGCGTATTTAAAAAGAAACTAACTTTGTCAGTGTTGATACCCGCATTGCAGTAAAATTTTCAAAATTAAACTGTGACTATTATGCAAGAGTATATGCTAGCCACAGATGCCATGACACCTGCACTCATAAGTTGTGATTCTTGTTTTTAAATTTTAAATTTAAGAAACAGTATTTGCATGTTCCAAAATTTATAAATCCCCTATATTAGGTATAGCTGGGCATCTCTACATGTTTATTTTTTTTTTAAAATCCGTCATTTCCTTGCCGTCACTATGTAGGAATTAGACTATTTGCTTTGAATTCACTTCAAACTCAAAACCCACTATTTGCACTTGACTAACTGGCGTTGCTGACATACCATTTGCATTCCCTGGTTCAGCTATGAAGGTCTAACTGACCGTATTGATTACCTGTGTGATTTTATTTTTTCAGTTTCTGATGGTGACATAAAGTTAGTATGTGAAGTTGGGATATCTGAAAGTCTGTGTAAATGTCAGCATCAAAACATATCAAAAACAAAAACAATCTTGTTTTGCTCCCAGAGCCAGATTCAAACTGTTTTATGCAGGGTTTATTCTGAATTGGCCGTTCATTTTGGGAAGGCAGTGTAATATCTCTTTTCTAAAGGGAAAGCTACCACATTACAAGCCTCATGGTGTTCATGCTCAACTTGTTTTACCTGCACAGCATGATGGTGGAGCGAGGGATGAGCTAGCACCCTTCAACAAATAGACAAACAGATGAAGAACCAGTCAGAGTTTGATTTTGGGGTTCTGATATCATGCTACTGCTCTGCCTAGGTTGGCAGACAGTGGTGTCTGTCCCAGCACCACACACACTCTTTGGTGGTAGTCCATAGCAAGGTTTCCAGAACGCATCTCTTCCGAACGGATCCTAGCGCGCTCCATAGGTGCTGGAGTGAGAATCGAGGACATCTTGCAGGACGTCTGTTCACTTGGACGAATCCTACTCCAGATTCTTGTGAGCGAAGCAGAATGTATCTTTCATCAAAAGAATTAACCTCTTTGGCTGTGGTTCTCAACCATTGATCTTTTGCGGACCCGTTGTGGATCGGCAGAGATGATGGAGGACCCCATTCGTGGTGAAGGTTAATTTTGATGATTTAATGAATGAATATAGCTAAGCGCTAGTGTGGAGTAGACTTCTCTCACTAACACACATACGAGAAAACTCGCTCGAAAATCGGAACGTTTCTTCTCAATCTTGAAAAAAGACAACTTTTATTGTGCCGGGCTTGATTGATGAGACAGGGCTTTGCTGACCCCTACAATGCCTTTGCAGACCCCAAAGGGTCCTCGGACCCCCATTTGAGAACCACTGTTTTATAGCATAGCAACTAGCTTCGTTTTTATTTGTGTTTCTTCATTGTATGCTTAGCTCTGCTCTGGCTGGCGAATGGTGGTGGACGCTACGTCTAAACAAATTAGTAAAACTGAAATAGAAAACAGTTCTTTCCTAGATTATAGTTCCCTGGTACTTTGGGTATCATTTGCTTTCTGTTTCTCATTTCTCTTCCTCTTTGGCTTTTATTTGGATGCACGAAATTGACCTTAGGTGCATCGAATTAACTGCAAAGTGTTCCAGATGTGCATCATTGATTGCTGTGTGTATCATTTGTGACAAACATGTTGGAAAGTTTGCAAGAGTTGTTTGCTTTCAAGGTGTTTTACCAATCTTTGACCTTTGCAGGAGTCTCTTCCGATCTGGCAGTTTGGGGTCACGTGGATGTCGGCAGCCTGTCCCACCAAGGCCATTGAATTTCTGGAGGTACCTATGTCTTTTTCCTTGCTGTGCGGTCAGCCCTGCACTTAACTCGCCACACTTAAAGTGTAGTGCCCTTATTTGCAAGCTCATTCTCAGCTGTGCTATGGCAAGGGATCTGAGAATATGTCCTATACTAAGCCTCCCTTATGCATTCCATTCGTAGAACAATGCTCCACGCACATAGTTTGACAAGCTGCTGTTACATGTTTATTTTTCAGGGAGGACTGTACTTCCCACCGGCTGTTTGCATTTACATTAAAGAAAAACTTCTCGAACTCAACTGCCTCTACCATGGCTACAAGGCTGCCAGAAAGTTCTACAAAAGGTGGGTCAAGTTTTAATTTTTTCCTGCACAGCCGCTTCTGCCACGCTTCTCAAATGGCACAGTATGAAACTGCTAAACCCGACCCAAGCCTTGTTGGCCAACAAATTTGTGGTGCGGTATGGCAGATCACGTTGATTGTTGATTGTCACAGGACGACACTCTATAAGCAGAGAAACGTTTGGAAGACACTGGGGAATATGTTTTTGCTTTAAAATGTGAAGGGCAAGCTAGGCAAAAGAACAAAATTTAAGTAATATTTTTTTTTATAAAAACCTAAAAGCTTTTTTCTTTTTTTTGTTAGTAGAATTGTTGTGAGGAATTATTTCTCGCAGGCATGGGTAAAATGCAAGCACTTGTTTTGTTTGCAGTACCGTGGTACCACCAGCCATTGGGAAAATGGTGTGCCATTTTTCTTTACGTTAATTTTTTAGAACATTTGCCCCATTATCTTTGGAACTCTAGGCTAACTGTTGAAAGGTAAGACTGGGTGTTTTTTTAAGATTTCAAATTAAATATTAAACAGGACAGGAAAGGCGGATGGATGTTCATCTTTCATGTGCTTTTTACTTTTCCTTAGTTGGTAGTGTTGAAATTTTTCAAATAAAGAAAGCAATGAACACAATTATTTTACCCAAATTATTGAGGCATATCTAAAAGCAAAGATTTGCAAAATCTGGGTAGTAAAAACTGTAGAGTCTTTTTAATGCTTTTAGGGAAATTTTAAGGTATCAAGCATTTTTATCCAGGTAGGGAAAGTCGTAGAAGAAACAGCTTAACCCTTTCAAATGCTATGTACACAAACGTGTACATCTAAAACCCTCGCTTTGTTTCACAAATTGTATATAGAATCATTTCAACAATTTTAGCGGAATTCCGTGCTTTATGTCTGGCAACCAAAATTTGTGAAGAAAATTATGGGGAAAATTTTTCAAACAGGACAAATGTTTTCTATGATAAAAATGGAGAGCCACATTTGAAAGGTAAAAATTGTTCAACCACCCATGTCTATCTACAACTTGCACAATCTGAGATGAAATCACCCTTGTACAAAGGTTTTCTTTTTTACAATAAAGAGATTTAGAAGAAATATTTGCTTAAGGTGAAGTTCTCTGCCAAGTTAATATGACTGTTTTGTGTTGCCAGAATCTCTTTCTCTTATAATGAGACATTTTCCTGCTGTTGATTGCAGGATGCTTCTGCTGAAGCCGCTGTCACTTGGGTTCTTCCAAGCAATGGTCAACATAGAGAATGCTCATGTAAGTATATGGAGAAACCTCCCTTTCTGCTTGTCTCCTTGGGCTCGTCTTAACGGTTCAATAATGTGTCTTTTATTATGCCAGGCCACTCCGTCGGCGCACCGACTGAGGGGATACTTTGAAGACGCCACCCTGGAATTTGGCCAGAGTTGTGCTGGTAAGCCAAAGAAGAGACTTTAAAACTAGCCACCATCCTGTCAGAGCACTAGAAAGCATCAGTCATGACAAGCGGCTGGGTCATATGATTCGCACATTTAGGTAGAGAACAGTCATGTCTGTTCATTCGTTTATGGTTTCCTCCTACTATATGTGTAATGCACCAGCATATTCTTACATCATAGAACTGAAGAGGTGATTTCGTTGCCACAGTTCCAGGTAGAATGCAGGGCAGCATAATGAAATCTGATTATGATTTGTACTTAGATAAAGAAGATATGTAATCATTTCATTTAATTTCATTTATTTTTTCCTCAAGGCCCAAAGGCATCATAAAGGGGGAGAGCAGGAAAAAGATTGAACAATGTCAAAATGCAAATTAGAAGTTAGGCATAATCAACAAGAAAAGTAATTATTAATGGCAGTTCTAAAAATCTCTGAGCCTGTGATGGTGACAGTTGTCCCGGGAAGGTGGTTCCGGTCCTGTGACAATGTAGCAGTAACCAAAAACACTATGATTACTACTAGCTAATTGTGCAGTAATTATAGATGCTATGATTACTGCTAATTCTGCAAGTAACCAGACACTATGATTACTACTAATTCTGCAGTAATCGTAGACTCGATCGCTGAGCGTATAGTTTTTTGTCGGTGTGTTTTTTTCTTGTAGAGCTGTGGTTGAAGTACATCACTTTCGAGCTGAAACACGCCGAAGGAAAGCCAGAGTGTGCTGGTGTCCTCTACCAGCGAGCCGTCAAGGCCCTGAAGGACGAACTGGTGGACGAGTTCATCGCCAGGTACACCCTCCTGGACCCTGGACAAGCTGAAATGGATGATTGAGACCTCTCGCTTTGTCAACAACCGTCCCTGTGAATACGCTGGCGAATCAATACACTCATAAGCCTACTTTATGGTCGGTCTCATCGATAACAAATTGTTTTATGGCCAGAGGGGATTGCTGGGACGGGCCACTTTAGGTTTCCGGAAAGTGTTGAATTGCTGGCCGACTTTGCTACCGGAATAGAAGAGGAGGGCAGGCTTTTATTTTCTGGAGCATGGGAAGTGCGGGCGAAGGACACGGTTCTTGGAACCTTTCCCTTGGCAAACTGCCAGACTACAGCTTTTATCCTGATCATAGAATGTGTTCATAATGGGGAATGGGAGCAACGTCATTCCCCAAATGGGTGATGATGTGCTCCATTTGCAAATGGGGAACCAGAGCAAATTAATTACATCTGCTGTCTAAAGATTGGTTCACACACTCCCGACTGCTTACAACCGTTTGCTTTCAAACCCCTTAAAACGTCTTGCTACGAGAGCAGACGGGCGCAATCTACTGGGTAGCCGTAGAATGCTCGGCATTTCTGTATGTCTCTTTTTTTTTCTCGCATTATTCTTTTTTTTGGCTTGGAAAACTTTTGACACTGTTATGGACAACCATTTCTCCTAGCTCGTGTATGTACATTTGATGTCGCAAATACCACAAAACTTTCACTATGGCGAAATACAGTTGCAGCGTCTCCTCATGGATGCCGCCAGCATGCCAGCGTATTCTCTTCTAAGAGATCACAAGAACTAGGTCGTAAGCAAATGTGAGTGCATGAACGGACTTGGAAGAATGGGCCGTTTCCGGGGTTTCCACGGCGCATGCGCAGCAGCAACAGACAGGAGTCCGCCATTTTTGGGTGGCGTGGTGCGTCCGGCTCGGGACTGCGGGAGGCAGCGGTGGTCGCGCGTTTTGAAGTTCTCCGACGTGCCCCAACGCTGTTCCGTTGTCGGCTGCTGAATAACGACAGCAAGCGTTGTCGCGGTTTAAGTTTCTTCAGGTTTCCTTCTATTGGCCTGCATCCTATGAAGCTGCAGCTGTGGATTCGGGCGTTCCGGCGAAACAGTGTGGACGGTCCAAATATTTACACAGCACTGAGGTAAAGCGTCTATGCTGCACAGTTTGTTGTTATGTGCATACCCGGAAAGAGAAATAGGAGCAGCTGTTTCACTACCGCGACTGCATCTGCTGGTCTTGTGGCTGAATAGAAAGAGAAAACAACCAACTTGCTGTGTTGGCTTCATTTATGTATCAAGTAAAAAAAAAAAGAAAAAAGAGTTTTTAACATTGTCTATAGGCGCAAGACTCAAAATAGACAGATGTGGCCGATTTCGTGTTTTTTCTTCATTGTCGAGGCTCGCTCAGAAATCGGCGGAGATATTTATTAAAAATGTATTTTAGTCGTGAATTTGCCCTTGTGAAATTTCGAAGTGTTACTCCCTTCCAGTAAAAAAAACGAGACCAACAAACTTGCCAGGGTGCTCGCAAACGAATGAGTGGTCCCCGAACGCCTCCGCCGTTGACCCGGGCAAGCTTGTTTGTCTATTTTTTCACAAGAATGAAGCTACACTTTGAAATTTCACAAGGTAAAATTTCACTTAAATACACCTTTGATGAAAATTTGAGTTTGGTAGGTGGAGCGCCGACTTTTTCGGACGATTTTAGGGTGAGCCTTCATATTTATGAGAATACATCTTTATCAATTAAAAATTTCGAGCAAGCTAAACAAATAGCCCGCAACTAAAAAGAATCTTGCCTGAACTGTAACCTGTTTTCGAATATTTTCTGAGTTTACTGCCGGTACTGCAAATAACATGGATCTTAGTTTAATAACCGTTTGTACTTTTTCATTTGTCGAAGAGAGCTTCAACTGTGCCCCGTCAGTGTTTCAGAAAAAAAATCTACAAACGGACGAAGTCGTCCGTAGTCAACACATACATTGAAAAAACCTAGACCACTCGGTGGCCGAGTGGTCTAGCGCACACCAGCTCGGAGCACGTGGAGCGAAAGCTCGCGCTGCAGAACCCAGGGATCCTGGATTCGAGCCCCACCCCTGCCCGTTTCGATGTGGATGAGCATCGTACCGGCGTGCGGTCGAGTATCACTACTGCGTGATGCACGTTAAAGACCCCAGGCTAGCGGTTGTACTGCACTGGCTAAATTGTTTATCTACAGCTGGGAGACTCGCTGTCCCTGTGAGGCAGACCAAGTTCTAGGCTGTATAACCCAATTTAATAATAACCGAATTTTTTTTTTTTTTTAAGCCGCTGTGTTGTTGCACAGACGCTGAATTATACCAGTGTGCAGGGATGGGCAGTATTTCAAATACAAGTATTTGAAATACGTATTTAAAATACTTTGAGTATTTTGCATTTGTATTTAATTACAAATTGGGTAATGTATGTATTTGATGTGTGTTTTTAAATACTAAAACGGGTGTATTTCAAATACAATTGTAATTAAATACAATTTTGTGGGCGAAAATATATCCCTCAAATTTATTGTCATGACTCAGTTTGCTCATCCTAAGACGTGTCCAGAGCACGGAGAAAACTACGTTCTGCACCGAATGCAGTGTCTCTCAATCAAGCACAAGGGTTTAGTGACTTTGTGATTACGGTGCTAGTCCAGGGCAAGAACAGCGACGAAATCGGCGTTCACAGGCAGACTGGCTAAATAAGTGCCTGTGACAACTTGTGATGCTTTTCAGTCTGATTTCCATCCATATTTTTGCCTGGAACATTCTAAATGCGCGGGTCGTCCAGATTTTCTTAACTGGTGCGAGTTGCAAAAATAAAAAATTCTCTAGCTAGTGCTGCGCGTCTTGGTCGTCTCGGTTCTTTGTTGGTCTATACCAAAATGTAATCGACAAAAAAAGCTACCTGAAGCTCTATGCTTTTTTCACCTATTACGTCCAATCTGATTACATTTTTTTTTTGTGATTTTATTTCTATTACGTTACTAGAGCCTCGCACACTAACTCCCGAGTGTGCGTTGCAAAATTAAAATCAGACACCGAGAAACCCGTTGCAGGTGCCCTGAAGTCGCTGACGCAAATTTTGAGGAATGTATTTGGAAAAGTATTTGGAGGAGACCAAATACATTTGGTTGTATTTGTATCTTGTACTTAAATGCTTTTTTGGAAATGTAATTAGATTCGTAATTAAATATATTTTTGACGTAGTATTTTGTATTTGTATTTCGATACAAATTTGCATGTATTTTGCCCATCCCTGCCAGTGTGTAAAAGAATGCTCAGAACAAACGCATCGGCGGCCCCCGAGATGTTTATCACCATCCGTGTGCGGGTGAAAAATTGAACATTTGTCGACAAAACTTCCCCAGCGGAAACCTGTGACTGCCCAATAAGCACCAGAGAAAGCTGAACATAGTGACTTTACCCGAGGCTTGGGCAACATCATCATGTTTAACATTTACCTACGTCAACTAACTTGCCCCCTCGTATTTTGTTCGAGAAAGCTCTCGTTCTCGACGCCCTCACCAAAGCTAATATCTGATCCACCTGTAATGACGATCGAAATCGAAAGTCCCACGAAGTTTTGCTGGACATTCCAACAGTCTAGTTTTAAGCCGTACCCTTTCAGTGGTTCACGCATAATACCCTGCTTAAACGGATCAAGCTTATGCGCGGACAACATCATCAGTTTTTTTTTTTTTTTAGTGTAAGCGGTTATAAAGAGATCGCAACCAGCTGCTTTGTAGACAACTAGTTGCGGAAATTTACGCCGTCTGTAACTGTCTCTACGACAGTCGAGTTGCTTGAAGTCATCGCAAATAAGAACTACAGGTTGCAGCGACCAACGCTTGTAGATAAACCTTGGTAGCGACTGCCACTCTCGCATTCCCACCCATCACTCCGAACAGAAAGGTAGTGATCTCAGTCTCTTAGACCTATCAGTGGGTCGCATAGAAATGCGGAGTTAATTTCACCAGTGTTGGATGTTGAGCCTCTAACGTTCTCTAGAGCGGCAATAGAAAGGTTATGATTGGCGCAGCGCACACAAACGCACACTTCCTGGTGTGGAATACATTTGACCCATCCAGGACAAAAGGAATAAAATTTCGTTAGCCCAACGCCGGAATGAGGATGCTTGTCTTTGTACACATGGAAGGCCTCTCGGATTGAGCGTGTCAGGAAGCGCTTTGGCACGAACGTTCTCCCCGTCGAGCATGACAGAGATCACGTCCTTTTGGTTGGGACCTTGGCGCGAACATTATAGTTCGTCTTTCGTGAAGTACTCTAGGGCAGCAGACACGTTCTCAGGGCTCACCTTGCACCTCGTGTAAGGATCCGTCTTATACCTCACGCCATGCTCTTTCTTACCTAAAGTGTAAACACTGTCGCCATGTTAACCTCTTCTAGGTTAACATGCCGACAGTGTTCACGCTTTATTGCATTTAGGCGGGGCTCTAGTATTTGGGGATTTTGCTGTCTGTCGGTGTGCCCCCTTGTGCCTGATATTATCGCCCGTGACGCCAACGAGTGGGATGGCGACAGGCACGACTGCTAAGTAAACAGGTATCGGCGGCCATATTTTGCTGGTTGAAGCAAATCCCCTTTTCCTGGGCAGCGGGCGGGGAAATACGAAAAGAGATTGTATCGGCCGTTTTGCCAGAACTAGCGAGGAGTGTCGTGTGCTATGCTTCCGTCAAATACTACGCCATAATCGTGATCTTCGCGAGGAAATGATTGCTGCTAGCCACAGAACACTATCACGCAAAAAGGGAATGCTTGAATATGTTTTTATTTTAGATTTAACTCTAGGATATATATCAAAGAGAGAGAGAGAGGTGGAGATAGTGGGGGAGGGAGGAGCATATACATAGTAATGAAGCAATGGTGAGGGTGCAGGCTAGCTGGTGTAAATTGAGCATAGTTGTAAACCCGAGACTGGGGATACGGACAAGGGACAAAACACAGAGACTTCGTCCGTGTCGTTCTGTGTTTTATCCCTTGTCCGTATCCCCAGTCTCGGGTTTCCAACTATGCTCAATATACACAATGTCGTAGAACAATAAAGTAATCAAAGTTCCGACGGCTGCAGGATCTTTTCTCGGA